GAAGATTCGTTTATCTCTGAAATTCTATCCCCAATACTCTGAATGTAATAACATTATCTCAGTAATAGTATTTCTTGAGCCATTAGAATAATCTTGGAATTATTATCATGGCTTGAACAAATCGGTATCTTGATCAAATCCTAATCAGGTATCAAATATCAAATCTTAAACAAATTGATACAATAATCGGTAGGGAAATTAACACGGAAGAAGAAGACTCAATATCACTACAAGTTGATCGAAATAGGGTTTTGAAGTGGTCAAAAGATTGGCAGATGCAGTTTAATGCTGATAAATGTAAAGTTTTGAGGCTAGGTTTTGAGGCAGCTCCCAGTCTTTAATTTGGCACCTTTGTGGCACCTTGGTATAAAGCCTAACATGTATATATACACTGGCTGACTGTCCCCCTACACAATGATTTATTATTACCTATTGTTTTATCATTTAATTTAAATATTAAATAAAATAATTTATTATAGTAATTACTTAATAATTTAATAATAAGTAGTAAGTACATAAAAATTATTAAAAAGTACAGTTTAGTCATAGGAGATTCCTAGATTGGAATTCACTACCAAATTTCAATATATCCAAGTATTTTTAGTTTAGAATGCTGTTATTATATGCATAAATTGTTGTTTTAATAATATTACGCTTAACCACTTGGTCTGGACGGTAGAGCGACGGTCTTGTTTCCTACAGGTCCGCGTTCAATCCCCGACCGCCCAAGAGGTTGAGCACCATTCCTTTCCACCGTCCCATCCCAAATCCGTATCCTGATCCCTTCCGAGTGCTATATAGTCGTAATGGCTTGGCGCTTTCACTTGATAGTTCCCCATCCCCCTGAATAATATTACGAGAGCAGTATTTACGGGCTATTCATGCCCGTGCCACCTCTTGGGTGGCACGGGCATGATCTTAATCTTCATTAATCGAGAGCAGTACGTCCTAACCAGACGTTATATGATGATATCCTGAACAGTTGATAAATAAAAGTAATTGCGGAACTCCAGTTATCTAATACTTATCATAAGTGGTATAAAACCTTATCATAAGCCAAGGGATTTGTAGATCAGTGTTTAATGGGAATTAGCAAGTAATAATAACACAGCTGATGCCATCTGTCGGCAGAAGAGAACACTATCAACTGGCTGGTTAATAGTGGCCATAAGATACAGCTTACGCCATCTGTTGACATCAAATTACACTTATAACAAATTACCCCACAAAATACAACTAGCGCCATCTCTTTTTTTTCCAACGCACTATAAATAGCCAAACAGCAACCCATAAGGCGGGTTGTTGTGACGTCATAGTGGAAGTTGCCTCACACAAATAATGATACGCTGCTCTGCCCTCTTATTCGAGTAAATTATTCAGTTTGATGGAGATTTCTGTCAGGTGCAAAACAGAAATGGTTGTTCTTTTTCACAACAACCTTGTTGTTGTGCACAAGGACCTATTTCTTAGTTAAAATTTTATTCATAAAAGAGTGCCTGAAACGCTTTGCGTAATAGTGGCTTTAGGCATTGTATGTACTAGCTCTATCTATAAAGCCAACAAACTTTGTAAAATCTCTTTATGTATGTACCTTTGCCTAAATAAAAATTATTATTATTATAGTGTTGGTATTCCCCGCAACAGCCAATCACAGGAAGGTATTTCTGGAAGCTCGGCCTCCTTATTGACTCAGCACATCGCTCTAGCTCATGGCTCGCTGTTTCATCTCTTGTATATACAAACTGACTTTTTTTCGATTACTGTTATAATTAATAATAGGAGATGTAAAAGTTTTTACACAAAATGGCTGAATTCTGCCATTAAATGGACTTTGTCTGGTATACATACAAACATACACCAATTTATTACCATTCATCCATTATTAATTTCAAATGTAATGTATACTGTCTAGTTTTTTTCCTCTTGCCATTACTTGGTACAATATTTGAAAGTTGTCTATTTATTTATCGATCTATCTATTATCTTGTATTTATATTTACAAGTTTCTGTGCTTGGAAGAAAACTCTGCATTGAATTGGGACTAATTTATTAAACAATATTATTTAGTATTAATTAATATTTACAGTTATTATTAATTACAATTATTTATAGCTTAGTTACTTTCATGTAACTCGCAATCGTACATTCTTAACTTTAATAGCCCAAATTAGCACATCTTGCTTTTAAATTAGCCCAAAAAGTAGCAAGTAGCGAAATTAAAAATTTGGGAGCGCGGGGCTCTCAAAAGTAGCCCAATTCGCTATTTGTAGCCTAATCATTCCCCGTGGCGTAGTGGAAAGACACTCGCCTGGCATTTTGAGAGCACTTTGTCCTGGGTTCGTATCCTGCCCGGGGAGGATTTACTGGGTGTCAATCCTTAACTGTAGCCTCTGTTTACCCAACAGAAAAATGGGTACCTGGTTGTCAAATAATTTGGCGGGGATCGTATTCCGGGGAATATTAGGATTAATGACTTGTCCGAAACGCTACGCGTGCTAGTGGCTGTACAAAAATGTAAGAACTCTTGTATATATATATATATAAAAAATAAAAAAATAAAAAGACTGGGCACTGATCCTGTGAGTAGTAGCGCAAAAATGATTCCAGAAGGCACAAAAGGTCTTTATTAGACCTCAGAAAAGATTATTACATTCACAATTACATCTATGTTGCGCACCTTATAATTATAATGTCAACTAGTTACAAAAATTATTCCATTTCAACAGTTATGCATTTATAATTGAACATTATACATTCGTGGTAAGTATTTTCGCTAATACTTATCTGTTTTAGCTATGGAGGTATTACAGGGGGGTCATAGGAAAGCTGGTTTATTACATACAAGAGTTTACATTCTTGTAAAGCCACTATTACGCGTAGCGTTTCGGGCAAGGTCCTTAACCCTAATTTCCCCGGAATACGACCCCGCCGAATCGTTTAACAACCAGGTACCCATTCACTGCTGGGTGAACAGAGGCTACAGTTAAGGATTGGCGCCCGGTCAATCCTCCCCGGCCAGGATTCGAACCCAAGGCAAGGCGCTTGCGAAACGCCAGGCGAGTGTCTTACCACTGTTATTATTATTAGTCTCTGTCTTATTATTATTAGTCTTTACACTACACTGCTTTAGTCTTAATCAGACATCATTTATCAACTGGAAGCGAAACATGGATACAGTACAAGTATTTTATATATTTTATCCTTAGAAATAAGATGCTTTTGTTGACCAGACCACACACTAGAAGGTGAAGGGACGACGACGTTTCGGTCCGTCCTGGACCATTCTCAAGTCGATTGAAGATTGTCATGACATTCTCAAGTCATTCTCAATCGACTTGAGAATGGTCCAGGACGGACCGAAACGTCGTCGTCCCTTCACCTTCTAGTGTGTGGTCTGGTCAACATACTTTAGCCACGTTATTGTGACTCATCGCCTGCAATAAGATGCTTTGTCATTTCGCGCAGCGTGAGTTTAGATTAATTTAAATAGCCCAATTTTAACACAGTCTAAGATGTAATGCTCTAGTGTGAGTTAGGTAGTTGTCCTGGGAAAGGTCAGTATATTTAGTCTAGGGTCAATTTACCGACCTAGGGAGATCTCTAGATACATATTTTTTTTTATTTACAATTTTTTTTATTTACAAATTTTTAACGTCAGGGAGTGAGTTCCAAAGACTGAGTCCTTTTATTTGCATGGAGTGTTTGCACAGATTTAGTTTGACTCAGTTAGTTTGACAGATTAATTTATTATATGGAACTTTTGAACGGTTTTAGATAAATAATTTTGGCGATGAAGGATGTGGAGTTAACTTTAGTAGTAGTTTTGGTTGTTAATCCTTTACTTTCTGGACTCTGGGACCTTCCGGTCCACTCTTTACAGTGGCCTTGCAGCATATTTCATGTGTGTGGTAAATTCGAATATACCTTGAATATATGCGAGTTATAGCCCAGCTCCTGTGCCAGGTAAGTCAACTACGGGCTCACCATAGCCTGTGCTACTTTGGAACTTTTGTTCTAAGTAGCTGAATCTAAAACAACAACAACAACTTGGATATATGCAGCATTTGAACATTTCCCCATGATACGACCCATAGCAGTCGACTAAGGGGAGATATGATAGGTTTAAATAAAATAAATAAATGTTTATTTAGGTAAGGTACATACATATAAGAAATTTTTACAAAGATTGGTTGACTTATAGGTAGAGCTAGTACATACAATGCCTAAAGCCACTATTATATATCCTAGTTTTAAATATTATATTATATATCCTAGTTTTAGAGTGAAAAGATAGAAACTGCCATCAACAAAAAGCATTGGCTTAAATTTGTAGGAAGCATTTGTTAGGTAACAGATATATATACGAAAACGAGAAGTGGGACAAGATCGAATTTCACCCTATCATGGGAACACCAAAAATTACTATAGGTAATTTAATCGGGTAAATTCAGGTAAATTCAGCTTATTGGTATCTGTTTCTTATTTATTTATTTATTTATTTATTTATTTATTTATTTATATATATACAAGAAGGTACATTGGGTTTGTGAGAATACATTGGATAGTACAGTATTTACATTCTTGTAAAGCCACTAGTACGCACAGCGTTTCGGGCAGGTCCTTAATCTAGCAGATAATCTGAGACCAAATATATTAGAGTGACGCATGGATCCATGTGAATGTATCTTAATGAGAAACATATACTGGTTAACAGTGCTATAGGCACGTCAGAGTTTAGTATATTTGGTTAACAATTGCGAGGGCTTAAATTTCCCGGCTAGATTAAGGGAACGATTGGAATGAATTATTGGCGGCCATGTTTGTTGTGGCTGGCGAGGACCGCGGAACAGACACTTGGTACACATCTATTTCGCATTAGTTGTTTCATCCATAGATTCCTATTTTAGAGACCAAACCGTTATAAAACATGAAATATCATGACTATTACCAATATTCAATATATCCTAGATAACAGCTAGGTTAGGTTAGGTTTTTATAATGCGTAAGGGAAGGGAAAGTTGTGGAGGCAGTGTACGAAGTGACCTGTACCCGGGAGGAAGGAACCTTGTGTCTGCTGGAGCCAGTCCACGCGGGGTCCCTCAAGTGTGAGCCGCAACATTTCCTCCACTTATCTCCTCCAGTAACTCCTAAAAGGTTATAGCATTGACTTTCTCAGCTATATGAAAGTAGTTTCTATTAAATGAAATTGAGTTCCAGGTGGCAGGACCCGCGGACTGCGACTTAATATCGCCATAAAAGAATTTATCGCACCTGCGCCGGAATTCTTTGATCAGGTTATCAGGTAGAATATCACGTCTATTATTTCACCTGGATGTGTGTGAGGCTTATGGTAGCACGCAAGGAAGGTGCCCTCAAGCTCTACGTCTTCCCCAGTCTAGTCCTGGGGGCAAGAGACCTGTTGCATTGCTCTTTTAAATTCATATATTATGTTGCTTGGTCTGGGAGGCATATGTTGTACATTGATAAGGGTGCAGGAAATGCCGTATAATAGATTTTTTTGGTGTATTTATGGTTCTTAACCCAAGCCAGTTGTTATAGATTCAGCTACTCGAAACAAGTTCCAAGTAGCACGGGCTATGGTGAGCCCGTAACTTACCTGGCACAGGAGCGGTGTTGTGTCTGATCGTGCAAGCCAGCTTGATCTAGCCTTAATGATATTGCCTTGTACAGTTTTAACACTTGGGATGTACACTGTGCGAAGTGCCTGGTTATGATTTTTAAGCGTATCCTTTTTGATAATGGTTCCTCCTGAGGTAGAACCACAGACCAGCATCATTATCACTAGATGTCTATTTCCTTCTATTGCTTTCCCCTCCCCGTCCCATCCCAAATCCTTATCCTGATCCCTTCCCAGTGCAATATAGTCGTAATAGCTTGGCGCTTTCTCCCGATAGTTCCCATCCCCCTTCCTTCACTTCACACTTCTCACTTTTACCTCTAATAGCCAAATCTAGATTTAAAGTTTTTTTTTACTACGTTATGGTGGCCGGTGATTCCAGAAAGGACAAAAACCTGACTGTCGTAGTGAAGAATGTTTGTAACAATTAATGCTCGTGCCGTAGGGTAATGAATCTAGTATATTATATACCATTAGACTCGGCAATTGGTCCTGGGCAAGTCTTACGGGCACGTTTCCTCACACTGGAAGCTTCTACTCGCCTAGCAGTAAATAATGAATATACAGTAGGTTGCTTTGTATCTGAAAGTTTGCTAGTTAATTTTAAAACCTAATCCAGCTTAACAATATATATACAGTAACACTAGGAGAATACTGTACCTGATGCTAGTCTCCAACACCCTTGGTTGTTAATCTTTGGACATTCATGTGGGTGAATGTTTTGAAACCGAGTAGCATGTTATTCTAGACGAGTGGCCTAATAGAATGGAAATAGGTATACTGTACAAGATTAGAATATACATATACTGTAGTAATTTTACTGGCATAATTGATTTCAAAATGGGGTGATATGGTATGTTTCACTGTCTGGAAACAGTGCAAGGGGTGTCCAGTGACTTGGATGTGCAACAGAACTCTAATTGTATTGTGGTTTGTTAATACTGTATTCCTGCGGGTATTGCATGTGCAGCGCACATTCTGTTGCTATTTTATAGAAAGTTTTCCCTTTTGATTCATACCATGTCTTAAGTAAAAGTAATTTTTTTATTAATTATTAATAAATACTTATTAATAAATTTGTAAAAAAAAGTATTATAAATGCCAATAGCGTTTAAGTACTGTATAATCACTCAAAACTTGAATGTTTAATTCCTATCAAAATCACATTTTCCGAGGGTGACCTCAACAAGCCATGCATGAGCTGCATGTTTTCCAGCAGAATACACAGGTCATTTAATATTATCTGCCATATTTTCCTTAATGGGTATTGCCTTAAGTATTCCAGTATTGCACATGTTGAATTCATTTTGTGTTTTTCAGATCACCAAACATGGCATTAGAACTTGCTCATGAAAACATCTGGTTTGACAAGTGGCGTGTGGATGATGCAGAACGTGAATTTTATGAAAAAAAGGCTCAGGTAAGCTACATATTAGCATTTATCATCTTTACATTTAATAATTATTTGAACCCTCTTTGAATGTAACTCACTGGTGTGAAACAATAAAAGGAGGGGGAGGGAATGTGCAGTGCTTGGGTGCTATGACCTTTAAATATGTTCCCAAGCTTTCTGCTAATATTTAAAGTGTCCATTATAATGTACTGCACAACCAGTCATTAGAACATCAAGCTATCTGACATTAGGTTCTATTATGCCAAGGTTACATTGCCTTATCCTCCTAAGATATTCCAGTAACAATGCATGATGACAGGTCAGAATTCTGTTTCCACATTATATCATAGGTTTTGATAGCATGAAGATGATGAAGATTGATGAAGATTAAGCCACCCAAAAGGTGGCACGGGCATGAATAGCCCGTAATTGGTGGCCCTTTATAAGCCATTACCAGTATCAAGAGCTGATACTGGAGATCTGTGGAGGGGCATGAAGAGCTTTTACTTGAAATTATTATAATGGATAATTTTCTTAGACTTGCATAGGTTTCATTGATGAATAGACAGCTATATATGAGGAGACGTGAACATTGGAAATTGATGCTCTAAATGTCTTGTACTATATACTATGTTAGCCTTTTGAATAGCTTATTGTTAATTTACTTTGTATGTAACCCCTTCAGATTCTCATTTGATTTGATCATACAATTGCATTTGGCTTTTGTAATTCAGTAACACATTTTGGCAAGTGTTCATGCACAAATGTACTGTTATGTACTCTTGATTTAAATAAATACAGCCCCTTCAAAAACTTTGCTAAGCAATTTACCTCATTCTAATATATGCACTATTGCTGTTTAATATAGTATATGCTAATATTAGATCCTGTGTATCATTTACGTCACGTAATAGCTAAATAGCGCTCTTCCTATTTTTTTGTTTTACATAGCCTGCCATAGGATCATCCTGTGTGAGGCATGCTTGCACAGGTAGGCCTATAGGGATAATTTCCAAGGTAAGGTGGAAAGTCATCTATTTTGAGTTTATAAATTGCTTTCAGTATTTTGCCAGTGGATTGGGGGAGGGTTAGCCTGACAGCTGAGAGAACAGTGCTTGACATTCATAGTCCTAAGGTTCCGGGTTCGATCCCCGGTGGAGGCGAAAACAAATGGGCAAAGTTTCTTTCACCCTGATGTACCTGTTCACTTAGCAGTTAATAGGTACCTGGGAGTTAGACAGTTGCTAAGGGCTGCTTCCTGGGGATGTGTAACAAAAAGGAGGCCTGGTCGAGGACCGGCCGCGGGGACGCTAAGCCCCGAAATCATCTCAAGATGACCTCGAGATAGTCATGTATTGGAAGATACTGTTACCAATCCACTTGAAGTTAAAGATATTGTGGAAATAAAATTTTTGTTCACTAAATTTTATTAACCATTCTTGTTCCTGTAGATAGAGAATGCAAATTCATTGTGCAAATTTAGGCATCATTTATACTGTACAATTATTTTATTTGCCATTTTTAAGATATCCTTTGTGGCAACATTGATTTCCTATTCATTCTTAATCATACTTTCAGCTGTTATATACCAGTATATTATTGTGATCTATGAAATTCTTAATGATTATATTATGCTTTTTGTATTGGTCATGTAAATTTACAAATCCTAGATTACTCATGTTTTATAATTACATTTTACACTGTATGCTGTTAGCATTTCACTTTGTAAGTATATCAGATAAAATTAATACACATTTTCTCTGAAAAATTTACATACAAATGGTTTTGAGAATCAAAATTTTTTGTCTTGTTATCGGTAAGGATGTGATTTTGTCTGCCAATTCTCAATGACCTCTTTTGCGAAAGTTCTGCTTTGGTGACTTTGTCAGAACCCACAACTTGGGTAATAAGTAATTAAGAAATGCCCACATGGCTCTCAATGGCTGTAAAGCCCTGGTGTAGATTTTGTTTTTTCATCTTCTATGAGAACCTCTTCAGTAATAAGATTATTAGTTAATCTAGCTACTCAACTAAGTATATATATTACCTGGTTTTCCTTAACATTTTGTGGAGGGTGTCTGCACTGGTACAATACAGTAGCGTAGATGCACATACACATCAATTGTATAATAGCAAGGATCAAAATATGTACGTGTGCGTGATGGCAGTTTTGCACTTCATTGCATATTTAAATTTAGTAATTTTATATACAAAGCATAAAGAAAATTTGTATGAACAATGCTAGTGTTTTTTGGAAAAATCACCTTCAATATAGCAACACTATGGTTCAACGGTGAAATCTTTCTGACAAAAGTATGTGCAGTAAATATATATTACCTTTTATTAATTATAAAAATTAAAAAAATAAAAATTATAAAAATTGTGTTTTATTTATATTCAATATTTTCATAAATTTGAAAAATTCAATCCTTGGAGGGTAACAAGATTTTAGAAATGCTGTTTTGAAAGGGTTAAGATCACTGGTTTGAGTAAATAAACAAACCACATGCAATAACTGCAAACCTTGAACTGTTATTAAACTGTTAAATTATCATACATGTTTTAATTCATACATTTGAATTATTAATACTGTAAGTGCCTACTGCAATCCCCCACCTACTATCCATTGGCTAGAAGTAACCTGAGGAAGGGAAAATTGGAGCATCCTGGAGAGTTCTGGGAGTTCTACTCCCAGAGCCCGGCCTGAGGCCAGGCTCGATTTATGATGATGACACAATAAACTAGTAAAGCACTTATCTTATTTGAAGATGGAGCATTGCATGGTTGACTTTGGTGATACTGTAGGCGACCTTGGAGGTGTTGGCTTCTTGGAATGAAGAGCTATTATAGTCCATCACACCAGACTCTTGGGCTGTCCTCTCAAGTTTTTCTTCACAAATGTCACCGTAGAAGAATGCTGTAATGCTATATTTAATGAGTGATATTAATAGAGGTGAATGATACTAACTTAACCTAGGATTTTTCCTCTTCACTAAGTTTTCCAGGAATGAATTTTCAACTAACATGGTTTGCTTAACTGATTTCTTTTTTCTTTTTAATGTGTTGTATTGATATACAAAGAAGAATGTCTGACCATGTATATAAACAAGATTTTTTAAACATAGTTGGTAGTGGTATAATTTTCTGGAAGCTCATTTTTGCATTTAGACAAATGTAATTTTATATGTCATGCTTGTACACTATATAGCCAGGATACTACATGCAATATGTAGGGAAAATTTTTGTTAAACACAGCATTACAAAGCCAACACAATATTTTTACATCCTCTTCATTCATTAAATTTACAACTACAGTGTATTTATAAAACAAGTTTGGGTATGTATTCCCTCTTCAGTATAAACATGCTGTTGGATTGGGACATTCTCTGATTAGCCCTTAAATGGCTCGGCTAGTCAAGTCCTGCATAATAGTGCATATGACAAGCTTGTCACATCATATGCACAAAATTGCAGTGGGGAATTCAAGCCCAGGAGGAAATTTCAGATAGCAACTGGAGTCACTTAAGGGTTAAAGGTTACAGTGCATGTTTAAATTTAAGGACTGGGGAGGGGGAGCAATAAATTGTCGGAACATGTTATAGTTTAGAGGTTCACGTCCACTGCCACACGGTCAGATTTAACATATACTGTAATTCAATGCCGTTTACAGGATACAATACTAGCAGACCACAGTGCTGTATTTGATGATACAAAAGAGGTTGAATTTAAATTATGGTACTTTGTCATGTTGTTTGTCTTAGAACAAATATCCTGACATTTACTATATTTAGTTTGAATTTCATTGCATAGGATGGTTTTCAGTTTGCAAGGTAGGGTCATTGGTTTGTTGATTGGTTATTGATAATTGATATTAAAAAAATAAAAAACACTTCTTCAGTATCATAACATCACTAATTTGGACTTATTATTGCAAACTAGCACTAGTGTATTAAAGGCATTTCAACTGCAGTATATTTGATCTTTGTGGTGAATGTGATTGGACAGTTCCTCGCTTTTTGTCATCTCGACCAAGAATTTGTTTCTAATAAATAATTGCTGGCAGAATTGTTTATAAATTTTTTTCAGTGTAAGCAGAAATAATGGTTATGATAGTACTATTTGAGTTTCTACTTTAAACCCCTAGGGATGATTGTACAATGATTGTTTAGACATTTTGTTGAGGAAGTAAGTTAGAATTTTCATATGACATTCCTAAACAACAACAAAATTCTTTCAGTAATACTGTATTTCTAAAACATAGTGCATTTTTTTTTTACCTCGGTTAGTGGAGGCTACTAATGATTTTCATGTGAAGATCTAATAGTCGTTTCCTATATCTCCTAGGGAAGTTCGGGCCTAGGATCCCTGGCCAGTCAGATAGCCAAGGCACGGCAAGAAATACAGAATTCCCTAGTCTCTGTGAGTAGGTCCTCTTAAGTGAGCTGTATGTGTTTGTTTTTGTATAGATGTTGCTTTGTGTTGGCCAATGTTGTTGTAGGGCTTCCTGATTATCTAATAAATAGTACTGTATCTTCTGATAATTCTGCTCTAGTATGAATTATTTTAATAATTGCTTAAAGATGCAAGTGCAATACTATGTACTCCCACTTGAATGGCCTAACAGGGACGGACCTTTCCCCCCCATCTGTTCCATCAGATACTGTAATCTGGTTCGTGCAGGGAGTCCGCACAGGCTCGACAAATACACTGCTGGACATCTTTCATGTTAAATAACTGAACAATAAAAAAAAAGGCAGAAATCATACAAAGACCACATGATCACCTTTCAGTAATACATGAAGGAAATGCAACATTGGGAGGGAACTATGAATATGATTAACAGGTACTGTATATCTTATAGAAATGAAAAATATTGGTCATTAAATATAGCTTTTATAATACTGCAATTTCAAACAATTGTTACTAATTATAATTAAATGCTGGTACAAGTTTTTTAGTATACAGTATTCAGATGCTGTGGCACTGTACAGTAAACACTACAGTATTTTGATGCTGGTCTCGACTAGCTCTGATACTATAGAATGCCTGCTGGATTGACCAAACTTTTTATGAAAATATTGTGCAGCTAATATCAAGTGTATTTTTACAATGGAAGTCAAAGCTTACGTTGCAACTAGAATTTTGAAGAGATTACATACAAGTGGGAGTACACAGTACTGTACTGTGGGACACATTTGTGCAGCTCATCCTTGTTTTACACCAAGAAAGTATAGAATAGATTACTATTTTTATTCCAAAATTTGTAGGGCATGTTTGATTTCTGGAGAACAACTTCATGTATTAGCTTAAAACTACTACTACCATTTATGTATGGTAGTGCAAGGAAAATCTTAGATATTAAATACAAATTTAAAATTTCATATAATCACACCATACAAAGTAGTACTGTAAGTAAATTGTCATATCAGTCTTTATACTGTAGTTGTAAAGTAGCAAATTGTAAATACAGGTACTGTGCTGTAAGTGCAATGTAATTTAATTACTTAACTCTCTTAGAATCTATCTTCGATAATTACTTCACAATTTACAGGGGTTTAATTTAGTGTTGTATAATTAATCAGTTATTTTAGCCATCTGGCCAAATTGTGACCGGTTTGAAAGTTATCTATGTAGGTAGCTAGTGTTGCCTTGCACTCTCACCCCCTCACCTCACTCCCTTCCACATCACATGTACATTACAATCTGATCTGATTTTTATGCTCTCTGCTCTCTCTCCACCACAATTCAACCACAACTTGCCAAAAGTACAGCCATTCCTGCCACAACAAGCACCACCACTATACCGAGTATGTCAGTTATCACTAGAACCTCAATTATTACAATTGTCCACTGCCAAATACAGCTACAACCACTCACCACTATACCCAGCACCATAACCAGCCTCTACCACCACATAACCACCACCTCACCACTACCACTGTACTACTACATCTTTCTACCACCCCTCCACAAATATTTTGCACTTAATGCTTTCAATATAATGGTAATTTTATCATCTAGGCCCAGTTTTATGTAAGACAGAGTATTAATAAATACTAGTACTAATAAATGTTACTTTTAAGTCAGATCAAGTTTAAGTTAGTATTAGTTTAAATTGAAAGCTTGTATAGGGAAATCTTTTCTGATAAACTAAATATAATTTTTAAAACTTCATCTCTCTCATTCATCAGTCTATCTTAACACCATACGTGGGTTCTAAATGCTTGCGGACTTTTCATTATGCATAAAACCTGTTAACATAGTATTGAATGCATAGTATAGTTGTAAAGCATGAAAGGTACGCTAGACCAAATTCCCTTTTTCTGTTGCATGACTTATTACATATATTGCAGTGTAATTAAATGATAGAATAGTCTGTAAATTATGAAGACGTTTGAGGATAATGTTCAGAATTGAGAACGAAAAGACCAGAGGTGGTTATAGCTTCAAAGCCAGGGAAAACTGTAAGAAACAGGTGAGAAAATTTTAATGCTACTTAGCAGACTAACAAATTCTATCCTGAGTTACTGCATACTGTTGTTCCCTTCAGCAGAAGACACACTCATCTCGTGTTGGAAGCCTCCTATCCACTTGGACTTATCAATAGAGTGACTGCCTTAATTCTTGCAGGGTCTGTCTTCAATCCCTGATGCTCCAAGTGGTTAGGGGCCATTCCTTCACAACCTCATATCCCAGCTCCTTGTTCTCATCTCTTCCACATGCTGTATAGTCATACTGGCTTAACACATGCTCTCGATGGTTACTTTACCTTTAGTAGTTAGTATAACTGGCCGACCTCTCGGTGTTCAAAGGAGAACTTTATAAACCCCTTCAATGGATACCTTATCAACCAGGCTGCAACTCGTATGTCAGACTGAGAGCAGCTGCATCGAACAGCCTGGTTGACCAGAGCACCAATTATGAGGCCTGGTCAGTAACCGGGCCATGGAGATGTTGATTCTCAGAATTAACTAGTATATGACAGGGAAGGTAGGCAACTGTCTTTTCTTGGTTTACTTTTCAGTGGAGGTAGTTTTATACTGTGATTGTGTAACCTTTGTACACTGGGTCAACAGTGCTTGGTGAAATTTTGGCTGTATTTTCTGGCCTGAGGTTTTTTATTGGATCTATCATTGTTTTCATCTCGAATGGGTTCCCAGATTAAATGGCACATTTTTCCAGGATATGAGGATCATGTATTTCCTTTCTTGGTATGAGTACAATGCATCTATTTTTGTTGTTGTCCCACTGTGTGGTTAACTGTGACTACATGTGGGGGTGATGTGCCATTACTCCAAAGGCTCTCACTTCCATGCTTCTGAGCTAGACACATCTTGATTACAATTTGGGTCTGCGTCTATTACGTGTTGCAACATAAAACCTCCATCTTTGGCTAGGAGGCATGCGAGAGAGAAGTGGCAGCTGTTCCTCTGTATGCAGTGTATTAATTAAGTGGAGGGAGGTTTGTGTTTTAATATGTTATGGCTCATTGAATGTGGTCCTGTATGCTCCGACTCTTTATCTTGGGAAGTGGCTAGCTGATGGCTACATATTCAGATTTGTCCATTATTGCAGTGAATTTTGGGTTTGGCATTAGTTTGGACGATTTTTTCTGGCTATTCTTTTTCATCCCTGCTCTTGTATGAATGGTTAATATGGGAGGAGATAACTGACTTGCCCATCTTGAATTGTGTGTGTGCAGCTTTGCAGAAATTCTTTCTTAAAAGGGTTCATTTGCAGTTACATGTGTATGGCCCACAAGCACACACATCATTAAGTCAGTTTTTGGAGTCAGATTCAACTGGTGTTGAACTCCATAACTACAGTATACAGTACATTTTTTTTACCTGATGAGAAGGTACATAATGTATTGAGTGGATCTTGAGCATCCCAGTGTTTCAGCTGAAGCCTGCCTACTTCTCATGGTAATGGAGGGAATGGGAATGTCTTGCTGTTACCTGGGTCTGGGTAGAAACTCGGTTCATCCTTTAATGTACAAGTGCTGCTTTTGATGTGGCTGCTTACTCATTGTGCCTGGTATGCACCACCAGCTTGAGGTAAGATGGGGCCGTGGCTCTTGACGGTGCTGTCCTATCATTATCTGCAGTATGTTGCTAACCAAAACAATAACACTCCAGATCATATTTTTATGACTTGTTCATTAGTGGTTTTTTGAAGAGGTTAACTTCTAGATGACGAGATGTGCAATATAATCTTGTGTTTGAAGTGCATTGACTGCAGGCACTGTAATGTGCTACTATCCGGCAATCATCAAAGAAAAGCCAGGTTATGAATTGTTGTTTCTGCTGTCAACATGAATAAATTAATTAAATAAAAAATATAGAAATATAGAAATTATTTTATGATAGTGTAAAAAACCTTGGACATCATGCTACTAAATTCTGATTTTTGTATCTCCACTCTTCTTGTTTGTTGATTCAGCTGCAGATTGTAGAACCCAGACTAAATGATTGTAAAATTACAAGCCTGATTGGATTGAATTTTGATTAGTGTAGTGTCCAGTGAAATTTACAATTTGCTTTATAGCTGTGTAGCGAATTACGGCAATTTGATTTTAATTTCCTTTAAAATGTAGATGCATATTATATGTAATTGTTGGCTTATTAAGTATCAAACTTACAGGGTGGTCGCACAGCCTCTGGCAGCAGTGGCGGCGGTGGGGGAGTTAATGCTGATCTTCTGAACCGCATTACCAAGCTAGAAGGGGAAAATACAAGCCTTACAAAAAGTGAGTGATACATATGCATGCTTCATAGAAATAGTACTGGTGCATTTCTAAACAACTTTTTTTTATATGACCTCAATTTAATTATTGGGGGATATTTAAGAATTGGATAAGTTGGACAATCTAGAAATTCATATTTTTTATTCCCCCCCCCCCTTTTGATCTAATCTAGCATTGTACAGAATATAAGAAGATAACATCAAAAGTGTTGGCCTTTCTTGGCTATCCCACTGGGTTGCTTCCTAAGGCATGAACATATTGGTTCCATGAATGGAGTTCTTTCTTTTCAAATGTTCTTTCCATTTTATAATGGTTTTATGAAAACACAAAAAATAAAGAAAATTACATCAGGCCAATTGGTCCCTTTTCATAGCAGCTCCTATTTATACCGTATCAAATTCACTCGTATATTTTTGACAGTTGCTTAAAACAATCCTGCGATCCCGTATCTATTGTTACTTGGTAATTTGTTCCGTAAATCAAAAACTTTCAGAACAGTCAGTACAGACTGGAATGTCACTGGAGAATAATCAATACAAACTCAAATGACATCAAGCTCTCTGAAGTACTGCTTCTCATAATTGGGACCACCAAGAGGTAGTACAGTACAACCTCGATTCAACTAACTATATGGTACCAACTTCAATTTGTTGCAGTGAGGGATTTGTTGCAACTGGAGATGCCTCCAGGTTGCATTTCCCATGCCCTTTGGGCTGGTGTGACTTAGCAAAAATTTAATTTCAACCTATAATGGACAACTACGAAATAAACATGTCTGCAAGAAATTTAACCACATGCCGTTTATTTCTGATGTTCCCAGCCTCAAAACTAAAGGTAAAGATTTCTTAAGGCAGCAGGACCATATGAGTGAAAGAAAAACCTTGCCAACTGAGAATAAAAACAATGGAATTTGGCTTTAAATATGCTCGGAGGCTTTCCCAAGGCCCAACTATTTCTTGTAATATTGCCTCTGTCTATGGACTCAGTCCCAACATCTTAAGGAAATCCACACATCCCCCTGTTCACCAAACTCTTGTTTGTTGAATTGGGTGAGTAAATCTGGCATGGAAAAGTGTGTTCCAACCGGAGATTTGTTGAACCAAGATTCCACTGTACGGTACTAACACCAAAGATGGTACTGTGACATGATCTTCCTCGTTCTTTCCAACTGGTTCCTATGTCACTTGTGGGCAGGTGGAGACTATAATTAACATAACAATAAGATAGTTATAGCTAACTAGTTATCTATAGATAGTTATAGTTATCGATAGCTAGTTATATCGATAGTTATCTCAACAATTATGAAATAACCTCAAGATAAGAAGATATCATGGATTATCAACAAGTACAGTGACTTGAGTGTCCCCAAAAACACTGCTGTGGGCATTGCAATATGCTATTAGTGAATGATTCTTTTGTGTGTGTATGCTAGTCAGTTGTCTCGATTCTCTTGCCATTCAGTGCTTTCAGATTTGGTTCAGTGGTGCACCAACTGGATAATCTCTGGAGATTGCCATCACATTCATAGTTCCTAGGAATTTTGTTCTAGAATGTGGGTGTTTGTGCTGTGTATAGCATGCATTTGTTTGTAGGTGGCCTGTTCCAATGTGTTTAGTCCCAGGGCACATCTTGCGTATTGTTATTTTAGGATTAGGTTAAAATTAGCCTTGAACTTGTGCTATGGTTCCCAAGTCATTTTTTATATCTTTGTCTTTGAGTGATTCTATCTAGTCAGGTATAGTAAAGTGCATTTATTAGAGAATAACACTTTCCTTTTATTTCAGCTGTATCAACCTTAGAACAGACTATCATGAATTTGACAACAAGGTTGGAAAAACTAGAATTTGGAAGCAGTACTACCACAAATACTACTGCCACTCCCAAAAAGTCTGAACCAATGGAAACAGAAGAGGAGGACGATGATGATGATGATGTTGATTTATTTGGCTCAGACGAGGTGAGTAACAGTTTGTAGAAATAAACATAAAACATTTTGAGTTAATGTGAATTTTTATTCCTATCACCACTAACTTGGATTTTTGTATTACAAGGTCTCCTTTTGAGCCACCATATTTATACCTCACATCTGTCGCTAAAATTGATATATAATTAAGATTATTTTAGTTTATTTAATATACACTCAGCCTGTGGGTGGTAGTAGGAAAGGTTAAAGGCACATAATTAGCTCCGGAATTGAAGCTCGGGAAATTAGTTAAGATACCGATAGGTTATGTTTTGTAAATCCTGCCATGTTGTGTAAATGTTGTTCTGTATTCATATAATCATGTGTCAATTTACAATTGTTATGTATTAGACTATAACAAATTGTGGGAAGAGTAGAATGAATTTTGTTAAGATTAATCACATTTCTTGGATTGTTTGCATTGGTTGTACAGTATTTGTAATGCCTCGTGCATGTGGATAACTTAGGACCTTGTATTGAGTTTCTTGGACCATATTTAGTACAGGTATTGCAAAATGACATTTATTGTTTTTGTATTGTTAAAAATGTTATTGAAAATACTGTGTAATAAATTTTTATTTTTCACATCTCTGCCCTTGATATGAACAGTTCCAGAGGGTACAGCATAGAAAGAGATAAACAGCATTGTTGAAAATGTTTACTGAATATTCCAGTTTTGTATGCTAGAGCTCGGCCGACCGGGGAGCTGGTCGGCTGAGTGGACAGCACGCTGGACTTGTGATCCTGTGGTCCTGGGTTCGATCCCAGGCGCCGGCGAGAAACAATGGACAGAGTTTTTCACCCTATGCCCCTGTTACCTAGCAGTAAAATAGGTACCTGGGTGTTAGTCAGCTGTCACAGGCTGCTTTCTGGGGGTGGAGGCCTGGTCGAGGACCGGGCTGCGGGGACACTAAAAAGCTCTGAAATCATCTCAAGATAACCTCAAGATTGATCATAGTATTTTTCTTTGCAAGAGCTACACAATATTTTTTGCAGGTTTGAGTTTTGAAACTAATATTAATTTATACCTTTAAGTGAGACAACTGTTGCATTACTTTGTGCTAATATATTTTATCTGCAGGAGGATGAAGAAGCCGAACGAATAAAGGAGGAACGATTAAAGGCCTATGCTGAGAAAAAGGCAAAAAAACCTGGTCCTATTGCAAAGTCTTCAGTCTTGTTGGATTGCAAACCTTGGGATGACGAGACCAACATGGCAGCCATGGAGGTAGAAATCCGTAAAATTGAGATGGATGGTCTAGTATGGGGTGCCTGTAAGTATTGCTCTAGTTTTTGTCGTCATTGTTTCTTGTTGGGGACAGCAAGTTTATTTAAGCTTGTGAGTTGTCCCCAGACTAACAGCTGACCTCAAAGATGCAACCCATAACAATGTCCTAATTCCTAGGGACCTCTTTAGTGCTAGGTGGAGAGGAATCAGTGTTAGGAAATATTCCTAAATATCTCCTGTCTAGGAACCAAACCAAACTTCAGACCATTTGACTGCATGCCAACTTGACTACCACTTTCAATTATTTATATTTCTGTATCTGATGCTTTAGTCCTTGTGGTAACGTGCCCTCTGTAACAAAACTCTTAATCATGGAGTTCCTTATTTCATAGTGAAAGGAGTCATTTCTCTAATATTGTGAAGGGCAAACCTGCATTATTTTAGGGGCTTCATCTTATTGTTAACACTTATAAGGCGGTCAAGTTGCCTGGTGATGTTGCAGTATATGGTAGCATGAACATGTAGATAATCCTGTTAATGTATTTTGTACTCCTTCCATCTTCAATAAGTCAATACTTTGATTAGAAGACTCGTCATTGACAGTGCAGTGATCTTTGGAAACATCAATAATGGGTCATGTCTACATGTACTTCAGGCAGGGATGATCACGTCTTAGGGCCCTTATGTGGTGTAATGATACTCTTGATGTTTTACCAATGTCATGTCTACTTTTAAAGCTGTGACTTTGCCTCTTCCTTCAGTTTATTCAGTGTGTTAACTTTACATCCTTAACACCTTGATATTTGTTTCTGGTTGCCTGCTAGTCCTGCTCATCTAGAATACTGCCATTGTCCACCTTCTTTCTTGTTATCTTGTACATCATAACGTGCTTCTTGTGTTACCTTCGTCTGTTGATTTATATGTTTGAAGGGCTTTAGAGTCTCATTCTTGGATGCATTTGTATAGACTATATAATCTTAGGATAATAAACTATACAAATGGTGGTCTTTTTAGTACAGTGACCAGTGCAGTTGGTTCACAACCGAAGCATCCAAGGCTTGATTTCTGCAGCAGAATGGAAATGTTTAGGCATGTTTCCTTTCATTTCTGTATGCTCAGCAGTAAATAAGTACCTGGGAGTTCAGCAACTGCTGTGGGTTGCATGCTGGAGAAGATTCAGTAACTGGCCAAAGGGGGGACCTCAATAAGCCAAACAAGCTTTCAGTTTCTGGCAATGAGAATCTGTATCAGAAAAAGTAACTTAGACCATTGGTGAAGCATGTTCAGTGGCAAATTTCAAAGCACATAGATTGGATAATGATGGTAGTATGGTAATTTGATGTATTAGATTTAGTCATTCATTACAAAATGTATGCTTGAAATTGTTTTTTGTCATTTTGTAGGGCTTGGGGGGGCCCTACAAAATGCCTGCATTAAAAATGCACATTCAACAATGCATGTGCCTTCCATACTTCACAGTAGCAAATGAATGTACTATCTAGTGAATCTAGTCATACATCTGTAGTAGTATCTTGGCCAATTCATAGAATAAGTGTTGTATTCCACATAAATTGATGATAATGTGTACCTCCTTTGCTTTCATAACAAATTTATTTTATTTAGTCATGTTTTTATGCTTAGAACATTAAATGTTAAGCTTCTCTGTATACTTGCAGCCAAACTTGTACCACTTGCTTATGGAATTCAGAAGCTTTCTATTCTGTGCACTGTTGAAGATGAAAAGGTCTCCATAGATGATCTAAGTGAGAAGATACAGGAAATTGAGGACTATGTAAGTACATAAACTCTCCTCAAGTTGTTCATAAAGTAAGCTTCCTGATTCTGTGCTCAACTACTTTTGTTTCTCAGGGAAGAAGTTCAACTCTTGAACCATTTTTTCTTAGTGGGTTGGTGCAATTACTAAACTTCTGTAACTTTATCATGTCTACTTTTAAAGTGATCTCTGATGCACAACAGCTTCTGTGCCAATTTTTGGGTCTAGTTGTGTATAACAAGTGCAATCTGATGGGCGGGCTTGGAAATAGTTTATGATGGTGTCACAAAACCACAAAACTACAGAATTCTTCAGGAGAACTTGAACTACAGGAATGGGCAGGGAAATAGCTAATGGAGTTTAGGTCTCAAAAATGTAAAGTAGTGTTTGGGAGAGGGGAAAAGTTGACTGAACAGTATAAATTTAGGGAGGTAGTTGCATGAGTCAAAATGGGAAAGCACCTGAGAGGATGTATCACCAGCCTACCACCCAGGGTACATATTTCAGAATAACACCAGTTGCCAGTGTGAATTTAGAAGGTCCATAAACATCACAATGCATGTGCCAGACATAAGAAAAATGAGCTATGAGAATAGACTGAGTTAACTAAAACTGATGACATTGCTCCATGTCATTATCTACTCCAATATGCATGCTGAATAGAAAGTCAGCATGGTAAATTTTGTTTCATATTGTAAAGGCACTATTTTTTTTTTTATCAAAGTTAAAGCATGCAGTAGAAAAGATTAATCACTTAGGCTAAAGTACAGTAAAGATTTTTTTTTATGGAAGATGTTCAGAGGCACGATGAAATAGCACAAATTTGGCTGGCTGATGGTCGATTAACATTGGATTGCCATGTGAAAATGAACATAACTGAACAGTGTTTAGTAAGAGATGGCCAAGGAACTTGCCATAATAAGCATGTAAAAGTATGCTAGAACAGGGTCAGCTGATGGAAATGCATCATCTTGGTGTAACTTTTCTGTAGAAGCATCAAATTCACAATACACTCTACACAGTAAACAGTTTGTCCAAACAGTGAACACTACACATACACACATTGTTCCAAGATTGTATGTGAAGATACATAGTTTGCTTATACAGATGCACTGTAACTTTAATATTCTCTAGGGTGAGAGGAATTAATTATACAGCATTCCAAACTTTTAAGACACTGTTCTGCCACAATTGGTACCAAATTGGGTGCAATGTACTATGGATTGCTGCCGGCATTTTGTCTAAATCAAGTTATGCAGATGAAAAATACTCTTTTGGAGAAGGTTGGTTTACATTGGATGAACCAAGTCGTGCACGGCCAGTACATTACATTATCTGTAAAGATTAATGATGCTGCTATTTCTGTAAGATTTTGAACACATTGTCTGTATATTGTATAGTACAGTAAATGAACAGATGGAGGGAACTTATATTTTTTAAATTTGTATTTGTTAGATATTAAATATTTTTTGAACGAGTATCATGTGATGGGGAACAAGGGGATATACCCTCACTGGAAATATATATATCTATATTTTAAGAATTGTTGATAAAATTTATTAGCATTTTAATTGTGGCATATTCTAATTATTTTTGTTTTGTTTGCAGGTTCAAAGTGTTGACATTGGTGCATTCAACAAAATTTAAGGTGCCATTCATTCCAGTGCTAATTGAATAAAAAGGAGTTTATACATTATAACATTTTTATATACCCTTTTTTGAATAGGTTACTATTATTAAGGTTGGGAAAATGTTGAATGTTTTGGCTAGGATAATACTGTAAGCTTGTTATAATAACCTTGTCATGCAATAGAGCAAAGTTGAGGTCTTAATAATGTAATTTGTTAAATTGAAGGAATAGTTTGTATTTTTGTTTATAGATTGGTGTCAATATATTACAGTATTACATTTTAAACACCTTGAGCTTTTATTTTCTTGGGATAAATCCTGTTTTCATAGGTTGCAAGCCCAAAAAATGCTTCTTCCTCCCCCCACTTATGGGTACTTCCTTGTGGGTGGGGGATCTTTTTTTTTTTTTTTTTTTTTGTCAGGGCAGTTCAGTACCAGTTTATGTAGCTCCTCACTTCATGGATTCCACCTTGGCATGCTTATGAAACTAACTAAAGCTCAGAACAATACTGAGCTAATGGACCCCTGATGAGCTGGGATCTCTACAGTGGTGGTGTCCACAGGCTGACTACACAGTTTCAAATGTAGATATGATGGAGCTTGAGAAACACTGCAATCTGTACACAAGTAGATTGACGGTTGAGAGGCAGGACCAAAGAGCCAAAACTCAACCCCTGTAAGCACAATTAGGTGAGTACATCAGTAACAACTGATTGGGGGGGGGGGTGACCTGGATCTTTGGATAAATTTTTACAAGTGTTTACACTGGGGAGTTCATTGGCAGCTTTGAGGCCTATGTTCTTTTGAACTCAACCGTTGTCTTTTTGTTCAATTTAAAAAAAAAAATATAGTAATTCTGAGGTACCCTTATAATGCACATTTGCAAAGTAGGGGACATAAGCTTGTTAAAAGGTACATTGACCTGTGTTGAACAAGCATCAGTGGTGTCGGGGCTCCATGTGAGGTAACCATGGCAAGACAGTATGCGACAACACTGTTTTCAATGCTGTGGTTGGCCATTTTGGCAGGAATGTGTCGAAGGCTCTGTAGATTTCAACTCTAGTGTCTTGGCTGATAACTTTACAGTAAAATAAAACAACTAAACTTATCCTCCAGAAAAAGCTAGTACAGTACACTGTGACTGGAGAATACAGTACTGTACTCGTCAAAAGTATACACCTCTCCTCCCATGCTTGAGGTGGTGCACAATTATGGAGAAAAAAATTACATGGTCTTATGGGTTAAAGATTGTAGAGATAAGTAAGGGTAAAGTCATGTACCCGGCGCAATCTCCTTAAAGCCACGCAGCCGAGATGCTTACTTGCTTTCAAGGCATTCAGTGAGTGGTTGTGCTACACGTCTCGCTCTGGCACTCTTATCGTGTTTTATCAGTTAACAGTGGTGTTGGTGCCAAGACATTATTATGGCACCTACCAAAGAAATAAACAAAAACCATTGCTTTAAGGAAGCAGGACACCAAAGTAAGGAAATGTCCAAGATTCAACTAAGCATCACAGCTCTGCGGCTCCCGGGAGGTAGCGCACACTGCGAAGTCACGTACCCAGCGCATATAAATTGTCATCCATACTTCCAGGGAAATAAATATTTCATTCACCTGGGCTCTACTTCTGTCTACAATCTTTCACCCATATGCCAGTTTTATTTTTTAGCCATAATTATGCACTGCCTCAAGCAGGGGGAGGGTTATCTTGAGATGATTTCGGGGCTTTTTTAGTGTCCCCGTGGCCCGGTCCTTGACCAGGCCTCCACCCCCAGGAAGCAGCCCGTGACAGCTGACGAACACCCAGGTACCTATTTTTACTGTTAGGTAACAGGGGCATAGGGTGAAAGAAACTCTGCCCCAATGTTTCTTGCCGGCGCTTGGGATCGAACCCAGGACCACAGGATCACAAGTCCAGCATGCTGTCCGCTTGGTCGACCGGCTCCCCTCACCAGAGGGGGGGATACTTTTGACAAGGCAACTCTAATATAGTACAGTATATATGTACATGTTAGGTCATAGACTGTGTATATTAAGGTCCAGGAGGTGTTAGATTGATTAGTGTTTACAGCCCATTAGTTTACAAATTGTGGAAACATGAGTGCATTAGTTGTTCATTTTGTAAGTTTTATCCAAATACTGTACACGAAAGTTAGAGACTAACTACAATTAAAGGAGAGAGGCTGCAGACTCCGACTACTGCCGAGGTCAGATAAAGTAGCCGTAAGAGGTAAGTCAATGGAAAAAACTCGTGACTGACTCCTTGTGGTTTGTAGGAGAACGAACAAAATTAATTGTAATAGCTTCAAATATACAAATTGCAAACATATTTGTAACTGCAATGATTCCTTTCAGAGGACAGTAACACAATTATGAAGTTAGCTAGATTCATATATTATTCCATCTCCATGACACATGACAACCCTGATTCACATTAATAGCTATGGGACTAGTAAGGAGAGCGGTATTGTACTCCATAATTTACATTAGCTGAAGGAAAAGGCTTGCACACTATCATGCCAGAAGCAGCCAATTAAACACTCACTGAAGTAAAATTTGTGTACATATTTTTTAACGCATAAAAAAGAACATGCACTAATTTTGGAGGAAGTGAAACGAACTTAAATAATAATGGGGTGAAAATTAGTGGCACAGCTTTGCAAATGCATTGGGGAACTAATCCTAATCTTTTTGTATCATTACACTTGGATTAATGTTACAACTCTCATACAATAAGTAGTCACTTTTGGCATAATACTTTCAAGAGGAAGGTAGCAAACTGCAAAGTCCTTGTACAATATCATTTCATTATACAAATGAACTTCGTAAAATTCATGTAAAATAATTACAATTTTGTTCATTACTTCATTACCCTTTTCGCAGGATAAACGAGTAAGCATACACGAAAACAATTATATAAAATTATTTTGTCCTAATAAATTTACTCCTTCAAGTACGAAGGCATAATATAATCTGCAGCTTAAAAGCAAAGGTAATTTATACTTTAGTCAGACATGTATATACAAACATGGAAAAAATAACTCAATATATAAATGCTTTTGTGCATATGCTATCCTATCTGTAACTAAAATACTTATATTGAAATATCACAGATATCAGAAAAGCAACCGTTGCAAAAATCAAGATCATAATCTTATCTTTGGTATATAGCAAGCTATGAAAATACAAAGCACTTATTCATTTTATACATACAAAAAGTTTAAATTAAATGGCCTTTCTATGGCAAAGTATTTATATATCAAGGCCTTTAACCAGCATTATGTAAGAATATATGTCGAGCACTTTAATCAGCATATGATTTACTGAGCCACTGCAATTGCTGTCATCATATTGCCGCTCACTGCTATAGTATTTAGTTCAACCACAACACTTTGGATGTATGTCAGACAATCTAAACTTAAAATTTACTGTAACAAAAGTAAAGCAAAATATAGAAATCAATATTTTCTGTTTGTTCTACTCACAAATTGCACATCTAAATGGCACAATGCAGAGCCAGTTATAGAACCGGTATTTGTTATATGGCACTAGAGATCTATATCTCCACGAATCATATGCAACCTCTTTAGTTAAAGAGGTGATTGACTAGAGGAATCACGGTACCGATTTGGACAATCACTAGCAGCAGTGAAGCAGCCTGCTTAAAGGTAAATATAGAATCGTGACATGTCGCAAAAGGAAATATATATTAGACGAGTAAATGCAGGATTTCCTTCAGGATATATGTGTACTTATAGATGATTAGTTATTAGTAATTCCTTTTCCTGAGTGCAGTACTGAAGTTATATTGTCATGCTAATGCATATGTTCACATACGAATTAATTGCTCAAACAAGTTTTACGGTACAGGTATATTTCGATAGAATTCTATTTCCACTGGCAATATTCATGGAAAAATAACTATTAACTGCAGTACATGATCATGTCCTATGGAGAAAAAACTACTGTTATCTAGTAGCAAAACTGCAATATTTTGCCTGATTGGATGCAGCCCAGTTTTTAAATTACATAAACTGTTTTATCCATAACTGTAACATTGAAATTAAACCAATACAGTACTGTATATTTAAACTCAAATTAAATGAACTAGTTGTGTGCAGTTTAGAATCTCTGTTATGTAAACATGCTATGGTAGAACTGGCTTTCTACTTGGACATTTACTGTCATCTTTACTAAAAGTATTTGAGCGGCTGCCAACAGCTGGTGAAGGTATAGCAGTACTACCGATTGGTCTACTTGTAACACTGGAAGATCTGCTTCTGCAGCCTGTTATACCTGAACCAAACGTGGTTGAAGGGGTTGGACTAGTACCCCTTCCTGTTGCTAGCCCAGTAACACGTCCAGGCTCCCTCATGGGAGACCTGGTAGATTTTCGCCCCATGACTGCTCTTGTTCGCGTGATGTTGCCATTCTTGACATCACTCTGTCTTCTTGGTTCTGTCTTGTCAACCTTGGGTGTCCTTGGAGTGTGGGAACCACTGTCGGAATGGCACTGCGGAGATGGCTGGCTCTCCTGCTGGCTGCGACCTGCCTTACTGAGGTTTGTGATGCTGCTTCGGAGCTCTGGTCGTCGGGTAGGTGTTCGAGACCTTGCCTCTGTTGACTGGGTCCGAGCAAGCTGTCATTAAATATTGTTGATTAGTGCAACCTAATAAAGATTCACATATGTGCCAATGCAATACATAGGCAAAATGTTTTACAAAAAAAATATAATACTGTATACAGTACTGTCTACAAAACTAGGGGAAAATCACAATCGTGTAATTGAACTTGTCATCTAAATACTATCAATTTTCTTAAGAGTAGCACAAAAAAGGGGGCTTAATTTAATTATAAAATATAATACTAACCACTTCTCACAATGGCAAAATAAAATATTGAAGTTCTCAACCTATTGTCAAATAAAACCTTGGAGAATTTTGACAAATGTTGAATTTGTGTAAGGACTTGCCTCAAACTGCAAATTAGGTAAAAATGGTTCATAGAATGTAGTAGCACTCCCATTCTGAGCCCCAGTGCATTTAGTCTTCCAAAGTTCAAGTATGTTTATTGAGACAATAAGATAAATCTCAAAAGGATAGAGTAGCTTAGGCTATTTCTACCCTCTCCAGTCTTCCAAATTCACCCACACATCAGATATCTGCACATGTACTTGCCAACTGACATGAAATAAATATATATATGCAATAACACCATGTTTTCCAAGCTATTTTACAGAGTTTACTTTGAAATTTGGTGTGAAAATGTTTGCACATGAATATTAATGAGCACAGATGCCAAACATGTCTATATGCATTATGGGTTATGAGAGGTCCTGCCAAATATATAAAAGACTGAATAATGCTAATTAGAATTATAGGGAAGTGAAGCAACATGTAGAATCAGACACAAATGTGTTATCAGAACAGAGCAGTAATAAACCAACCCACCAAATAGAAAAATAAATCAGAAATCCATCAATCTAAACAAACCTGTCAAATCAAATTTTGAATTCCCCTGAAAAATGTTTTAAACAATAATGCACTAATAGTCGGCCATGACTGCTACACCCATCCAAAAGTAAAGATCCAATAACTAAGTCCTCATTTACGAAACCCTCATAATTACTACGAAATGATATATGGATGCTTACTCGCACACAAGACAACAACCACCTCATAATACACTTAAAATCTCAAAGTATTAATGTCTCTGGTGACATACGCAGGAATACAAGAGAATGAAAACAACAAACACCTCATCTGCCTTACAAGGCACAAGACCAAAGCAGCCATTCCAGTACAATAACTCGTGAAGATCCACTACAGTAATTTACGACTAATGCGATGCAAGGCAAAGCGTAGAAAATCAGCCTCGAGTCATATACATTCAAAGATATTAACTATATGCCCAAACCTTTGCTTCATTTCCAGACCCTTCATTTAGGGAGGTCAAAGTCCGACCTTGTGGAGTGGTGGTGGATTTTTTGAGGGGCAACTCATCCTCAGAAGCAGAGCTACCTGTGGTCTAGGAAAGAGCAGTAGAAGCAAATTATTACTTCTACAAGTTCCAAAAATGAAAGACGGTACTCATACATCCTCGAGTATTAAGATAACTTTTCTTAACATGCACATGGAAAAGTTATTATATGCATAAAATGCAGTCAGTGAAGATCATGATCTCAGTTGGCTATCTGATTATTGAAATTTATGTAAAAAGCATTAGATTTATACAGCTTTATAAGACTTAAAGGGACAGGTAGATACAGAACTAAAGGGAAATAGAGGGCCAGGCTCAAGCAACAGAGTTCAGGATATACACTTTGTACTGTTATCAATTTGGTGTGGAAATAAACTAGATTTTAACATGCATATAAAAATGAATTTAAAGAATATACAGTAAACTACATGATATATCAACCCATCCTCCTGTTTAGATAGTACCTATTGTGACGATCGTCAACAGTCACGAATTCGTACTAACATACGTTATGTACGTATGTAACAAACGAATTATACTAAATAGAAAGGAATTTAAAAAAAAACTAAAACTAAAAAACTTAAAAATTCCTAGGCCTAGTATAGCGAACACACGTACTAGGCCTCAGATATCATGTATTAGGCCTAGAAGGTTAGGTTAGTTTAGTTTGTCTTTGCAACACTAAATAATGATAATTATTTAGCTTTCTGGTTTGTCCAACTCAATAGTGCCGATTCCTACTGTCTAATTTTGTTGTACTGTACGCTGGTATATATACTATGGTCCTCATCATTGAAACTGAAATAAGTTTATTGAGGTAAAATACACACAAAGGGATGAGGTAGCTCAAGCTATTCTCACACCGTTCAGTACATCGTGTTAATACATACATATACACACATCACAAACAATAAACATATTACCAAACATTCTGAGAGATAAACATCTACATTTCCTCCTTTACACTCCTCATCATTACTATAAGTATGTACTGTACTGCCAAAACAGGAGGATGGGGCTGGAACTCGCATCTACTGGGCACTTGAGTGATTTCAAAGTTCGTACATGAACAATTATTTATACAGTATAACTGGATCACTTGCATGCATTGAGCCAAGATATGAGTCCTAAGAGGCCTAGTGTTGCCTAGGTTGGCTGCCAAGATCCAAGATAAGCATGACTCCCATATACCATACATTGTTCACCTTTGCTACCAGCACAATGCCAATGGACATGTAATGTAGTACTATAAATCATAGTGGCTCAGGAATAATAATGTTTTGGATGCATTGGTCAGTAGGATGGACCAAACCACACACCAGAAAATGGAGAAAGGACAACATTTCGGTCTGTCCTGGACCATTACTACACGACTTGGTAATGGTCCAGGAGAGTTCTGAGTCCAGGAGAGACCGAAGTGCTATCATTTCTCCAATTACTGAACGTGTGGTTTAGTCGTATCTTCAGCCACATTACTGTGACTCATCGTCTGCACATGGGTCAGCAGATTACAGTTGGTTAGGTTAGCTTTGCACATGTTAGTACAGGTATAAATATAAAATAATAAATATGATAGAGCTAGAGTCCATGCAAGAAATGTACATGATCAATAAAGGAACTGCTGACAGCAATGAGTACTTTTACAGAAGACAAAACGTGAGTAATAGAAGAAAATGCATGTGTAGGGGAAATGGTCGAGTACAAAATGAAAATAATGAAAACCATTAGTTTCACCTGACGAATGAGCGTAGTATGAAAAGTATTCCACTGACACGCATGATCTATTCATTTCTTTTATGGGTTATGGGTAGTTAGATATAATTTTTGTTTAAATATTAATGCACTTTATTTAGGTTGTGTAATTGTCAATGGCTTTGAGAATAATGATTAATCACCAAATGCATTAATATTAAGCTTTACTCACAAATATTATACCTTCATAGGATGAGATAAGATGAGGGAATATGGCAAGCATTTTGAGAATAGATAGACATCCATACACTATTTCTAATCTATATTTACATATACTTACCACACACAATCAGGAACAAAACTTTAAAAAGTATTTTTTTTTACCTAGTAAATGTATACCAATGCTACATAACAATGTATGGGGAATATTAACCCACCGTGTGGCTTGGTGTGCGATTGACAGTTGTGGTTCTCCTGGGCAACTGGGAGGGTTCTGGAGGTCCAGGAGTGCACGGGCGGGAAGCAGGAGCTGGCGCTTTTGTTGGAGTTTGGGGATTTGGTCGACCTGGTTCGGGTCGAGACAATGACCGGGTAAATGTTGCCCCACGGGTGAAGCCCCCAACTGGCGTTGCTCGTTTGTTACTAGAATGGGTATCTTCGTCCGTTGAAGTGTCATTCCCCTGAAAATCCATGGAATAATGAATGGTTATCACCAATTCACTTCAAAGCAATTAATAGTAGATATGATAAATATTGCACATGTCTAAAGATAGGAATTTCACACACACACACACACACACACATACACAGTATTAGCACCAGTGACATTCACTGTCTAGATAAATGAACCACCAGAGGGAGGAATTCAGAGTTAAATGAATATGTTTACGGATGATGCTAAGCTGGTAAGGAGAACAGACCCATTTGATTGGCACATGCCTTCAAAATGACCTACATAGAACAAGTGAATGGAGCAACACACAACAGATGAAATTCAATACAGACAATATGCCACATAATGAAATGTGGAATATGGAAAATAGGGTAAGGGGGAGGGAAAAGATATAGAGGTGGTTCCAAGTAGTAAACTCACCAGAGGTACAAAGACATCCTACCAATTGGCTTTGGCAATAAAAAAAACAAGAACTATGAGGAGAGTCTGAAGGCATTATGCCACAGCAAGTAGATAAAAGCAGAAAGAAAAAAATAGATGAAACCACATAGCCACATACAAAATAGTGAAAGGAATTGACAAAGTTGACGATAAAAGGAGAACGAAAAAAAAGATGAAACCACATAGCCACATACAAAATAGTGAAAGGATTTGACAAAGTTGACAAAAATATTTTAAACCCACAACTTCAAAAACAAGAGGCCATAGATTCAAGCTAAGAAAACAAAGGTGCTGAAAAAATGTACACAAATTCTCTTTTGCCAACAGAGTTGTGGTTGGCTGGAAAAATATAAATAAAGAGGTTGGTGGAAGCTATCTGAAGCTTGAAAACATGACAAAGATTACAAGGCAGACACCACAAGTGCAGCTCTTGTCCTGTAACTACGCTTAGGTAGTTACGCACGCACACATACACACCAAGAAATACCTATGTGGCTAGATAGTACCAGAGAACATAGACAAAAATGGGAATGCTACCAGAAGTCCACCTAAGACCATCTGCTGTGCATCACTGACAAACAAGCCTGTTTAAAACCGTAAGAGCATGCAAAGACTTGTTATTACACACACACACACACACACAAAGCAATATATACAAATAAAATAGGCCACTAAGAGAGTCAACTAAGCTATGGTCCCAGTCTGCTGGCTTTGTCACATACAGTATGCAGCCTGGAAGAATTGGAGTACTGAGGGGCTCTGGGGACCACATTAGGCACTGCCATCACTTGGCAGTCAGGTAGAGGTCTTCATCTGATCCCAGGGAAGAACTCTTACATGGCTTTGAGTTTACATAGAATGTACCTTCTGTCGGCCATTTCTTGGCAAAATCCGCTTATTTCTAGTGGCATCTTGGCATCTTTTATGACCCTGTGGGACCTTCTGAAACATGCCTTGTGGCACCTGCCAAGACTTATGTTTCTAGTCCAATGAACATAGCAGATCTTACCTTAGAGCTCAATCAAATAAGCATAGCTCAGAAATTCCAATTTGTTTTGTTAAATGTAAGTCAAAATTAGCTTTTATCAATAGATAAAAGTAATGTGTATAAAAATTTGCCAAATTCCCAAAGTGGCTCCCATTTGCATTATGCTACAGTATTACATTAATATCTAGTCTGAGATAATATTTCCAAATGTTTTCAAATCGTCATCTGGATGTGAGAAACAAAAAATAAAAGTTATACCCCCTGGATGTAGACACCTAAACTGCCTGAGCCATAAAGTATTCCAAGTGACATGGATTTAATAGAGATATTTATCTAATGAAAGGAAGTAAAGGTTCTATGAAAGTGCACAATAGTGAATAGAATAGACTGGGTCATGCATGCACACTGTCAAAATAACAGTCATGCTGCTTATTTGTGAGCAGACTTAAAAGTGATATTACTGGATAATGTTGGAGAATTAGAAAAACTATGAAACTGCCCCAAATATATAAATATCTACAATAACTACCAAAACAAACAAAACACAAATCTAGAAACATCTATTAAAACAAACTGCATAAAATGAATGTTGTAAAATTAAAGTGGCTATTCTTGATGCGCTCTACAGAGACGTGTTATAATTCAATAAAGTAGAGAACACCTCATTGTCCTTTAAAAAACACTGTGCAGACATAGTGTGTGGTGGAAGCAGAGCAGGAAGAGCTATGATAAAACCATCAAGACTTACTGCTATGGAGGATTAATGCCGGAAAATGTGATGCAATGATGTTAGGGCATTTGTACATATCATGAAAGGAAGAGAAGGACCTAGGTACTTCATAAAAATAACATCTTAAAAAATAAATAAATTCACACTATAACAATTGTATAGAAAACAATCATTAAATAATACATAATACATTAACATAAAATAAATCACCAAAAACATTTAATTATTTGTATACAAGCCACACTTAAAGATATGGGAGGATAGAATTTTAAAAAATCTTCACCAAATACAGTATATCCCAATTTTCAGGCAAGATATACTAGAGATCTGTAACTCCTAAACATTATTGCAATAATTATTTTTCAATAATGGATAGAAACTTCTAAAAAACACACCTGTCTAGGTCTTCGGGGACGTTCAGCTACTGTGCGAGCAGACTGTGATCTCTGTATAGCTGCCTGCCTAGCTTGTGCTCGTAGAGTTGAGGCGCGTGTTGGAGGGGGGGTTTGGGTGCGAGGACGGGAGAGAATAGCTGGCGGAGTCTGGCATCGTGTAGGATCTTGGCCAGACGCAGGTGGCCGCCTCACACCTACCCTTTGAGAAGATGGAACAGCTGTGGCACTGGCACTTCGCATCAACCTATGGTCACCAGATCGACCGGGTACACCGCTGCTTTCACTACTGGTACCTCGTAGTCTCTGTAAAGTCATCTTCAGTAAACTTTCACAAACATTCAAGCTGATATAAAACCATCTTAATTAATGAACAAGTGATACGTGCTCTTTCATAAAAATTTCTTCATATGGCAAGACAAATTAGGGGGTATTGAGAATTATTAAAAAGTAATCAATTATAAGACGAAATCAACAGTAGTGTAGTTAATACACTATAACACGGCAAATACATATGCTGTACTAATGTTAATTCTTTTGATTTTAAGAAACATTTCTTTCTTTAGTTGAGTACAGTACTTAAACTCACCCTATTTGCAGAAGAGAACTTAGGTCTGGGGGCAGTAGGTCGGGAAAATTCAACCACTACAAGAGCAGCATCCTTAATTCTTCGTTGTGTACTAGTAGAGAGCAAGGGCCACTTGCGACAAACTGCTACTCGGTTGGCATTATGAATCATAAACTTTTCTATCTGATTCAGTATGGTTTCAAGGAAGTTGAGATAGTTCTGCAAGATAAATATTATCAATTACTTTTTTATGACTGGAATATCAATCATTAACAGTTTGCTTAGAATATTTTTTTATCAATCCATTTACTAAAGTTACATCTCTCAATTTTCATTTTTACATCATGGTCACCTTTCAGAGGTGGCTAAGGTACAGGGTGAGAATAGCTTGAGCTACCTCATCCCTTTGTGTGGATTTTACCTCAATAAACTTATTTCAATTTCCAGAGGTGAAGGTGGGGAAACACGGACTGCCAAGCAACAAGAGGATATACCAAGAGGTGTATTTCACCAAGTCTGTATAAACAGGGTTTTTCCTTCTGTCCTTCATTATGTTCAGGACAAAAATGCTGTGTACTTGCTAGTTGGTCAGAAGCTTTGTGGTTGCAGGTTCCCAGCTTCACTGACCCTATTGTATTGAAGTTGCCATCTGGTGGCTGCTGTAGTCACGATTCATTGCCCATCCAGAAATTACCAGAATGTTAACTGACATTATTTTAGATAAATTTTTGTTAGAAGGGGGTTTATTGAGTGCCATGTTTATTCCTTTGTATAGTAGCGAGTTGGTGTCTCAGAGGTGACAAGTTAGATTCATTACCGTCTCGGGAGGGAGATAGGGACTTGCTTTTACCGTCACTACATAGGGAGCCAGTCGGCCGAGCGGACAGCACGCTGGACTTGTAATCCTGTGGTCCCGGGTTTGATCCCGGGCGCCGGCGAGAAACAATGGGCAAAGTTTCTTTCACCCTATGCCCCTTTTACCTAGCAGTAAAGTAGGTACCTGGGTGTTAGTCAGCTGTCACGGGCTGCTTCCTGGGGGTGGAGGCCTGGTCGAGGACCGGGCCGCGGGGACACTAAAGCCCCGAAATCATCTCAAGACAACCTCCCTCTCCCAACTACGTGACCAGGCAACTTAAACAAGGTACCCACCATGAACCCATGGTGGAGTGAACAAGTCATAAGAGCCTGGCAGGTAGCTTGTGTCCATGAACCCATATCGGCCACTGGCTCAAGGAAGCCATCAGAAGGTCTTAATTCAGAAATATTTAGCATACACATATCAAGGGCAAATACAAAAATCATCATATGTTTACTTTTGAGTTGACCTAGCAAGAGCGTACACTCGATCAACAGTCTACCTCGTTGAAAAAACATGTATTCCTATTCTCTATATAATGATGCCAATACCTAATGATCGTAATTGGAACTATTTACCGCAATCGGAACTCAAACACTACTGTAGTGACAAAACATACATAATCATCTGATGCAGCCCTAATCAGATATATTTATATCAATATAAATATATTTAGGGTTATAAATATATATATAAATATATTTAGGGCACTATATTTAGGGTTAAGAAGAAGAGTGACATTCCAAGATGACTAGTTTGCAATGCGTTCAATGTAAGCAAACTAATTCTTCTGATGTTATGAAGAATAGAGCTATTTGAATATTGTCAACAGTGAAAGTGAGAAAGCCTTGTGCACAAGGAAAGCCATATTAAACCTCAAGACAAGTGGCAGTGAAGCAATGGAGGTGTGCTACAAGTGGAAGTAAGAGGAAATAAATAATGTTGTTATAGTTTTTCATGGAGGAAGCAAGAGAATTCCATGAGAAAATCAACATTATTGAGCAATGTTTGTATACTCAAAAGATGGCTTATGACCTCTAGGCCTTAACAGCTAATCTATTTTTCAAAATTCTTTGGCAATTTCTTACATATCCCAAAAATAAACAAATGATCTTACCTCAGAGACTTCAAGTAGTCCATCCTCTTGACTCTGCTCAAGGAACTTTGCCAGTTGAAGGTGTGAGAGAACAGCCTGGTCTGGACGTATCAACTCGCATGCAACACGCATTGTGTCTTGTAAACTCTCTATGCTCCACCCACTATCTCGTCCCAAGCCAATAAACCTGAGAAGCAAGTCTTACAATGACATCGAATTCCAAGCATCACCATTCTTTTAGGTACAAGTTGAAAAGTATTTTGGAATTAAAAATAAGACTACTAGTATATATAACCATGCAAAAATAGAATTGGGGCAGGGATGGCAATGATTTACCCAAAATAAAAAACACAATTACAAAGGACTTGATATTATCATGTAAGTATGCTACTCACACACCTGTCAGACGTCAACACTCCACTCATGTTGGCAGCTATGAAGCTAGTAGCTGCTTCAAGTAACTGTGCTGCAGAGTCAAACACAGGCTGGGCCCATCTGACCATTGGTAAAGATGATAATACTCGTTCACATCCCAAGGCAGTATCTATCACGTTACTCACACTCTGTTGACAGAATTCATCATACAAAGAAAAATTATAGCAATGTACTATCATTTTTATGAAGAATAAGTTATTTAAGTTATTTATATAATGAATAATACCACATTGTCCCACTGAATAAAACACCCAGATAACAGCTTTAGTGTGCAGTTAACAATAATTATATCTTGATTAACAGGTAACATATGGCAATAAAATTGAGGGTGCAGTAACATGTCATGATTGTTATGTCACCCAGGTTGTTTACTGTATATATGGATGAGGTCATGAGGGGAGTCAGGGTAAGAATATCCCAGAAAGGTGAACACAAAGAAAGTGCAAGAAAGTGGATAGGTCTAACATAAGTACTACACTGTAATTGCAGGAAGAGTACACAATATTTAAAGAATACAGGTGATATAAAGTTCCTTTATCACTGATATATATGCAAATCATGTTACAAGTTGACTAAATTATTGATGAATGTGATAAGACAAAATCGAACAAGGGCCAAAGTAGATTTATGATAAGAGAAGATAAATTGTGTGAAATAAATCAAGTTGAGAATATAGAAAGGGAAGGAGTGGGTGGTGCAATGAAAACCCCTAGTTTGAAAAAACAAGATACTGTGGGAAGAGATTCAAAAGGTTATAGAAATGTATGAGAGATAATTGTGAACATGAACAAATAAAAAGTTAGAGCCATAAAAATGAGCAGTCTGGTAAGCATATGCTATGTTAAGAGGGACAGAGTATAGAATGAAATTGATATGGAAGGATGTGAAGTGCACAAGTTGATAAACCACTCGACCTGAGATCCGTATACTGATATGGTTTGGCATATTAATGAATGGATGATAGTAGACTACTAGAGTGTATTTAAGGAGAGAAGTAAAGAAAAGCCAGGAAGAGTAGGGCAACCAAGTTGAGAATCTTTGATAATGAAGATAGTCAATGACCAACACACAAGATAGGGTAAGGCACAAGGCTGGGTGGAAACAGATTGCGAAGAGTAAATGCATTCGTACTGTATATGACATCTCACAAGGACCACTGTACACTGGGTCTAAAAGCCAAAATGTGTATGAATACACGCTGGCTTCCTGTCCCCTGACACTGAATTATAATTGAATCACGTGAAGGCAGGTAGTATGTCTGAAAAAGCAAAGAGCCTACAACACGATTGGGAAGCATGTTTCTAGAGGAAACACTGTCATATAAAATTATAATTTTTAATGTTTGTCAAGCCCTTAGAATTTTTTTTTTTTATTTTCATTCCACTTGTCACCAACTTCATCCTTTATTTCTGTCTCCCACCCCCCACCCCCTCCTCCTCCTTCCTTACCAAATCCTTTGATCACTCACAGTCAAGAGAAATTTGATGTCTGCCAACTTACCATATCATCCAGCAGCTGTTTAAGGCATCGATCCTGCACCTCGGGAGGAAGGGCAGCAAAATTCCGAGTAGGCAGCACCACCACAAAGTGCTTGGCCACCCACCGCAAGCATCGGTGATAAAGATCATCAAGACAATAGGCACCAGCGATGGGTAAAACATCCAACACTCCTTCAAGACATCCTGAGCATGGCTAAACAAGTACAAAAACAAAACAAAAAAAAGCAAATTCTTTAAATTTCTCATTAACTACAAGAGTAGTGCTATATTCAAATAAAACAGTATATAAATAAAGCAAATCTTCACATTTCAGAAATTGCACACACACATTAACTTCAAATTCTTAATTATGGAGTTTTAATGCAAGAGGTCTATCCAGCATATATACCTGATCAACCAGGCTGTGACTCATACGTCAGGCTGCGAGCAGCCGCGTCCAACAGCCTGGTTGATCAGTCCAGCAACCAGGAGGCCTGGTTGACGACCGGGCCGCGGGGACGCTAAGCCCCAAAAGCACCTCAAGGTAAGGTAAGGTAGCATATATAATAGTACACATTTTTCATTTATGTAAACATCCCAATAAATTACACATGTTTATGCTGTTTTAGAAAAAACTGCTGTACTTTATGCTCTGATAGAACCAAAATATTAAAAAAAAAACTATTCAAAATGCTTTCTAATACAGCTTAGCATTTTTGTTCGGTACTGAAATACTGTAGTCAAAAATGAACTGACCTTATGAAAGTAATGACACATTTTAGCTTTTAGATGTAAAGAAATGACATCTTTGAGCCCATCGAGTGCCAGCATATCTGCCAGTGCCGCAAGCTCCCCAACTCTCACCCCCTCAGGCACTGTACTTGTCCCACTATATATGTGCTTCAATGCCACCATAACACAATCGGCAGAAAATCTGTAAATTATGCATTTATTATTTCTATTTCCAGGTAACACACATTTTTTAAATGTGCAGAATATATCCTCCAAGTAATAAAGTATCTGACAGATAAAGCATCTACAATAAAAAATACAGATCATATTACAATGAGGGCATATATTAAATTTATATTCTATCAGAAGTACCATATAAATACTGAACAAAGGCATATGATTAAGATTAACCCAGATTAACACAGTGTATTCGTGAAAAGATCCATATTCAGAATATTGACCAGCTACTTTCGTATGACTTTTCTCAATTTTATTAAATGACGCCCGTTAAAAAGCATACAGTATCTCCGTGTGTAGACGAAAAGTTTCTTTTTAATGAGCAAGCCACTCTGTCTCTTGTTTCCTTTGGCAGGCAAGGAAAGCAGGGTGGGGGGGGGGGGGGGGGGAGGGAGGAGGATGTTACTCCTTTCAGAAGATGGACGTCCATACACATTTTACATAGATAATAAAATAATTATTCAAGAGTTTTATGATGCATTATAAGTGCTTCTTAATCATAAATTCGGGTAAATAATTATCTTAATTAGGAGATTTGCTGCATATGACAAATACAAAACATCAAAAGTGTAGTGACACAAACACACATTAATAATCAACCAAGATATATAAGCCTGAGGTACAAACCCTTGCAACTTAATAACATTGCCGGCACTTTCCACCCAGTGTCCCGAGAGCATGGCAGCAAAGTAGACGCACCGCGAAGCTAAGATGCATTTATGGGCTCGGATACGCTTCTCGCCAATCTAGAAATCAAGTTCATTTAAGATTAGAAACAAAAGAATAGTGAACCATTGCAATTCTTATTAAAATAAATTATTCATGAAAATTCCTCATCAAATTAAAAAAATTAAAATACAGTAATTATGACTTTCAGGGGGGGGAGGGGGAGGGGTGCTGGCACATACTGTATGTATAATTAAAATTAAAAAACTACTGAAAATTCTAGCACATACAATATATTTTACACCATCTTATTAACTAACTATTGTGATATTTGGGGCTGTTTATAAAAAGACTGAGCTACAAAACTGATGAAATGTTTCAAGCCTACAGGATGAAACCTTCATGGAACATAATGTTAAGCTAAGAATGCAAGCTTGATATTCAGTTAATAGTGCCATAATAGTATCAGAGATCCTGCTTAGTACAGTACTAGAAACATCTGTGCATTATAAATTATGAACACTGTATAACACATTTTATCTACTAAGTACATAAAAGTATACTTGAGTGAGATTTTTATTTAAAGTTACATAATACATATGTTGTACGGAGATTAAGAACATCATAATAAATTTACAAAAAAGCATAACAACACTGTACATACCTGTATAGCAACATCAGTATTTATTTCATTCAAGAACATCCGCAGCAAATCTTCTCCCAGTCTCGAACACGGCTCCTTGTCTCCTTGATCTGAGGGCCCTAAATAGGGTAGAGGAAAATAAATAAATAAATCAGGCTTTAATTAATGAAAGGTCCATTTCTAAACAGATCTCTGAGGTACTGTATATACAATCAGACTGAGTTAAATCAAGGATCTAAACCCAAGGATTCAGCAAGGAACATGATGCAGAAAGACCTACCATTTGAGCGTTCGATGCTGCTGAGAAGACTGCTTACGTCTGACACTTCAGAAGGTTCAGTTTCTTGAGGAAGACTAGCCGATACAATATCACTGAAAGACACACTTTGAGAAGGACCAAGTTCCGATACAGATATGTCTCGGCTTGTGGCCATGTCGTTTGTCTCTGAAGTATGTTCATCTTTAGTCCGAGAAACTGAGTGATCTCTCTGAGAACTAGTCTCTCTCTTAAGAGGTGAAGGCTTCGCTCTGTTACTAGATTTAGATGAAGCTCCTTTGTTTTTGAGAACGTGAATTGGCCTTGGGATGCCTGACACAAACGATCCATCCCTTGAAGTAGAGGATTCATTTATTTTGTCATTTAGGCTAACATTCTTCCTTGTTGGAGGCTGAGCAATAAATTCTTCTCTATCAATTACTGATTTAGTCATCAATTTGCTAGAACTCTCTGGAGTTGAAAATAGAATGGAATCACTGGGCGCAGATCTGGTCATTGCATTTTCACTTTTCTTTTTTGGAGGAGGAGCAGGTCGCCGTCTTGGTTTTGGCGAACCCAACTTTGGTGATGATTCTGCTTCGATAAACATAAAGAACCCTTTCTTCTCCTTATTCCCACCTTCATCAGAACTTCCATTAGCTTCAACTTTTATGCTATCTGGAGTTTTCTTCCCTTCTATAGAGGGTGCTGGACCTGCTAGAACTGGTGGAAGAGAAGTGAATTCTGCTTCTGAACGAGACTCTATGGACTTTGGAATGCCTATACCATCACTCTCTGACCTCCTCTTTCTTCTGCTCTTAGGAGAAGGTGTATCTGCTTCTATGTACATGTAAACAGCAGAAGATTGACTCTTAACTTTGGCCGCTTCTTTCTTCTCTGTTTCCTTAGCTTCTTCTATTGATGGAGATGGTATGTCATTAAGATCTATAAACATTGGGAAGATTGATTGATGTTTTTCATCCTCCCCTTCAACACTTGCTTCTTTGTCTTCCACTTTACTTTCATGTTGCTCTTCATCTTGTGGACCAATATATCCAAACACAAGAGGTATAGAATCTACATCCTTAACTGACCCAATACTAACTTGCCGCTCGGATTTAGGGATGGATGTTCTCTCTCCTGTGTCCTTCTCTCTCTTCAGAGTAGAGCCACCTGAGATAATGGGTGTGTTTTCCGATAGCTCTCTGCTTAATCTGGGACTTCCTGTAAGTTGTGGCAATGATTTAAATGATGATTCTTCAGCAGACATTTCTTTTTTGTCAGACTTCCCTCCATTATGTCCCGTTTCGCTACTCTTACTCTCATTTTCTCGATCATCTTGTTCTTTCTCTTCATTGTCCATCTCTTCTTTTTTTAAACTTGAAGTGCTAGTTTCTAAGGATTTATTTCTATTAACTTTTCTGGGTGAATTTTCCTTGTCCACAGTTTCAGATTCTCTTCTCGTTACAATATCAACACTTAAAGAATCAGGAGAAGGTGACCGAGTTGCCGTTCCTCTTCTGGCTAAATCCAGCTGGAGCTCCAAAGCCATTTCATCTGTACTCTTTTGAACTCTTAATGGAGGACGGCGACTGACAGCACGGCTCATTTCTTGCTTCACATCTTCCATCGAGTGCACAACTGGAAGACCAACAGATGCTGGACGTGGTATAGGATCAACAACAGGTGCTTCCAGAGCACCTAATGAGTGAATACTACCCATCATGGCACTATCCATCATACTGCTATACAAAGATCCCATACCCATACTACCACTCTCAGAACTCATACTCGCAGTCATCATACTAGCAGTCATCATGTTAGTTGTAGGAATGTTAGAGTAAGTCTGGAAGTTGTGTTCGAATATCAGTGAACCTTTCTTTCTCTCCATTTCCCTTAACTTCTCAGGATCATCTGTGTTTTCATAGTATGATGATATACTTTCATCAGAAACTTTTCTCTCCTTCCCATTGCCTGGGTTATCTTTTCCAAAACCATGAGATCTTACACTTCTTTTAGGAGTACCAAAGCTGTGAATGTTGTTATGAGCATCGTCTAATGCCCCCCGTTCCGTCTTTACGACGGATTCTTCAGGTTCCGATTCCTTCTTTTCTGTTGGTTCTTCTGTAGACTTGTCGGGGCCACTGGCAATTCCTTCAAGAATCTCATAGGTTCTTGCTCTTACAAGTGGTCTCATGGGATTAACTGGAATGGTTGTGGCTCTACCTGGCTCTGATAAGTTATTTTCCTTTTCCCCTACAACATGATTGCATTCTTTTCCTGGGGGTTTGAATGCCAATCTTCTTGATGAGGCTTCTGGGCTCTCATCAGAGTCATGGCTACTGGAATTTTCTTCATGGCTGCTAGGAAGTTCTACTTCAAGACTAGAAGTTTCGTGTAGATTACTCAGTCTATGATCACTACCACTGTTGCTAACACTGTTATTATCTAGTTCTACATTATCACGCGAGTCTGGAACAACTGACTGACTTTTTCGATGCAAATATGTCTTGGAGGTAGACACAGATTGAACATGGTTTTTTGGCTGTTGTTGTAATTGCTGCTGTCTAGCCAAAATGTTAGCCTGATGTAAGGATGCATTTTCTTTTGTGCTAGACATAGCACCGTATTTATGTGGTTTGCCTTCTTTGATTTTCACTTTCTCAGGATAAAACTGCCCAGTATGACCATTTGAACAAATTGGTGGACCTTTCTTTTCATCTCTATCATGAAGGGATTCAATAGGAGTGAAGTCATTTGTGGAAGCCCTTTGAGAGCGCGAAGGTGAGCGTTCTCTCTTGTCTCTCAACTTATCTTGAAAGGATTCCCCACTAACTTGCATGGGAGATGTTTGTAACTCCTTAATCATAGAAACATTAAAGACTGGAGACTCTTGGTTAGATAATTGCCCACTGGGGGATTGGTCCTCATAAGAGGACCTTTTTGTTGGCAGTGATGTCTTCAAAGATATTTTCCCTTTTCTGGTCAGTGTAGCAGAGCTCTCGACACCATCCTCTATATTAGTATCACAATGATCATCAGCTTTGTCACTCGTACTATCTGGTTGCTTTTCCCTAATTTCACATTTGTTAACATTTACAACAGTGTGGTTTGTAATGTTCATTGTGTATCCCAATGACTTTGGTTTTTGAGCACAAACCTTTTGACTAGACTTTGGCCTTACAGACTTGGATATATTTGAACTCTGTTTTATCATTTGTGGCTTCAAGGTAGCTGTGCTGTTTGAATCACAATCCGAAATGGTGCACGTCTGGTAGGGACAATGAACACCATTGCTGATGAATTCTTCCACGTCTTGAATGTTCCCCTTTTTCTTGCTCAGTTGCCCTTTTTGAAGCTGTTTCAGGATTAGCTGCTGAACGTGATGTTCTTCGTCACTACTCAGTCTCTCAATTCGTATTTTATTGCTATACACAAGCGCCCTCTGCTGGAGAACAGCCAGGGTGTCTTCTAACTTGCGTCTTAATGCTATACCAGCTGCCGAGTTGTTCCTGTCACTGTACAGGCTCCTGCAGAAAGAATGCATTATATATATTACACTGTCCCAATACATACTTGGAAGAATACTTAAGAGCTATAACAGATCAATAACTTCAGCATGGAGATTGGTGTAACTCCTCCACATGGTCATATGAAATACTACACAAGCCCACACGACACACAACATAAATGAGCAGCATACCGAGTAAATTTTTGAAGTTCCTTGTAGTCAACATCTGGTAGTTGTATGCAAACAAGATTTTCAGCAGACTTCTTGTTGGGTTGCTGAAATTTGGCAATTTCCAGAAGTAGGCGCCACAGTGCTGGAACACGAGCAGCAAAGAACAGCTGGTGACAATAAACGTTGCCTCGTGATGCCTCGAGCTTCAAGTCCACAAAAAGTGACTTTTTGTATAAACTGCAAAGAATGACACAATTTGAAAGTTCATAACCATTAAAGTTATTGCCAAAACAGTGCTTATTATAAAAAAATTATTAGAGGTATAAATTAAATCAAGGGACAAAAATTATCTAAGGGAATTACCAAAAACAGTCTACATTTCATAAAAAGGCAAAATCCAAAATATCTACACCATATAAAAATATTCATGATCGTCACTTTTAATCCTGAGCCAAAAATCTAAACAAAAATAAAAGTTCAAAATACAAACCCAAACACATCAGACACCAGCTGCTCAGTGACCCTTTTTTGTAGTTCCAACCTCTCGCGTTCATACCTCAGCTGTAGGGACGTTGACCGGGAAAGTAGGTGACCTTTGGTGCGCTGTCTTACGGCTGTTGACAATAACAAATTACACTAATTACAGCATGAACAAAAACTATTTTAAATAATTTACAAAATAAGCCATAAATGCACAACATTCAGTCTAAGCCAATGCAAATAAATCAAATTTGAATATATTTAAGTTTCTAAACTAAGGACAATTTATATCAAACAAGATAATGAATAATGCATCAAGTGTACAGTATTGAGAATTTGTGTTTTGTGACTAAATATTATGAGGGGAGTTCACATCAGTAATGGATTGGTATCAGATCCCCAAGTGTTCCCTGGGTCATTGAGGGACCAAAGCAGTCTTGAAAAAGGTCCTTGCCCCTGGTAAATACAGTCATAGGAGCCTGGTATATTCAGTATGTCCCTAACACCCCAGACACATTAGCAAAGAAGGCTACCATGATGTCTATCCTAATCCAGAAAGATGACAGCTCAAGAGACTTGACATGGCCCAATGTCACAAGGGCAATAAATGGAAGTATCCCTGGCCTCCTACCTCAGTGTAACCAACAATGTTTGTATTACATAATACTGTACAGTGTAAACAAGAAATATCCCAAGCTTTTCCTCCTTGCTCCATTCCCCTCTCATTCTTCCTCTCTCATCAGCACTGCCAAGCCTCACCCTCTGCACCACACATTGTATATGCAGCACCATTATACATAACTTGCTAGTGTAGAATTACAGTACTGTACTGTACTACTAAACTTACAAAATTAGTAAACTAAAGAAAATCCCTAAACTGTTATGCATTAAAAGCATAAAAGTTGTTCCAAACTACAAATACATACCAAAACTTCAAAATTAAAAGTACAGTACCTTATAAAACTAGCAATAATTAAATTGAATGAGGCCAAACAAGAAAGTAACCCACCCAGACTTCTATGCTAGCACCTAAATAAATACTCTTAAAATGCAAAATACAAAATATCTCTCTCTTCCTCCCTCTAATTAGGAAGAATCTTTTATCTGTAATTATGAATATACACGACTCGATTCTTGGTTCCCTGCTCAAAAGCAGGACCGTCCCAGATCACAGGAACAATGGTGAAGTTAATGCAATGTACGTCTCAGGGGCCTATACACTACAGAAATAAGCCGCCTTGATACCCTTTTTTTCTCTAATATTGTGTGTTGATAGCCAATATCAGGATCTGAAACTTGTAGATTGAACGAAGTGCAATTGCCATTTTCTTCCCGAAGATCCTCACCATCAACGTTGATGCATAACTTCAGTATGCTTATCATGTCCTTGAGACTTCTTGTTTCTGCCCTCTTCTCCTGCAGCCCTGCGATCAACTGTCTCAGAAGTACAGTAGTACCAAGTTCTCTTTTGTGTTCCTAATTTCATGCCACTGTGTCCTGTGAAAACCTTAACTGGCTCCATCGTTGAGATGCAGAGCTGGGGAAGCTGAGGGAGGAACTGAGGGGACCTGTTCAGAGATACAGGACAGTACTGTGCAGTACTGAGTGCAATGAAAGTCTTCTTTCTAGGCAGTCCTTAGTAGCTCCCCACCTACCTGTGACAGTCTCTTCTATCTTAGGCTCGAGACTGAAGAGCTTATCCACCTCCTTGGAACCTTGAGTGTGGCTAGGTAAGGTGATGGGTCAGGAATGGTTTGATAAGAGTTTAGTGATCTGTGAGCTTGTTTGGTAAATGATAAATTTCCAAACATTTGCTTGGAGTGTTAAGTTTTGCAACACACACTTGCATTGTTGTGTAGCTAGAGATGATGATTCACTTCACACAATAAGTAGGCTGCCACCTCAGCAACACAAGTGTTTACAAACAACAATGATTATTTCAAATATATTCTTCCTTACCAAAATCACAAGTACATTTTCATTAATAAAATAAAAAATAGTAGACAAAAGTAGGCACACTTAAATGCCAATCATATTCAGTATTAGACTGCTCAAATACAGCACAATACCATATTACACTACATACTCACAAGCACACAAGCCATAGTACCAGTGTTAACACATTACAGTACAGTCCAGTATTATGAATCAGAATTAAAGCCAAGGCAACTGTAGAACAAATGCAGGCATAGCTTACATAGTCGGTCCATTGACAGCCTGGGCCATACTCTTGAGTAGCAATAGCATCACTCCTGTAATAGCAACAGTGGCACTTTAATCCTCAGATAAAACAAAATACAAAATGACAAATGAGAGCCGGTCGGGTGCATGGCAAGAATTTATACAAAGAAATATGAATGCAAAGCAGCCAAATAACATTTGTAATATTTAAAGGTGGTAGTCTACGATGCAAGCCAAGAAACTGCTGGCAAAAGCTATGGAAGGTAGTCCTGTAATGCCCTCACAAGTCAAGGCTGGCTCCGGGCTGAGTTTGGGGAGTAGAACTACTCCCACAACCCCATCCAGGTACAGGTACTGTATTAAGGTTGTGAAAAACACGGTAATTAGGGTCATCATCTTCTGAAGGGAAAGCAGTGGCCTGGATCATTGGCTTTGTGGAGCACAGATTAAATTACAGTAATGTGTGAGAGAACTACAACCCAAGGAATGATGATAAACTGAAATAAATACTGTAGTAGCCAACTAAGGGAGCAATAAGAAGAGATAAGACAGTAAGTCATATAGCTAAAAAAAAAAAAAAAAAAAAAAAAAACAAGCGTTTCATTTATTAAATAAATGACTAAATTTGACTTTAGATGACTGACACCTAAATGAAAAGGGATGTCTGCAAGAGATATGTGCAAGTGATGAAACTTTAACCACTGTGCTGCGCCAACTGAGAAATCTTGTTCCGAGAGTTGTATTATTTTTTTAATTAGGCTATATTTTAATGTTTTTTTAATGTTTTCATCACTCTGTGTTTTGAAATGAAAATGGTTGCATTTGGAAACATTTTGACATTAACTTTACCTGAACATTTATAAAAAAACAACAAAAATATGTCCTTAACAATTACACTATGAAGTTTTTGCCAAAGACAGATGCGCAGTGCAGGGGTTAACACTTTACCATCCCCAAGAAGCAGCCACTTTTCTTATCTAAAGTAAACTACCCGTTTCCTCTACCCACTCACCTGTACACAACAGAATTTTATACAAACTCATTTTTTTATTATAAGCCTATTTATTGGGCTAGAACACTGATTTTGATATCAAAATGTTTGTACATTTATGATGATTCACATAGGCTAAAATAAAATAGGATAAAAGTGTTGCATGTGAAATAGTGAAGTGTAATTTATACATATATTAGAGTCCCAGTAATACAGTTGGGTCTGTTCTCGACGCACAATCGAGAATTCCAGGTTTGAATCCTGGGCGGGACAGAAATGGTTGGGCACATTTCCTTTCACCTAATGCCTCTGTTCACCTAGCAGCGTCCTGAGCGGGGTCAGTAATTCGGCCTTGGGGGGGAAGGGGGGAATTCGATAAAAGCCAAAACATTTATGAATACAATCTGGCGTCCTGCCCCGCGACACAGTGAATTATATACAACTGACTGCAGGCTGTGCAATATGTAAACCATTAATACTCATCTTTGGTTTACAAAACTATTTATAGTCTTAGAACACATTATGTTATGCACTATCAAAATGTGAAAGTGTTAAATTTGGCTAAAGTACTCGCAAGCAATAACAATTTATTGTCAAATGTCCTAATTAGTAGTCTAGTCCACTCCAGCAAAACAAAACAGATGTAGGTGAACAGGCAATAAGAAAGGGTGTAGTGAGGACCTCAAATGAAAGTAGAGAAGACAAACACAAGTGCTATCCATAGTGAGAAAATAACCACTAAGGAATGTAAAGTGTAGAAAATCAACGCCACTTTGGAAGAAAAAGAACAGCGGAGAGGATGCAGGAGAACACGCCAGTTATTGGTCAATGGCTTAGGTAGTGGCTTAAGATTGCCTAAGTACTATAAACTTTGCTTATTGAAATAACCCAGCACAAATTTTCCGAGTCAAGCCCAAAACAGAAAATCCAAAATTAAAGACAAAAATTACGAGTAAATTGGAAACAAATACAGCACAGCTAAATATATTTAACAGTACGTGTGTGTATGTATGTACTCATCTAGTACATACATACAAACACATGCTGGTAAATATATTTTGCTGTATGTATGTATATATTACATATACACACACACACGCACACAATTACTAATATAGAAAAAACATAAGAATAGTAAAAATGAAAAGTACGATAAGCTAAAAATAACAATGCCTAGAAATATGACTGCCTCTAATTGGCAGTCTTATTTCTAATTTATTGTGCTTGTTATGATGCCCCAGAATTAGTCTCTGTGCACAACACGTCTAGGGTTCACCATGCTGACAAACCTAATTACTGTATCAATTTGTTTTCATAAATCAAGTAATATGAGCTAAATTAATGCTTTAAATGAATGCTTGTGCCATACGAAGTCATTTTACACATGTGGACTGGGTGCATGTCAGGCAACCAGGCAACACCTTGGGTAAACTAGGCCTCTTGTAGCGAGGCTGAGCAAAGTCCAAGTGTGCTAACTTGGATACACATTACCCAGAGAGCTTTATCCATATAAATTACAAATGTGAGAAGTCGTTACTGTATCCCTGAAAATAGGTGACCAAAAATGACATGGCGAACATCAATATTTACTTTACATTTACTTCTACACGGGTAATTATTATCGACAGCTTTTGAGACTTTTTTTTTTATAGTTTGAGACATTATTCCTTTCACTTATTTTTGTAATGCCTGACTCTGTACCCTATGTTCTCTGCCAGCTATAACTTCCCATCTTTACTAGATCATTTCCATTGTTTCTAATCCATATATGCACCATAGTTTCAACAAATGTCCCCCAAACATTCATTTTTAATGGGTTCCTCATCACCTTCTCATACATGGTTCCTCCATACATATCTTCATATGTATACTCACTAGGCTAATGCTACTAAATACAGCACTATACTGTACTGTATATAAAATTATTAAGTTACTGGTATTTAAAACAGAACTGTTATTTTAATTTAATTATTGTATTTTTTTTTAGCAGTACTGTAAGCATGCATGATCCAATACTCATTTACAAAAAATTCCATCTGCTTCCGAGACCTCTGCCGAGTGGTCAATTTATATGACTCCTGCCCTTTTGTAAGCACAACTGGCATCAGCTTTACACATTCTTCTCTGATTGTACTGATGTGAAGTAAAGTTTTGGAAGAATGAACTGCAAGGCTGCCATTCTGTGTCAGCTGGGTGGTGAGCCTGGAGATAACATTTTGACTCTGGAGAGTCAAAATAATAATATTTGCAATAACATTGACTCCCACATTACATCTGCTCTCAAAGTAAATTCTTAATCTATACGACTGAAAACATTACTGTACATCATTCTACTTGGGTCGTCTAGAATTTATTTTTACTACTGAACCTGACAATAGTCAGATCATTGGCATATACATAATATCTTCAGTGTCCAATAATGTTACTCAAGCCTCTTTGATAATTAGTTCTACCATAATAATTTACAAAAGTGAACAATGTGCACTTTCCAAATGCAACCATTATTTGCATATTAATTTAATAGGATTTCTCCCACCACTCTCAACATTGGCGGTTACTGTTTACACATCACTTCAACCATCCTTACCTCCACCTCTTCATCCCAAATGCCAACTTTCCTGGCATGTCATAAACATTCTCCAAATTCCATAAATTCAAGGGCTACATTTGTCCCAATATTCCTTGGTTTCTCCACAATCTGCTTCACTGCACAAAGTCATTTCATCTTCTTTCCCCCTTTCTTTTTAAATTCCCTTCTGGTCCTTTCCAATTCTGCTTTTGGCCACACTTCTCACTCTATAACTGTAGCTAATATTCATTCCAGCAAAACTGTAATAGAACAAAATCGAAACAAGAAGTTGTACTCGCTACCAAAAGATTGTTTCCTTCAGTAACATTAAATTGTTGGAAAATAGTTTACAAATAATTCACGAATAAGCCAATCATAAAATTTACATACTGTATCGCTAATGATGGAATATCAGTGCAGATATTCTTTACCCAAGAGAAAGGGTGATGACATACCAAAACAAATGAGTGCCGTACATACATATACAGTACAGTATATATGTATTTATATACAGTATATATATATATCGGAGGAGGTACTGAAGGTAATTAAGGTAATTTTAGGAAGGTTTAAGCTACTGCAATATGAAAATAAGCCATGACATCTGATAAAACTGTTAATTATATATATACATTATTAACATAAGATTTAGAGAGTAAGTCTTGCATATGTATAAACAATATTTGTAAAGTACATCACACTGGATACATATAAACTATTTAACCATTTGTGCTAATTTTACAAATGCTCAAATTAGATGTTTATTATACACAGTGCATTGTACAGCATATCTTTTATGAAGTTAAATTATACACAGTATTGCCGAGAATAAAGGTATAGACAAAGCAGATGATATATGCAAATTGAACCATTAAAATGCAATCATTCTAAGGAAATGCAACTCAAATACTGTACCAACTGAAACAAATACCTGGGCACTGCAGCTGGATGTGACCAACAACGTACCTGTATGGCTCTATGTTCTCACCATGATTTTAATTTATCTTAAAAATCATTGAAAACCAATAATTGCTGTGAATTAAGTCATTAAATACAAGCACAAAGCCAGAATGGCACTATGACTCGGTGTATTGGCTGACCTTTTTTGGAAAATTAAATATATTTGCACAAGTTAAAATATAATTCAAAATTATGATGTATAGATTTACATTTTGTACAGTGCTTGTGATTATACAGTATCATATAGCATTAATTGAATTAAATATTACAGTCATACTGTGCTGGCTTAGTTTTTCTTCTGATAATTATGTAACCTTACTTGAATTGGAAACCATATGTAGTAATGTTACCTTCCAGAAACAATGAAGATGTACAGCAACTTGCGGATAAATACCCCATACAAATTTAAGCTAAATTATTACATATTTAATTTCAAAATGTGCTGCTCCTCTAAATTTGTTTTCCCTGGGTATATACAGAGAAGCTCCAGGCTACTGATAATTGTCCTTTAAATACACCAGGAACTATTAAATTAAGAACAGGATCACAGGAAAAAGCTGCTGGTAATATTAATTTTTAATTTTAGCTTTTTTTAGTTACAATAGGTTTGAGAGATCAAGACAAAAATACTGTATTGGTATTTTAACATTCTTGCAAATTTTGGAATTTGGTAACTTATTATGCCCCGAATATTGGGTTAGAGGCAAACATTATTCACTTTCTCATGGCACTGTGTACAATGTTCTGACATTGTCACAACACTGTATGCAGTATCTTGAGAAAGGGTTTAAGTTAGTTAGTTTTTTAATACACTAACACACATACAGTATTTAGGTATTTCCTTCATCATTCAACCACAGCAACAACTGGTTTCTTGTTGTCGGGGCTACAAAGCCTGTACTTAGGCTTCTCGAGGTCCTCCTTGGCCAATTTCTTGAGAAACGTTAGATGTACAGAGTGTAACACACAAACAAGGAGCAATCTTGAAGTTATCTTGAGATGATTTCGGGGTTTAGTGTCCCCGCGGCCCGGTCCTCGACCAGGCCTCCACCCCCAGGAAGCAGCCCGTGACAGCTGACTAACACCCAGGTACCAATTTTACTGCTAGGTAACAGGGGCATAGGATGAAAGAAACTTTGCCCATTGTTTCTCGCCGGCGCCCGGGATCAAACCCGGGACCACAGGATCACAAGTCCAGCGTGCTGTCCGCTTGGCCGACTGGCTTGGTTTCATGCTCAACAAGCCACAATTTAGGACTGAGAACAGTAGATGCTTTTTCACCCACAGGGTTACAAGATAATACTTATACCACTAGTGCCCTCAGGTAAACTTTTATACTGACCTTCACTAATATGAAACCCATAAGCTTCCTGAATTCTGAGTACCTATTTAATGCTAGGTGAACGGTGGCATCAGACGAAAGAAAACGTGCCTAATTATACCTAATCGTCTGTCCTGCTTGGGGATTGAACTCGGGACTCTGGGTTGTGATCTGTACACCAGTTGATTGACAGTTGAGAGGCAGGACCAAAGAGCCAAAGCTTAACCCCCACAAGCACAACTAGGTGAGTACAACATAGACCGCTGCGGTACACGACCCTTTAACTACCGCCAAGTGAACAACAACAGCAAAAAAGCATGTTATTTACCAGGTTTTATTAGTGTACATGATATAAAATGAATTTTTCTGCAACAACCAAAATACATTAACTATTTTTTTTATTTTTGTATATATAAAAAGAGTTCTTACATTCTTGTACTGTACAGCCACTAGCACGCGTAGCGTTTTGGGCAAGTCCTTAATCCTAATGTTCCCTGGAATACGACACGCCAAATAGTTTAACAACCAGGTACCCATTTACTGTTGGGTGAACAGAGGCTACAGTTAAGGATTGACACCCAGTAAATCCTCCCCGGGCAGGGTACGAACCCAGGACAAAGTGCTCTCGAAATGCCAGGCGAGTGTCTTACCGCTACACAACGGAAATGTTAACTTTCATTAAGAACAACAACTCTCACAAGGTGTCGAGCCCCGGAGGACTTGCTCGCACCCTTAGGCTCATGACCAAAAGCTCTACAGAAAAAAAATTGATCTTTTAGCTGGCAAAGATCATCAGGGCAAATGGGGGCAGGGGGAGAGCCTTTAAGATGTTTATTCAGGTAAAGGTACACACGTACATTGAAAATGAGTTACAAACAAAATGTTGGATTTATAGACATACAAAGCCAGCAGCTTTGACAAGCCGTCGGCTTCCTGCCCTCGGGTAAATTCAGAAACTGTTCTGGGACGAGACACAAGAGCCGAAGACACCGGTAATAACCGCACGGCACCAACAGGCCGGGAGGACGGTGCCGCCCCGTCCGGGTCCTCCTCTCGTAATAGGGCCACCCCATTTCGAACGTGCAAGCCCACAACCACCAAAAATATGACCTACTATCAATAATCAGAGCCGCTAATGAAAAAAATTGGTGCAATGTCACGTTTTCTACTCGTGGGTCCTGGGCTAGGTTAGGGTCGGGCAACTTGGTACATCATTCTCATGACGTTGTGACAACTGGAGAGGTCAAGAGGCCACATTAGCAAGTTACAGAGGGTGTTGCCTCTGTTCTTACCGTCTCTGCCCCCTAATTCCTGCATCACCTATGCCTCATTACACAGCCACGATAACTACCTTATCGTCCCCTTCTCGGCCAATTAGGGCCGAGCCAGCGGCCGTGACCCCGGCCTGTTGACCCTCCCACAATATTGCCCTTTTAAAGACCCAAACTGGTTATGACACTCCCATTTGTGGAGATAAATGGCTAATTCTTCCAGTTTAGGGAGCTGTGAGGGAGGTGTGGGCGTGAGGGAGGTGTCCGGGTACTCACGGTGGGATAGAGCCGTGCGGGAGGTGCAGGGAGGAGGTGAATATGAGGGCGGAGAGTTGACAGGTGGAAGGGTGCAGACGCCATTAGTGTGGAGACTCACCGCCCTCTGGTAGCGCGCCATAACACCACCCTCCGTGCTCTCTCATACCTCCCCCATACACTATACCATCATAGAAAACCTGTCCCAGATCACCCCTAACTCTCTTATTCTGCTTCCGCCCCGTCCCTCACACACCCCCATGTGTCTTGTTCTCCTTCCTGTCCCTCACACACCCCCATGTGTCTTGTTCTCTTTCCTGTCCCTCACACACCCCCATGTGTCTTGTTCTCTTTCCGCCCCGTCCCTCACACACCCCCCATGTGTCTTGTTCTCCTTCCCTCACTTTCCCCAACTGTCTTGTTCTCCTTTCTCCGTCCCTCACTTTCCCCAGCTGTTTTGTTCTCCTTCCTATCCCTCACTTCACCCAGCTGTCTTGTTCTCCTTCCTGTCCCTCACTTCACCCAGCTGTCTTGTTCTCCTTCCTGTCCCTCACTTCACCCAGCTGTTTTGTTCTCCTTCCTGTCCCTCACTTCACCCAGCTGTTTTGTTCTCCTTCCTGTCCCTCACTTTCCTCAGCTGTTTTGTTCTCCTTCCTGTCCCTCACTTTCCCCAGCTGTTTTGTTCTCCTTCCTGTCCCTCACTTTCCCCAGCTGTTTTGTTCTCCTTCCTGTCCCTCACTTCACCCAGCTATTTTGTTCTCCTTCCTGTCCCTCACTTTCCCCAGCTGTTTTGTTCTCCTTCCTGTCCCTCACTTTCCCCAGCTGTTTTGTTCTCCTTCCTGTCCCTCACTTCACCCAGCTGTTTTGTTCTCCTTCCTGTCCCTCACTTCACCCAGCTGTTTTGTTCTCCTTCCTGTCCCTCACTTTCCCCAGCTGTTTTGTTCTCCTTCCTGTCCCTCACTTCACCCAGCTGTTTTGTTCTCCTTCCTGTCCCTCACTTCACCCAGCTGTTTTGTTCTCCTTCCTGTCCCTCACTTTCCCCAGCTGTTTTGTTCTCCTTCCTGTCCCTCACTTCACCCAGCTGTTTTGTTCTCCTTCCTGTCCCTCACTTCACCCAGCTGTTTTGTTCTCCTTCCTGTCCCTCACTTTCCCCAGCTGTTTTGTTCTCCTTCCTGTCCCTCACTTCACCCAGCTGTTTTGTTCTCCTTCCTGTCCCTCACTTCACCCAGCTGTTTTGTTCTCCTTCCTGTCCCTCACTTTCCCCAGCTGTTTTGTTCTCCTTCCTGTCCCTCACTTCACCCAGCTGTTTTGTTCTCCTTCCTGTCCCTCACCTCCAACTGTCTTATTCTCCTCCCTCCTGCCCTCGACCCTAACTTCACTGTTATCGTGCCCACTGCCCCTCACTCTCATCCCCCAACTGTACTTTTTGTACTTATTATCCCTCACGCTTTTCACTCACCCCCCCCCCCCGACAACTATACTGTTATTCCTCATTTTTGTTGCATTTCACAACATTTGAGAAGGTACAATTGGTTATGTAACGATCGTGTGTGACTTCTATTCTTGCAAAGCTACTAACATGCATAGTGCTTCTGGCTGGTTAGGCGGTATATACAGTATTAAAAATTTGTCTTATATATAATGTGATATTCCTAAGTATAATATCCAGTACATTGAAGAATACTTTATGATAATTTGTAATTCCTTTTGATACATTTACTTTGTATTTTTCAGATCAGTGTAGTGAACTAAGCCTCATGAACCTAAAAATAGGATTCAAGAGTATGTTTCACCCCATTCAGCTCATACTTTAATAGAGGGAACAGGTTATATTTAAACAATAGGCATACAGTACAGTACACTGGCAATACACACCTAGATCTTACTTTGCATTTTAGTTTTTTTCTGGTAAGGGTTAACTTAAATAGTTTGTATTTCTTCTTTCTGTCGACTGCTTTAGGCTTTGCTCCATCTCTTAGATTAAAATAAGACTGGCTTTTCTATGGTTGATATGGCTATAGCAGTTACTTGAATTTTCAATTCAGGAATTAACCTCCTATATATAGATAATTGTCTGTATTTTCAAAATCAGATTTTCATCTTTCTCAAGAAGGAAGTTTTAGGCAGATAGTAGCCATAATGCTGAAATTAACATTATAAAATTCTCCCCACCACTGTTATGTAAGAGCATTTTTTTGGAAATATGTAATTTTATATTTTTACTTCAATAAGGTATTTTTACTTCAAATAGTCTTCAATGAGGCTTGGAAGACTATTTAACACCATCTGAATCTCAAAATATTTAAAACTTGGATACAATACCTTTCATGAGTAATGTCAATGATATTATATTCACTAAGGATTTTATCAAGGGACACACAGTTGCAGGAAAACAAAAGTAAAATGTCAGATCATCATGAAAATAAAAATAGTCTATGAAAAGGTACCATTGTTAGTGTGACAATGCAGCTTTTACAATTAGGTGAAAGTCCACTCCATCAAGTGCTACTTGTGACCCGAATATTCCTTTTAAATTTAAATCATATGACTTTACCTAGCAAGGTCAAATGTGCTTTCCCTGTGTTGCTAAAATGGGTGCACATGATTTTGTTGTTACAAATACATTCTGAAAGGCTGTTATTACAGAAAGTGTCACATTTAATATACATTTCACAGCAGTGTGTGCTTTAAAAATTTTGTTTGCACCTTTGCCAGCAGTTCTCTCTCTCTCTCTCTCTCTCTTTCTTGGCACTATACATATTTTTTTTAATCCACAATGAGTACTACTGCTGATACTGAATGCCTCTGCTAATCGTACTCCTCTCAATAAACTAAACTTTTTCTTCTAGGTTTAGCCTGACTACTACTACTGATAAGACATCTTTTCCACTCACAAATAATGAAATATCATAAATTAAAATCCTCAAGTAACAATTGGTCACACCTCACAAGCAATTGGAAAAATGCACATGGCTGGAATGTGTCATTTACAGCTAGCTATGGCATCCATCAAAACAATCCAGCACTGTATATAAATAAGCAAAAGATATAAACAAAATATAAACTGCAAATTTTGATTTATTATTGGTTTGATCAAGGCAGTGTATTCAGAAAGACTTACTACTGACAGGAGTGATTATTATGCTACTCACAGCAAGCACTTCTTTGGACGAGAAAATGTGGATTTTGAGAGGCCTCTGAAACACAACCTAATAGTTCCCGTATACTGCGACTGTAAATTGCTATTCGTATATTCAAACTGAGTCAAGATTTTACCAGGATGCATCGATCTATCGTGGATTACGAGGGGCTCACTGTGAAATATTTAACGACATAAACAGCAATGTAACATTGTTCATTACAGTACAGTGTATAATAATATAAATGAAGGAAAATGAATTCCAATTATAGTAATCACTTATATAATTAAAATCCTTAATTATATTGAATTCAATAATTTTACATGATGTTAATGCATGAGTTTTCTAACTTTCTAAAATACCTGCCTTCATAACACTATACAAATTTTATAAAATTTACGACATAGTTAAAATTACAGTACAGTATTCAACATAGCAGGAGTCACATATAGGTCAACATTTCCACGAACTCACAACTGAATTCACATCTCAGCCTAACGGGTGTTGCATTAACAATCCCATGTTCTTTCTTTTCTTTCACTCACTTTTGTTTAATTTATTTAAAATCTTTAAGCATTTGTAGCAGTTCTTTGGTGCTTTCAGTAGGCTGGAAAAGCCTCTGGAACATGTCTTTTCCCTTTCTGAAAATAATATACAGTAAACTAATTATACACACTAAAATGTAACTCAGAAACTTTATTGACCAGAATAGTAGATTGTAATGCAGTAGTAGGTATTATAAACAAATTCATAATTTGTTGATAAAATACAGAATACCATTTTAAATACAGTACCTTCTCATTTTGCAGATCTTTTCCAGATCTTTGGACTTTTCAGATGCTTTCACGAGTATGGGATGTGGTACTTGGGCAAGACGTGCTACATTTAACCCGTAACTCTGACCTGCACTTCCAGAGGTCAGTTGATATAAGAAGGTTACAACATCAATGCCATCATCATCACCGTCATCTGTTAACAAAAATGTGCTAAAAGTTATTCATATAATGACCCAGAGCAGGACACTACAATTTTAGTAAAGAAAATGGGAAGTTACCAAAAGAAAAAAGGCATCATAGACATGATGCCTGAAAAAAGGCATCATAGACATGATGCCTGAAAAAAAGGCATCATAGACATGATGCCTGAAAAAGGCATCATAGACATGATGCCTAGACATGAAATTGCATCCTGGCAATGCAATTTCATAGATGAAAATGAACCTTTCAAAAACATAATCAACCCACATTCAAGAATTTTAGTACACAGCCATAATGCAATAAAGTAATATAACTTGTTATATATACTGTACAACTATTTCATGCAAGTATTCCCCTAATAAAGTAACATTACTTTGGATTGTTATGATATATATGAATACACCCCAAACCCACATTTATTTTGGTCTCCTGCGATGAATGTGTATAATTAGATTTTGCTTAAAACATCCACTAATATTTGTTATTTGAAAAATGCTTCAGGTTCTTCCATAGACATATATTCAATTTCCCAAGAATAGTGAATTTTCCATGCATAATATTTTCTCAGTCACTATGCAAGATTCTAAAACCAAACCACAACAATTCTTGGGTCTTGTTTACTAAATTTACCACAAAAATAGAAAATTATACGTCAACTAGAAGAAAGCAATACAAACCTTCCTCGTTAACAATGAAGGACATGTGGAAGTTGCCAACACACTCTGGATACAGTAACTCAAACTCGGTGAGAGGCAGATAGTGGGTCACAAATATGGTGAGACACTTCACCTAAGGGATAAATAAAAAAACATTCTGCAATAAATGCATTCACAGAAATAACAGGTTGGTGCTACATAATGTCAGGATAAAGTAAGTAGGTAATTTTAAGAAGAGGGCACCAAGCCAGGAAGACCACCTGGCACAGCCTGCATCATGGAATATTCTAAAAGGTTCTAAATAACACTTGGGATGTTAACGCTAGGGCAAAAAGACACATGGTGAGCCAATGTCAAAGGTATTAGATCCACCAAGGATCATTTTTTGAGGTAAAAATGTTCCAAAATTATTTAGTAGATGCTTCTGAATGCAAATCTGTATTGCTAAGTAATACTGTACCTGATTTAGGAAAAAATCAAGTGCTGCCATGGCAACAGCTACGCCATCATGCGTAGATGTGCCTCGACCCAATTCATCCAAAATTACAAGGGAATTCGTTGTTGCTTCGTGCATGATGTCAGCAGTTTCCCCAACTTCTACCATGAATGTACTCCGTCCAGTGTATATCTCGTCTGCTGCGCCCATTCTGTAATGAGAGGCAAAGCAAAAGTAGTACTATTGTTAATAACATTTTCCTATACATGCCAAATATTTGGAGTACAGTATATGAAGACAAATATCATTGGAAAATACTAAAATGAGAAACATATACATACATTGTATACTGTATTTTCCCCAGCATGTATTCCAAATACAGTACACAGTAAATGACTTTTATACTGTGGCTGTTACAAGCAACAGATAGAAGACATGTATTAATAATGTGGTCATCTCAGGGTAAAATATAGTTTTCCTTCTCTAAATTATTATCTTTTCTTCATCAATTATCCTCTCCAGGATATTGAAAACATATTGGTTATATAATATTTGCTTATATACATTTTGTACTCGAAAGATATTTTATCATTTGGGCATAAGAAAATAATTCAGAAAAATTGGCAATGCATTAACAGAGAAAAATGGCATAATGATCAAGGAACTCAACTTCTTATTGAGCTGGAAGGGGTCCAGGACATATTAGCCCTTCCTAGCAAGGTTACACCATACTGTAACTGGATTCATTTTGCCATACAGAAGGCTATTTTCATTCAATTTAGAAGCATTGTGCTACAATAGCCAAAATAATTTATTCATTGAAATAAAGAAATTTGTTAAAATTCAGTAATGATAACATTACAGAAAATACAACTTAAAGATATTATACTGTAATAGTTAACAGAGGAAGTACCTGTAGGTCCAAAATACAACTTAAAGATATTATACTGTAATAGTTAACAGAGGAAGTACCTGTAGGTCCAAAATACAACTTAAAGATATTATACTGTAATAGTTAACAGAGGAAGTACCTGTAGGTCCAAAATACAACTTAAAGATATTATACTGTAATAGTTAACAGAGGAAGTACCTGTAGGTCCAAAATGTAAAACATTAATTCGGGTTTTCGGGGCTGGGAAGCTTGTGTAAATATATAATTTAGGCTTCATTGAGGCTCTCCCCCATGGTCAAACTACCGACCTTACCCAGGTTGAAACCCCACAACAGTTGGCCAATTCCCAGGTACCTATTGACTGCTAGGTGAACAGTAGCACTAGGTAAAAGGAAACCTGCCCAACCATTGTAATTGTAGCAGGCACTCATTAGACAAGTCAGTGTTTCTTGTATTCACCTCTTGGCATGAACTTTCTTGCTGTTTCAAGTTCAGCATTAGTGTTTAAAGTCTGCTGATTTTCCAAAGAATACAACATGCAAAATCCATATGAATACAACATACAAACATGCAAATTCATATTTCCATATGAATTCAACATGCGAAATTACTAAAGCTTCAGGCCAGAGTATAAGTTTGAGGCTAGAGGAAGTTTAGAGCTGGATCAAAAGTTAAGGCTTTACCAAATAATCAATGTTTTTATCCGTAGATAAAACAGGTACTCCTTCATTACCCTTTCCTTTCCACTTGCCTGGTATATATTGCATCCAAAATTGACATTTCTACAGATTCAGCAGGTACGTAGCTCCCAGTCTGGGACATAAGAGCTATTAGTGCTACTTGACGCATATAGCACGACTTTCCACCCATATTTGGTCCAGTCACAAGCATCACACGCTGACCATCAACCTAGAGAAAACATAAGCCTGTAGAACATTAATTAGGAAGTGCCTTCCTAACTAATATGAGATATGTTAAAAATATAACCACAATAAAAATATACTAAATGTATCAAACCTTATTTCCTCTAACCAAAAAGCTTTCTATTTATTCCTACCTTTAAATTAGTATCATTGGCAACATACTGGTCATCTCCCAGCTTTAACTGAGAAACAATGGGATGTCTTCCTTCAGTAATCTTCAGCATGCCTTTACCACTCTCCCGGGCATACAGTTTTGGCCGACAATATCCCTGAGCTTTTGCGACGTTTGCTAATGAAGTCAAAGCATCGAGGGTAGCAAGACTTCTGACAGCTTGACGATGGAGCTGGTAGTGACTAGAAAACGAATCCAAGACTTCAAGCCAGGCCTAAAATAAAAGTAACAAAAATATTAACTAGCAAACTATCCACAGTGATTGTTTTCAGCTTTTTCAAAGACCAAGTGTAAAGTACTGTTCACTCCATTCTTATCTCTTGCCCGTTCCCTTCCCCTTACAAATCACTTTTGACCCACGCATACTCAGATCCTCACTAACACACATCCCAAGATATAATTTCTCAATAGGCTGTGACAGCATCATCTCTTTTTGCTGCCTTGCAAGCGGTAATGGAAGCGATGCTCATGAACATGCGAAAAGTGTAGAAATGATCAGCTCAATACCTGCCTACCTCATAAACAAGGAAAATGGATCAAGACAATGATAAATATCAAATTTTTAACCAAAGAATTAATATAAAATTCAAGCAGGAAATTCCTTGAATTAAATGCAATTACATATATAATAAATACATGCATCAATACAGTTACGAATAAACATCATATCATTAATTTAAAATTAAATTCTTGCTTAATCTAAAAATTTCAGCTGTTTCTTGACAAAATATTAATGTTATGTAGTGTATTTATACTTCAAAAAGAATCTTTACAATACTATAAAGGCCAAAGAACTGTTGACTGACTGCTTTTGAGAATGGCAAAAGTAAGGATGGGTTTAGGCATTACGTTATGTAGATGTAAATATACCATTTTGCAAATACTGTAGTTAAAACTTTTTAGCTTAAAAATTATGAATGTGTACATATATATACTATACATATCTACAATGCATACAGTGGTCCCCAACTTATGAATGGAATCGCAAGTTCCCATTTTGGACCCTCGTCCCTCTATACAAACCAATTTGGAAGTCGTCAAATTCCCAAATTACGAATGGCCGACGTACGTTTGTGCAAGATTAAGGCTCTGGTAGCATTTTGTATATCTATGGCTTAAGCACCAGGAAGCAAATGAAGGGCCAGCCCAGAAATACTACTATAGTTGCCACTGGGTTACACCGCTCAGTAACAAAAGGAAGTCTAGTTTTATGATCATATGCAAGTTTTGTAGGTGCTCACAAGCTATCACGTTAAAAATTATTAAAAAAAAAAATTGCTATGGTGACATACATCACGAAAGTTTTAGTAATACCTAGCCTTTTTTTTTTTTTTTTTTTTTTTTTTTGCTAAAGCTTATTTTAACTTTCCAGTTATCATGATTAGACATTTTCAAGATATTGGCTGGGGAACCTGTTGGAAGGAAGTAGTAAATACATGACAAAACTAACATCAATTTAGGCAAAAATGACATACTACTGCACATAAAATTGAAAAATATGTCATTATAACTTTAGAGACAAAGTAAACACAGCATACAAAGCAGCTGTACTGTAGCAAGTACCTCATGACAATCAGCTTGTAACTGTTCTCGCAGCTGCTGTAATTTAGTGAAACGCTTTTCAATCTCAGGCGACCTGAACCTGCAGCAAGCCTTGGTTCTGTGAATGATAAGGAATACAAATTAAACTATATAAGAGAGAGGAGTAAATAAATAACTTATTGCTCGTGGTGAAACCTGGAAATAAAGTAAAAACCTTTTCTACAAAAGGAACCTCTACAAAATCCTACTTTATCTTAAGATATTTTAGGAGGGTATCGAGAACATTCCGAGCCAATTTCCCTATACAGTATACACATCTCTGGAAAAAATAAAATAACCTTAATTTTCCAATTCAATACTTAATACTGCATGAAGAGAATATGTGCACACACACACACACTGAAAATAACACACCACCAGTCTGCCCTCCTAACCCAGCTCATGTTCAAACTCTCCCAATAGGAACACTCAGTAGTAAGGAGCTACTGCAGTAGAAGAGTAACATACAGGAACATACATGAACGCAAATATTATCACTGGCACAACAGTGATATCGGCCAATTTTTGCAGCACAGTACAGCATTGGTAAAGTTTCAACCGATACAAATTTATTTTATTTAAATTGTTTGTATGGTTCTGATATCTTGGAAAAAATATTATATATTGGTATTGGTCTTTTAATGGTATCAGAGTATCCAATTCAGCTAATAAAACAGCAGCAGTACAACTCTACAGAAAAGTGTACAAGAACTGCAGCCCAAGGTCATTGCAATAAGAAACAAAAGTCAAGTGAATGCAAGATTTCCAAGTGGCTCGGAAGTGATTACAGAGAGAACCAAAATGGGTACAGGGGTAATGGCACCGATGACGACCAAACCACCCACCAGAAGATGATGAAACGATACTGTTTCGATCCGTCCTGGACCATTATCAAGTCGACTCATCATATCTTCAGCCACGCTGTTGTGAATCGTCTGCATATGGCACTGATGATTCAAATGCAATGGAATTTTGGGGTAATAACTCTGGTAGATGTGGCCAACCCAGAGGACTTTTTCATAACTACAGCAAAAATAATTGCCAAGAGGATGGTGGTCACAATCCTATATAACCCCTCACCTAATAGCTGGAGGCAAAGGGGAAGAGTATGAAAATAGTGAAATAAATTGTATGAAAGCAATAGCAAAAGACCAGCAATGGTGTCAAATGGTACTAGATAAGGGGTGTGAAATCAGCATATATCAGTAATAAAGTATAGTATATAAAATATATCTGGAGGCGAGGCAGTCATGTAAAGTTATTAGGACTCCAAGCAGAATTAGAAATATACAAACTTTTGGGAATTACAGTACTAAAAATCTAGTCTGTAAATTCAACATCAACCAAGTTATTAACTAAAATAATAAAATATGTTATCGGTTGTCATTATGGCGTGCACCCATGCTGTGAGGGACAAAGCTAGTCATAATATCTAATACAGTAGTATCAATTAATATTAAAACACACCCCCATATTCCCCTCCCCCACTCTCTCTCTCTCTCTCTCAGAGAGAGCTAAGTTATTATTAAAAATAACTTAAGAGCTCTCTAAGCTCTAACTTAGATCAAGTCTCCTAGAGCCCAGATGAATGGAATAGGGAGTTATTATTGTATTATGCACCTTATTTATAGTTATATAGTGATAACTGATAGTAGATGACGACCCCATAACATTAAAGGAGCCAAGATAGCCTGCCATGGGGACATAAATAAAATACCACGAGTTAATACATACATATACTGTACATTAATTTCCAAGTTAAAGATCATCCAACATGCGAGTGAGTCACTAGAAATCAAAACTGTCAAAATAAACCAAAGACCATCCCCCTACTGGGAATATTTAAGAAAAGTTATACAAATTATCAAGCAAAGAATTAACCAAGGCATTAGGTTAAAAATCAAACACACACAAATCATACGGTTTTCTCAATACATACGAGCTAATTTTTGCCCAGTTCTTTGGAACAGCTTTCAACTGGGAGTTTTTTACTTCGATTAGGAATTCGAGACCTGATACTGTTGTGTAGTTGAAGCTTGGAATTCTTAGAATCTGAAAAAAGTTAACATGAATTAATAAATCAATGGAAAAGTATCTACCCATTTATCTACTATTAATTGTTAACACACATGGATAAACATTTCCCCAACTTTCATTTAAAAATATAATTACTGTAGTTAAGTAACATATACAAGCTTCAAATCTACATAAAACAATTATGTCACATAAAATTACAAGAATCTTGCTCAGAATTCACTAAAACTGCTCTACATACCTTTGCAATTTCTGGCTTGAGATCTCTTAACTCTTCTTCCACATCTGCTATTTCCTGTTGCCTCTTAATGACTTTAGGAAACGCTGAGAAATCTTTGAGAAAACTTGTTTTCTTCCCCTCCCTGCAGATAATAAAGTTGAGGAAGCATAATTAAAGTCTAGATCTGTCAAGTAAAAAAATTCCACACACAAGGACATTTGGATATAAATAAATCAATATCAAAACATAGGTATTATTTTTTCTTAAATTCCAACAAAGCCCTTTCTTTTAGGGTGTGTGGACTGCTCAATCATTGGTAATTACCACATTCCTATTTCTATTATGCTGTGTTTACACACACTCAGATATTTTGAAAGGGCAAGAGGCCCTTTCAAAATATGTGAGTGTGTGTAAACCAACATAACCTTTTGTTTGACTGGTGAAAGTCTTCTTGTTTTTGCTCTGTAGGTTGGTGATTGTGCAGTACTTTAATTACCAAATAAGAGTTTCCAATCATTATAATTAAAGTGTAATGCCATATATTCCCATAGTTGTAAAATTATCTTTCTGCAATTGTTAACAATTGCATAGTCCATTAAATAATATTTTCTTACCTAGCACTGGCTTCATTAATGTTGTCTGCAAATGCCTCAACATTGGAGAGGCCGTCGAGAACTTCATGCAGTAGGTGAACAAGTCCAGGTGTGTTAACAGTGTCTTCCATATTGCCACTGACTCTTGAAAGTCCGGCATGAACTTGATGTAATCCTTCTACAGCCAGCCAAAATTCATGAGGACTACACTGCAAGAACATGAATACATTGGAAAGGGTAAGGTCATTTTGGACAAGAGATGATTTGATGAAGCGTGTTTTCTGTTTGTTAAAACCATACATATATACAGTATATATATATATTGTGCTAGGATGTATGAACTTAGTTTAGGTTGTATTGGGATCGGTTAGGTTGGGTAGGTTTCAAAATTCGTTTGCGAATCATCTTGTGTATGTGACTTGTATCTTTTCGAGAGAGTCATGGGGAAAACATCATGTACCATTTACGAGTGAACAGCATAAATGTTATTATAACATGAAAAAGAAAACTGCAGCTGCATGCCCCTCCAAGCAACAGAAATGATAGGAAGTTGTTTTCTGAGCTATCTCACTTTAATACCAGTACTCTCTAAGGCACGCTACTTGGCAGTGAGGCAGAGCAACATTATCATACCTTCTCACGAGGAATTAGTAACCTGCCCTGCCATACGGCAGCACCATTTACAAAACAGGGCTTCCCCGTGACTCACCTAATAACACCATTATGTTAGGGAACCTAGAACGTTTCCCTAACGTTTAACGTTTCGAACGGCAGATGCCAGGCATCTGCCTGTTACTGCTGTTAGGGGCAGTGGTGACATACAGTAAGTCTTCTTAGACCCATTGTGCATTCAGTGTTTGGCTGTCAGATGAAGCACCGTTCGACAGCTCACCATGATGCATACAAGCCTTTGTCTCTTGGAGGTTCTGAACTGTAGTGTTTTTACCCTGCAATATCCTCTGGAAACCACTTCTGCAATACTGTATAAGCAAATGTTCCCCTTTTTTTATTTTATATCATATTGTTCTTTCCCACAGGAAAGACTTGCTTTAGTGAGTGATTGATCCAAATAGCTCAGAAAATAGTGCTCAGTACTGTATAGGAAAAAATGCTTTTCTGAATAGATCACTCAATTTCTTCCATCCCATCTCTTATTTCCTAGTGTCCCTTGTCCGACTCGAAGCTAGTAAGAGCCCCTCTCAGTGGTTGTTATGTCAAATGAAGGCTCATAAGTGCTTTGAATTTCTGTGAAAGGATCACTAACACATTCTTGGTTGGGTCCTTAATTCGTACAGTGCAAAGGAAATTTTTGGGATCTGCATGAAGTAAGGAAGAATTATAAGGCAATGACAACCAATTAAAAAAATGAAAGGACCATTTTTCAATGAAATGGCATATAAAAATGTAGTGATAGTTTTATGTGCCATTCTTTATGCTTTTATAAAATATTTGAATATGGTTTAGGTCTTTGATACTCGATGTATCCAAAATGCACAAGATGTCTGTGTAATATTGTACCATAGATGACTAGAATGAATAGAATACCACTTCCTACAATATAAAAAGAAATAGAAAAAGTAATAGGCAAGCTAAATCAAAATGTCATAAAAAAAAATTGACAAGAACTATGTACTTATAATACCTTTTTATGAAAAATGGTTGTCAGGGCTCTCTCAAAATCTGGCAGTCTATTCAGTACACTCTTCAGCTTATTTATTATTGGAGCTTCTGAGCTCATTAGTTCTTCAACCATATCTTGGCGTTCGGTAATTTGATCCACGTCTAATAATGGCTGGACTATCCATCGACGAAGGAGTCTGAAAGAGTTAAGAGACACGAGATTGCAGGTAAAAATAAACATTCAGTTAGTAAACTCTGCAAGTAATGATTATTAATCATTATGAATGAAATTCTAATAAGAAAAGGAGAGCGAGACCTATTTTAACTTGTTTTCAATGACAATCTACTATATTCACCAGTTCCACAACATGTGATTTACTGTTTTAATACACAGAGCTGGGTCTGGGAGAATTTGATCTAGTGTCTCGAGCTAAGTGTTGAGCTTGGCTGTGAATGATCACCGAGGGTATTTTGTATCAGCCAAGCAGTTGTTGGGTCCTAGTTGCAACCCATCCTCACAGGTGGAAAATCAATTCATGCAGCAGTTGTTTACCCTGTCCATGAATAAAATGTACATTATATGATTCAACTGATATTGTTTGAGTTTGTCTTGAAAGGAGCCACTTTCACTCCCAATCTGCACTTCTCAATATGTTCCACTCCCCTCAAAAACACACACACACACACACACATACACATATTGACAGTTGAGAGGCGGGACCAAAGAGCCAAAGCTCAACCCCCGCAAGCACAAATAGGTGAGTACACACACACATATACTGTATATACATCAAAAGGTAAAACTTATGATGCTGTTGTGAAGTCTAACTACCAGTTTATACAAGAAATGTCCATCTGGTTATCTTAATACAAAATAGGAAAAAAAACATTAATTATTAATTAGTTCTTATAATGCAAAATACAACTAAAAGAAGTTATTCTTTAGAGCTGAAGCAAGCATACAAGAATTGTCATGTCCTAACTCTGCACTATATAACAGACCTGGAACCAAATTTGGTGTGTGTTTTATCAAGGGCCCACAGCAAGCTACCCTTTATCCCACCATCCACAGCATTGGTCAACACCTCCAGGTTACGCAAGGTGGCGCCTGAGAGTCTCATGTAGTGGCTGCTCGAGCTATATTTACAAATGGATCTGCAAACAAAATAAAGAACAAACATTACCAGTAGTTTCCATCTGTATTCTAGCATTCACATCTTAATACAAACAGTAACTATCATAAAAATATTGATATTAAATATTCCAGAATATTAACTTCTAAAATATAAATCTTTACCTCCTTAACTGCTCAGCTATTTAAAAGTACTGTACTACATCATGGTGTGCATGACAAAATATAATTAATAAATAAAATGGACAAAAAAATGGCATGTAGTGATTTGCACACAGACATAAATGCAAATAGCAACTGGAGCAGTGTAAGAGTTAAAGACATCCATTACTTTTTGAGTGAATGAGTCAATCAACATACCCAGCCATTTTTATTATACGATCCAGTTTGAACTCGGCAAGATATTGAAGCGCAGCACCGAGGCAGCTAACTACATCTGGCGGTAGTCCCGACACGTGCTTCATCCTCTCCTCCTCATCCACAAACAACTCACATACACGTTTTAAAGAGTCTGAATAATCAAACTTTGCCTCGTCCAATCTCTCGATTCTAATACAATCTTCATTTCTAAAAAAACAGAAGCAGAAAAATTTAATGTTAATCAGTGGTTTGATATAAAAACAATATAGAACATGTAATACAGATTTAAAAATCAATAAAAATATTTTAACAAACAGCACCTATTATGGAAACAAACATGAACACAACAAAATCAAATTTTGACCACTGAACAAACACTGAAATATTCATACCATTTTGAAAGAGCCTACAGATAAAATCAACAAATACAGTACATACAGTATAGCGGGATCTTGCTGGAATTAATCATATATTGTGTTGTGGCCGAACTTCCTGGTAAATTTCCTCAAGTTTTACAGTTAATCTCTGATCCCCTGCTTCCCGTGCCCTGTAGAGCAACAGGCGAGGGATGGGCCTTGGAGGTCTGATGTGTTCAGCCAAGGCTTGGTTGTACCAGAGCTAAGCTCGGGAAAACTATCGAAGGGTCCCTCCCAGAAAAAATTAATATTTTTTTTTATTTAATTTGGAAAAAGTATTTTAGTGACTTGAACACTGCTAAATATTGTGTAATACAGTCTATGGGATATTTATTTCTGTTTCTTTTTTTTATAGCCCTAGTGCCATCAAACCTGTCCTACCACATTTATTGTACCACATGTAGCAGGACCTACCGAGAGGTCCTACCACATGTAGCAGGACTTCTCAGTACTCGGTGAATTTTATCCAGTTTTATTTAGTTAATTATTTGCAAGTTAAAAAGATGTCTGCCAGCCAGAGTAGCAGGCTAAATTAGATTGTAAAATAATTGTCAAAACACCTGGGGCTAAAGCTGTTAAATACCCTCCCAGCAAGCCCAAGAAATATTGCCGGAACAAAGGTGGAAGTTTTCAAGAAGCATTTAGATAAGTTCTTGCAAGAAGTGCCAGAGTAACCAGGCTGTAGTGGATATGTGAGCCTGCGGGTCGCTCCAAGCTACAGTCTGTTGGACCAAGTTATCACAAGTTGAGCCTGGCCTCAGGCTGGGCACGAGAAGTAGAAGAACTCCCGAGACCCTCTCCAGGTATGCTCCAGATATGAAAGGAGGTATTTTACCATGGAAGATTTAGAAAAGAGAGCAAGTCTAAGAAGTGTGAGAGAACTAGCAGCAATTTTCAAACAAATATATATTTCTTATTTATATATACTAGAGTTCTTACATTCTTGTACAGCCACTACAGTAGCACGCGTAGCGTTTTGGGTAAGTCCTTAATCCTAATATTCCCCGGAATACGACCCGCCAAATCGTTTAACAACGAGGTACTCATTTTACTGTTGGGTAAACGGAGGGTATAGTTAAGAATTAGCACCCAGTAAATCCTCCCCGGCCAGGATACGAACCCAGGCCAAAGCACTCGCGAAATGCCAGGCGAGTGTCTTACCACTACGCCATGGGGACCGCTAAATATGTTCACGGGGAAACAGGGAAATAGGTTCACATACAGTATATAGAATAAATATAGTTGTCTATATATAAGCTAAGATGAGTTCTATCCTTTGGGGTTAGAAAAATGCAAAACATTCTGCAATAAATAGCAAAATACCCAGTGGATTGATATAACTGATAAGACAGAACATGTGTATTCCATATTAATCTGTTGAGGTGTCACTGTATGTCCTGTAAATGCGTATCTAAATATCATAGTTAATCCAAAAGTTCTACATAAACAAATTACAAACAAGCTTACCTTGTGGTAGCTGCTGTTATAGCTTGAACTGTGATATCGGATACGTTTGTAGATACCAAAGCTTCAACAGGCTGAATGTGGTCTAAACGACACCAAAATTCAGTTCTAGCAGACGAGTCATCGAAAGTGTCATATATAATGTCTCCAGTACTTGGCTGGATAGCCTGTTGGGTAAAAATTATACAGAAATGACTTAACTAGCCCAAAAACAGGACAAGAGGAATAGTTGAATTAAAAAGTACATATTTTATTTGTAACTATAATATACACTCCTGTCACTTCCTTCATTGATTCATTTAATATGAATTTGCATTTAAACCTTCTATAATACATAAAAAATAATTATTTATAAATCCAAGAGTTCTTACATTCTTGCAGAGCCACTAGCACGCATAGTGTTTCGGGCAAGTTCTCAATCCTAATTTTCCCCAGAATACCATCCGCCAAATTGTTTAACAACCAAGTAATAATATGTTAGTAATAGTAATGTCTTCTCATAGACATAACAACATAGGATAAAATCCCATTAAGACCTTGATAAAGCACTCAGGAGAGTGCAAAAGATGTTGTAAATTTTCTTACATCAATTTACCAAATACACAAGTGTGGGGTTTTAAACAAAAGTATTCAAATCAGGATGCAGTTCACAGATACACGACTCTATAACACACTTGACCACCACAGTATCTACCATGTGTGCTTGATACATACAGTGGGGGGTCAAGTGGACATCAAATCATTGCATAAAAGCCTGTACGTGGTTGTTTACAAAGTAAAACAAAGGACAACTGTAATACTCAATACTACCACCAAACTTTAGCATTCAATATAAACTATTACATTTAATATTTTACGAATACACTTTAAGAGACATGCCTAAGAGTTTAAAGCACCTTTTAAATCCTTAACTCTTCGCAACCTCTGAGACACGTTAGAGCACATGACACTTTCCAACGATTAAAATAATGTTAGAGGCATAAAGCTGAAAACCTGAACTTCACAATATACTTACAATAATTGAAATGCCCACTGTGCCATCCTTTCCAGAGGTACTTTTGCCTTCATGAACTACCAACAGCATGGCTGTGGCTCCTTCTGCGAGATCCCCGTCACCAACAGCTTCCCCGCCACCTGCAGGCGTTACATCTTCACCAATTAGTGTAGAACGTGTATATAATGCTGCAAGTTCACGACCAAATGGTGCAGTTTTATTGCTTCCAGCTGCCTTTAGGGCAGCAGTTTCTGTTTGCTTCACAACCCCCACTTTATAACCTGCAAGCAAATATAGGTACTGCATGAGATTTTAACCATTTTATTTTATTGTAGAGATTCCAGTGGTTTTTCTGTTTATCAACACATCATCCTAGGTATTCTAAACTTCTGATGAGGCATTAGTCATTAAAGCACTCAGGTTTTTCCCAAGTTTCTCTATTGTTTTTTATGTATACTATCACACTGATTTATTTATAATGCAAATGTACAAAGTATGCTAATTTATTGAAGAATAGTTAAGATTCAATTTGCCTGAAGGAACGCATACCCTTTGCAACTAGTCTTCGTACGTGTACATGAAGGCGGTGAGTGGGAATACTCGCTGTCATGAAGCTATGATCCAGATGTGCAACAATATTCAGCTCCTTGGCAGCAATTTCTGCATCATTTCCAAAAAACCTTAAAAAATCAAAACCTTAAGTAAAATGTGCATTGATTAATATATGTATAATATATATTGTATATAGTATACAGTATATTACTTGTTACGTTCATCCTATCTATTCACGTGCACAGACATTAGTAAGACAAAAAATTTAGGAAAAATGGAACTCCACGAATATAGCTGCCATACTGCACTACACTATGATTATAGGAAAGACAGGACACCTGCATATAAATATTTGTGATGCAATCCAAAAGAAGCCCAATATATTAATTAGTAATTTCATGAAAATTATAGCACAGTAAATTACACTCCAAATGGTTATTTTATAACAAATGCAATATTTCCTCGAGTCCAATGTACTTACCTGTATTTGTACCCACATTCCACAAAGAGAACAACATCCGGTTGCTCATTCTTTATGGAAACAACTTGTTGCTCGAGAGGAGTGAGTTTCATTCCTGGTAAGGCTTTCATAGGTCCTGGCTTAAGTACCGCAGGTTCTGTGTGTTCGTTGTTATTGGTGCTGGTGGTTGTGCTGTTGCTGTCATTTTGTGACCTAGTAGGATTTAAACATTTTAACCAGAAAGAAAACTCAAGCTGTATATATAATATATTTCTAGCAATTTACAGCAAAAGGGAACTTGTTAGGAAATCCCCCCCCCCCAAAAAAAAATTATGAGTACCTATTCAATGTACAATCTTAAACCCTTTTACTGACACCCCACTTCAACTATATACAGTACAAAGATAAGTTTCTTCAAAATTAGATAATGATCAACAATAAATCATTCCCACTAGATAATAAAACTATTAAAGAGGTTAAAGAATTGAAATATTTGGAGAGAGTAATGTACAAGCATGAACCAAAGGATCGGTAAATGTGAGAAAGAGAATAGTGCAAGAAAGAAAAGGGACAATGGAAAGGAGAACTGGAACTCTTAATTTTATCAAGAATGTCATGCACAATGGCAATATTTTTGTGCAGAAGAGATGTGGCGCCAGCAAAAGAAAGCAATAAGTTAGTTGAAGGATTCTTCTAGCTTTAATGTATTTGGAGAGAGTAAGGTCAGCTTGAAAAGTCAACCATTACATACCTAAAATCATCCAGCTTGTTTTTTATCGTCTTCTGGTTAACTTTCTTAGTTGGTTTTGTTAATTGTGGTTCCTGCATTACTTCCATTTCTTCAACTGTATCTGAAAATTAAAAACAAGCAATAAACAATAACAACTAGGCATCTGTTGATTGCCGAGGGTGGCTGAAGGAATAAATTACACATAATTAGGAAAGACACTGAAGTATCTGGAAAGGACAAACGTGATAACCCAGCGGCAACATGGATTAAAGAGGGCAAGTTATGAGATATGCACAAGAGTTCTGTGATAAGATGACTAAGGTGAGTCGTAAGAGAAATAGATACACCTGCATCTCCCTACACCACTTAAAAACTTTACCATTTCAATGGAAGACATACATAATACTTGACAGACAGGAACCATGTCATTGTGAGAGGAAATGTACTAGAAAAGGGAATCAGATAGCAAAAACAAAAATAGTAACTGGTGAGGCAGTGGCATCTTATTTACCATGTTCAGCATAAAATTCTAAACAGAAAAACTAACAAAAACCTGCTGTCTAAGGTAAGATCTGCCATGACTTTTGAACAGGATTGTGAATGGTCCTACAGAGCAACTTTCTGACAGGGAACTTTTGCAGGGAAGTTTTCAAGCTGACCTTGCAAAGTCATACTAGTGTTAGGAACCCATGGAGAATACTGAATTCTACTTGCAATGGCATCTAGAATGTTTATTCTTAAAATTCAAATCCCGTCTAAAGCCTCCAAGACATCACAAATGACTCAATGAGCCACTCTTGCTAATTACCAGTTAGCCAATCTACCCACTCCCACTGATCACCACCAGGAGTCAGTATCACTCAGAAAAGAGCTCTCTGATGCAAACCAAATGATCCACTCAGAAAAAAAAAAAGAGCTTTTCATAATCAGAAAGCATTAATTCTGGGTTACACCACTCAGTAGGATAGCCTATCATGCAAAGAAAGCCCCTGAAAAAACAAACATTGTACATAACTTATAACTTATATAAAAAAAAAAAACATACCAGCTGAGAAGGATTGAAGCCTGTTTTTAGTCCAGGATGTGAGGGATCTTTTCTTGGTACTACTTTCATCACCATTGAGCTCTGACGAGCTGGAATTCTTGGTCTCGCACTCTTCAGTTCTGGCTTTTTTAGAAAATTTACTAACAGAACCATTGGTCTTTGTTCGCTTTATAGCTGGAGAAATGCTAACCTGAAAAGAAACATTGTCAATGGGCTATTTAATTATACACAATAAAAAAAAATGGGTGAAGAAAAATGCTAGTACACATGCCGTGAAGGATTCTCCAATCTCTAGCAACAAATATGCTCCGAGACTCAAATACTGTAATTTAATGAAATTGGGTTATTAGCATATATTTTTGTATTCCATTGAGCCCAATGAAGCCACAAAAATAGCTGACACAAAGAAAAGAATGAGAGTATAGTTCATCACCAAATTTACATGAATTTACCTGAGGGGCCACTAACACAATACAGTAATATAATAATTTGTACAATATTTACAAAAAGGTACAATGGGATTGTGAGATTACACAAGATTGGTATTTTTACATTCTTGCAAAGTCACTAACACACACATCATTTTGGGCAGAAACATTGAGCAGAAACGTCAAGGCCACTAGAGAGGACAGGAAGCCAGCAGCTTTTCAAAAAGTCCAACTGTTTCTTAAATAATTGCTACTCAAATAAGGAAACTATAAGACAAAGATTAATCTGTATTAATACCTAAAATACTGCATTAGATAAATTACCTCAGCAATTTTGCTGGCATGATTTTGCTTCTTTTCTTCATCCGTATCAAACTTTTGTGTTCCTCCTTTTTTAAGAGAGGCAAAAAATTTTGATATTGTAGGCTGCTTCTTTGCACCTGAGGCAGACATTTTTCACTAAATTCTTCTGTGCAAACTCTGAAATGTATGAATGAAGGCATGTCATTTTTATCCTTTACTTAAGCGAGCATAACCAAATAAATCTTACATAAAAATAAGGAGAACAAATTTACCTGAGGGGGTCACATCTCCATCTATCTATACTGTATATCTCTTTCTACCTCTCTCTCTCTATTATTCTATTTATCCATATTTCTCTCTCTCTCTTTGTGTGGCCTCGATGAGACCAGGAAGCTGGCAGATTGTCAAAGGTCTCCCTATTTGTCCTGATATTATTAAAGCTGGATCTTAAATTGCAACAACGTTTTGGCATTTACACCTTCAGCAGATAAGCAGTTCCATGGGGATTATAATACTATGGGTAAAAAAACATCTGTTTTATATCCTACATAGTGGTTTGATGAGCTTAAAACGGTTGTTCCTTGTTTGTGTTACATCTGACCTTTTGAAGCAGTGGTCTGGATCAATATCCTCTAAACTGTTCAGTATATTAAGAGTTTTGATGAGATCTGCCCTGTCATGTCTGGTTTGCAGTACTCACCTAGTTGTGCTTGCGGGGGTTGAGCTCTGGCTCTTTGTCCCGCCTCTCAACTGTCAATCTACTGGTGTACAGGTTCCTGAGCTTATTGAGCTCTATCATATCCATACCTGAAACTACTGTACAGTACTCTAACACTCAAAAAGTTTTTTCTAATGTCTCTGTGGCTCATTTCGGTATTCCACCTGTATCCCCTTGTTCGAGTACCATCTGTGTTAAATAATGTTCTTATCTACCCTTACTTAGACTTATCTGTCCTTAGGAGGCCTGGTCAAGGGTTGGGTCGTGGGATCGTTGAGCCCTAAAATCACTGCAAGGTAATCCTGTCAATTCCCTTGAGAATTTTGTATGTGGTGATCATGTCTCCCAAAGCTCTTCTATCTTCCAGCGCTGTGAAGTGCAATTCATGCAGCCTTTCCGCATTGCTCATGCCTCTTAGTACTGGGACTATTCTAGTGGCATAGTGTTATTATTCCTGTGGTCTGGTCTGGAATAATCCAAGTGGGGGTGCACCAGAAATTTATGCAGTCGTAGAACTGCCTTCTTTTCCTCTAGGTCAAGGATTCATTTGTTCTTAGGGTTTGGTTGGTTTTTCTTTATTGCAGTTCCCTCTTGCAATTCTCTCTTGCCCAAAACACTGTTTATTTTAATTGCTCTAGGCATAGTATATACACTAGCTCTATCTAGGAATGCAACATTTTGTTTGTAACTCATTTTGTATGTAATTGTACCTGAATAAACATTATTATTATTATTATTGCTGTGCATGGAGAAACTACGAGTATCATGTTGTAACAACATTAATGGTCTCGTATTACATTTGGCATCATAATCAACTCACAGTCCAGGGTTCAATTTCCAGGTGGGACTTAAACGGTTGGGCACATTTCCTTTCACCTAATACACCTGTTCCTGTTCACTTAACAGTAAACGGGTACTCTGAGTTACACAACTGTTGTGGCGTTGCCTCCAGGAGAGGGTCAGTATTTCGACCTTGGGTGAGGACCTAGAGACAGGTCAAAGGTGTATGTATGCATGTATATATATATATATATTATATATATATATATATATATATATATATATATATATATATATATATATATATATATATATATATATATATATATATATATATATATATATATATATATATATATATATATATATATATATATATATATAAACACCCAGGCTTCCTGTCCCCGTCAAAAAGAATTATCCTGAACAATAAATATATGGCTCTCTTGAATGAAAATATCACCAGTGCTTTTCAACCTAAGAGAACACATGACTTATACCTAAAACATGCAACGAACGTACTTTAAGCTAAAAGCTATAAGGCTCTTATACCTAAAATTAAATTGAACAGCAGAAAGACCATTAATTTAGGTGAATAATGTGTTTGTGAACCACCAACCACCAGCCACACTCCCGCGTCCTGACACCGCCTCCGATTCCTAGCACCTTGACTACCATCACCTCTCATTATCACCATTTCCGCTCTTACGCCACATTATGTTACTCACGCCATATAAAAATATTAGCTAGTGACTTTATTTTAATTTAAATTCAATTGATATCATTTGGTTCGTTTTTAAAGATTCGGGTTTATGATGTGATGGTCTTGTAGAGATTAGGACTCAGAGTCAGTTCGATCAGCTGGCCATCAGGTAAACAGAGGTTTTCGGGTGTGGTGCGCTCATATACTCCCTATTTCCACCCTTAGCGAGGAGCATTCGGGTGATTTGCTGGGCGGAGGTCATTGTGGAACCACAAGGGTGAGACCGGTGTGGCGTTGACAGGTCAACGTGAGGGGTCACGGTAGTTTTGGGTGTCGAGGAGGATGAGGTTGCAGGTCAGGAGGTTGTGTAGGGCATAGTGACCCTTGTAACCTTGTAACCTCATTCCAGCTGGCCACAGCCTCCATATCACCCACTTTAACTACCAGATTCATCCACCTTCCAATAGGTTCAATGAGCAGTTAAGATCTGGATTTTTTTTTAATTTGCATGGGGTTTTGGCAGAATTGTAAGTTACTTTTCATGCCCGAAAAATTTTCATGCCCGAAACGCTTTGCGTAATAGTGGCTTTAGGCGTTGTATATACTAGCCCTATCTATAAATCCATCATTCTTTGTAAAATCTCTTGTATGTATGTACCTTACCTAAATAAACATTTATTTATTTATTTTTTTTATTTATTTATGCTTATTTTTATTCTATGCATTAACACATTGGAGGAATTGGAAATGTGGTGTATATTTTATAACACGTGCAACGAGCTGGTACTTGCTACAGAGTTATAATTTATGTGTTATATGACAATCTTCTGTATTTGCAAGTCATTTTTATGCATTTTAGTTGTTTACTATCTCATAATTTTGCAGTTTTATTTGGTCTTGATGGGGAGGGGGACCTTAGCTCCCACCCTGCCATTTAATATAAAGATTTCTCTAGATTATGCTAGAAACCCTCCTTGTATTGATTAGCTTTCATAGTATTGATTCTCTCCCAAAATTTGCTATTTTGTATTTAGCCAGGTTAGAGATATAATACATTTATAAAGGCATTTCACCATTATTGATATTCTGTATATTATACACATTGTCATTTTAAAACATTTTTGCACAGCATTCCTTACAGTACAGTACCATACTTGGTATTCTCAGATGCATAATCAAATTGGCTGACAATTGGCACCAGTCACCGAAATGGTGGTTTGTATCGCAGGAACTACTGAGCATTAAGTAAAAAGTAATATACTGTACTGTACTAGATAGTATGGTGTTGGGATGCTTTTGTGATGTTTTCACTTTGGTGAGACGCTAAGCTGATGCCCGCTCTATAATTAACCAGCCAGATAAGTTTTACCCGATTGGTTTTACTCTTGAGAATGTTGTCTTAGTGCTTAGGCATTTCTTTGGATCGTGTGAAAGTTGCTCACAATTAATCACGAAATATTTCCTCTTGCAGACAATGTCATAATAATATGGCCAAAAATTAAATTTCCAACCACACATTTGAAAATATGTGGAAATGATGACGTTTCAGTCAATCCTGGACCAATATCAAGTTGTATGATGTCCTCTTGTATTTGCTCTTAGTAGAAATATTTATTTACATTTTTGCTATATTTTGAGCTGGTATGTGGCAAGATTTGCAGTATTTTCATAAAAAGGCAAGAAATGCTAAGGGAAAAATTGGACAATCTAAGATGCATTTGTTAGTCAGATATAGTAAAGAATTGTCATGGAAAAAATGGAGTGCTAAGTTCAGAATATAATAATTTGAGGAGAGTTTATTGAAGAGGGGTATACAAGGCTTTTGTAAAAAAAAAAAAATGGGATGTACAATACAGTATCAATACAGCAATATGTAAGAAAAGCCAAGTTTTGTCCTCTGTCTATTGCATACACTAAAGTAAATGCAGTACTGGTAAAACCAATAAATAGGATAAAGGGCCTGCCTGAAATACATAGCATGCTAGTGGCTTTACAAGAATGTAAGAACTTTTGTATACAGGTATATAAAAAAAAAATTAATTCATATTTCATTCGGCAAAATTCGGCGAAATGTGTAGGTTTTCAGTTGCCTATTCTTTTATCGTTTTTATAGAACTTCAAGGCATTGAAATGTATGGGGCCTAATTCATTAACAGATTTGTGTGTTTTAACTGAAAGGGTGACTTTGGTTTATTTTTTATCTAAAGGAGCTTGTTGATTCATATATCATTTCCATTATTTGTCAGACATAAAGCAGCAAGATCTGCATGAATATCCCCATGTACTATATACAGTATTTGAATTTCCATGTTTTAAGAAACATTAGTTTTATACAAGCAGAATTGTATAGACCACCTCAGGCACTTAAGACCAATTTAAATTTTAAAAAGTACATTCACTTTTCAGATTATTGTCACTGGCACTGAATGCTAGCCAACAGAACCTTTCAACTGTTTCTAGTGGCTGGAGTGCTTTCACAGTCTTGTTTACGCTCCATCATGGCCTGGAGATCTCATGGACGTGATAATGCTGACATGGTTAGGCATTTGAAAGGTGAGGATGTTAATATATATGAGATGGCATTTTTAGTTTTATGTATCTTATGCGGACTATGAGTATTTTGTGTCTTTAACTTGGTGTTATACTGTATACAGTATACATATTTTTATTATTTCTTACCTTATAGACAGTATATACTAGAAGATATAATTGGTTGTGAAATTTGAGATTTAATCCATTCTTATAAGACCACTAACATTAATAAGAATGCAAATTTAAAGCCTGGTAGTGCACATTATTTTAGTGGTCTTTGTTAATATAGTTCAGTACAGTGTAACTGCAATAGAATGGAAATCTTGCTAGACTGAAAATAAATGACGTCAAGTTAAACAATGATTCAACTAACAGAATAGGGAATCTGTTATACCTTAGTAACTGATGTATTTAATGAATTTATTATTCTTTTATGCATATAAACTTTGTTAAACAATAATCATATCACAGTAGATATTGTGCTGAATGACACTGGATCAAACTGTGTGCCAAAGCATTCATATGGACAGTTCACTTGATTTCACGAGTATCTACTTGTTGAGAGAACATGTTTCAGATGCGAATCACCTGAGGAATGAATGATCCTTCATGGTGTGATACTCTTGAGAATGGCACATCCAGTATGAGGTTGGCTGAGCACTTTTAACAGTCTTCATCTTCGGCTTGTTCACGAAGTCGAACCATATGGTGAACTAAGAATTCATTGGCATTATACAGGACAGTCAGACCATCGGCATCTCTCTTGAAGGTTCTGATGTACTAACTCATTCAGTCAGAATGGATCAAGAATAGAGGTGAATTGTCTGATACGGTTCTCAACATTGTCCAGGAGTTAGAGAAAGGATGGGTTAGGCCACTGAAGAGTTCATGAAGATTCCTGTTGTTACTAGATCTGATACTGTGTTCCTTCCTTCCCCTCTCTCTGATTGTCTGTGTATTTGTTTGTATGTATGTCTGTGTTTAAATTTATTTTTCATATATATAGTCATGGCCATATATTTATTATTTTGTACAATTCATTATAAGAGTACATTTTATTTGCAGCAAACCAAATTATCCGCTCACCGGAAGTTGAGCGCGTTATGTTGCGAGTTGACCGAGGACTGTACTCCAAGCACAACCCCTATATGGATTCTCCTCAGGGCATTGGTTATGGAGTCACCATCAGTGCACCTCACATGGTTAGTGGGTTGCATATCCCGTATTGTCAAAAATTATGCAATTTGTACAACTCTGAATTCCTCCACAGGGTATTGGCTATGGTATCACTTGTCAGTGCACCTTGCATGGTTATTGATAATATAATGCACAGTGGTCTTCTTTCTTGGCTCACAATCTAGGTACTACTCATGTTCAATCTCCAGGCAAGACAAAGTTTGGCATGTTTCTGTTCACCTGATACTTTTGTTCATCTAGTAATTAAGTAGGTACCCAGGAGATGAGCAATTCTTGTGGGTTGAATCCTGGGGAAGGTCAGTAATTAGCCTACTAGAATCTCGATAAGCCCAAGTGTACAGGCTTCCGTTCCCTGAATAACATGAATTATATGGGTGTAAATTACAGGTATTTTACTGTATGTGATTGGGCTGCTGACATCTCATGGATTTTCTACATGGCATTGTCTTTTATCTCTTAAAAAATAAGCTTAAAATGAGTACTGTATATGTAATTCCAAAACTTTGACCTTTTCAATGAATGGACTAATCACAGGTAAAGTGTTAGGACTCATAATTGATTAGTTAACATTAAGTGATTTCAACAAAGTATACATAGCATTAACCAATAGATTAAAAGAGATTAAAGTTGCCCCTATCCAGCTCCTTGTTGTTCTAAGTGGAATAAAAAAAAATATCTCCTGGTGCTTCGGAGCTCATTAACTGGTTTAATAATTGTAAACAAAGCCGCCAAAGATTGAGAAAAGTTACAGTACTGTAGTTGGTAACTGCTTCATGAATCTGGCCCCAGGAGTTTGTGGTGATAAGTACTAAGTCTTAGTGTTTGTATATTTTCAGCATGCACATGCCCTCGAGCTGCTCAGTAATCACCTTAAGAAAGGCAATCGTGCCATGGATGTTGGCTCGGGCAGTGGTTACCTTACTGCTTGCATGGGTCACATGGTAAGCTCTAAGCGAGTCCTGTATCTGCTAATATTTGGTACTTATGTGCTCTTAAAATGATTCATTTTTGCTTAGCCTTTTATATTTTTTTAATAATCTTTTAATGTTATATATTATTGAAAACAAAAATTCTATCACGTTACATTTTAAATTACGCATTTCTACCCCCCTCTTGCATTTTGTTTTAAAAATCATATATGAAGTTGCCGCTTTGTTTTTCCGTTGTTTTAATACAGTATCATAAAGTACTTTTAAAATCAAATTTGTACTGTTAAGTAACATTATGATAAATAATAATTTCAATTTGTTATTATAATAATATATTCTGTTGCTATACAGGTTGGAGAAAGTGGCCATGCTGTAGGAATTGACCACATTAGTGAGCTTATTAAATTTTCTCAAGAAAATATTGAGAAGGATAGTCCAGAGCTGCTGACATCGGGCGTAGTCAAGCTTGTTGGTCAGTGAATTCCATAATTTATTTGATTGATACAGTGAAAGTTACAGGATATATTACTGTGCTTTTGGGCAGGAAACTTAATTGACAATATGTATAAATAAGTGGAGGAGAACACGATTGAAATACAGTATGTGTACAAACGGGTGAAAAAGATGTAACATAAGGGGTGTAAGTATGCTGCTTAAAATTTATAGTAAAAAAAAAAAGTACAAAAGTCAAAGAATACAGTATAAATTAGATTAGTTTAAATGTTTAACAAAAATGGGTAAAATCTGGTTGGAAGTATTGTTGAGGATTTATGGAATAAGTTAGTGGGCAACATAATTGGTGTGGGATCACTAGATTGTTTCAGTCCGAGGTTAGACATAAATATGTGTGGGAGAGGGAGAGAGGGGGGAGGGGAGGAAGTATACATACAGTAGCTGTCAAGCATGGACCAACATTCCTCTATAGTTTTGTTCTTGTATGTGATTTAGATATTATCACAAAACCAAATCTGTTGCATTCTGATTAAGATTTCATTACATTGACACATTGCTCATATGCTGTTCTTCTATACGTGAATTATATTTAATGGTGTCAGACTTTAACAGTTCATCTCTCATGTTTAATATGCTTATTTGAATTCCTTATTCTAAGGAAATATATATAGGCCTATTGTATGTCTTTTTACAGTTGGTGATGGTCGACTAGGCCATACAGAGGAAGCGCCCTATAATGCTATCCATGTAGGAGCTGCAGCCCCCACTCTCCCCCAAGCACTGGTTGAGCAGCTGGCTCCAGGTGGGCGGCTCATCATTCCAATTGGCCCAGAAGGAGCAAATCAGAATTTAGAACAGGTGCGTTAAGTGATTGTAGAGATTATGGGCACAAGTTAATTGAGATGATGACATGCTCTATGGAAGAGAAGTTATTGCAGGATTACTGTCATGTCATAAATGGTCTAATTGCTCGAAATGAGTTGATGTATTTCAAGTTGTTAAAATAACTTCTCCGTTTGTATATGTTGCATGTTATTCCTGTCATTTGCTTGTTTTATTAAGATTTTATGCTTACTATGTAATTTTAAACAGATTAAATTCATTTTGAATTTAATCCAAAATATTTTAAACTGCATCTGATGTTTAGTTTAATTTTAATAATGTCATTATTAGTAATTTGTGAAGATTTGCTAATAATTTTGTTAATTGTGTAATATATAATAGTAATTATAATGTATTCCTTTAATAGATTATATCATTAAATCCAAAATGTAATTAATTCTTTGGAACAAAGCTGTTTACATTCCTTGTAATGGTTGTTTATGGATAAATAATTTGATTATCAGCAAACCAATCTGAACCCTAATGGGGTTAAAGATAACATTAATCACCTTGTTTAAGTTAATGAAGCTTCCTTTAGTCCAGGATTACAATTCTAAATGTTAATCTTTTATTTACTGTGTTGGCACACCTACATTGTAGATTGACAAGTTGGAAGATGGCACTGTGAAGCGGCAGGTGTTGATGGGCGTCATCTACGTTCCTCTCACTGATAAGGACTATCAGTGGCCTGGCAGGTTAGTGCGAAAGTGTATGGCAACGTTAAATGCTCGCAAAGAGCTTGAGAAAAAAGAAATGGAGGAGGGGGCAAAAGATTAATTATTTTAATTGTGTTGACATTAAAAATGTTGTTTTGCATAACAAAGTGAATGTGTAGGATCATATCATTAAATCTGATATTATCAAGTAAATGCTATGCTTTGTTACTGTCTGCATAAGTATGTAATTTCTGTGGTATTAAGGATTTTATGCCCTTTAACGCCAAATATAAATATAGGATAATAATTTGACCCTTATATGCCATTATTAAAATAAGTAAATTACTGAACATCTGATACCTTTGATATATAAGATCTTGGTACATTGTTCTGCAAGTATATTTCTTAATTCATTTTTAGGTAGTAATGGACTTAAACAAAATTAATTGAGCTGCATAGATTATATTACATCTTCACTGAAAATATTCTCAGAAATTTTCACAGTGAAAATTAGTTTTCCTATGAAAACAAGTTTTAACTTAATGCCTTGTTTTCTCTTTGCCATTTTTGTACATAATACACAGAGTATTTATTTACTTGAAGTCTTAGGATATTTTAATTTTTTTTTATTTGGTAGTGACTCCTTAACGTGTTCATTAATCCTCCTCTTAGAGATATGTGTAAAAATAAAAAATAAAATGTGAGAGAGTGCCCCAATCATTCAGAACTACACCAAAACTAATCACTCAATAAAAACTCAATAAAAATAAAAAATAAAATGTGAGAGAGAGTGCCCCAATCATTCAGAACTACACCAAAACTAATCACAGACCAGATGCACACTGATACTCTGTATGGGGAAGCAGTGATGCCTATATCTCTCCGGAATAGTCGGTTGAGAAACCTGATTTATCGGTGTATTGTTGTGCTATTGACAGCAAAAGTAGCTGTGTGTGTCACAGAATGCAGATGAATTCCATTCTGCATTTAACATATGCTGCTTCTGGTAGTGGTCGGCTGATTTTAAGAGATCGTGAAATTTTGTAGCCAACCAATGCTGGCTGTTTTAACTTTTAGGTTACCTTTAAAACAGCAAGGAGGGAGGGAGGGAATTCCAATTTACTCTGAGAGGTGGTGTTTTCCAAAAGTCTATGATCAATTTTGTTTACAGATTTCTTGATAATTGGCTCTACAGTGAACAGTTGTTGGGTTTCTAATTACTGGACTTCTTAAACGTTAGTCTTGAGATTTTAGTGATGCGCCTCTTAAAGCTGTTTATGTTGAAGTGATTAGTTAAAATATAAATTCTCTATGAAAGTCTAACATTATCATTAATATTAATCTGAAATTTGAAATGCCCCTGCAGTTTTTGCTACAAATCTCTGTGAATTTGACCGATATCTCAAGAAATATGTAAACTGTATTTACTAATTATATTTAACAATAGTTGCAACCTACGATACCTTTTAATATTACCGTCATCTGCGAGTGCAGTACTGTAAGCAGTAGACTAGAAACTGAAATAAGATGAAAGTGTATACTGTATAGATGATGTTACAGAACAATAATGGCACTTTCTCCTTATAATTAATTTACCTTACCTCTTGTTGTCTTGTTAGTGCTTCTTAGATGGCTCCATGCAGCTCTTGTTGTACTTGTCTCCTACAGCAGTCAGTGCCAGCTAACTGCTACTGGCCCCCCTGACACTATCTTCCATAAATGATTTATCATACTGCAAGTAATGACTGGCACAAAGCTATTCCTTGAGTTGCCAATTTAAATTACTGGCACTTTAAGATTGGATCCCAATGGAAATGTATAATTATGATATCTAGTTTTGTTGCTAGTAATGAGGGGTGGGTGTTTATATGCTAATTGTTGGTGTTGGTGATGCAAGTACTATACTAGCTATGTCAGTGGTCATGGCGAAGAGAACCATCATTGTTGTCAAGTAGAGCAACTTTGCTGCCTCAAGCTCCTAAGTCTAATGGGAAAAATATGGAATGAAGAGTTTTACTGATCAGGGAGTTAGTGATCATAAGCTGGTGGTGATAGTGGTGTGAGTGGTGGTGGTGGTGGTGCAGGTACAAGGAACTCTCGCCATCTGGGTGATCTCACTATGCTAAGAGCACGTGAAATGTACTTTGTAAAATGAGGATGTTCTCGTTTGCTAATTTTAGTTTGGGGAGTTCTGTCCACTCATTCAGCTTTCAGTAGCAATATTTTCACCAGAATTGGGGTTTGTTTTGAGACGCCTACCTTTCTGGGTGCCAGACCCAGTCGATGGCAGGCATAGAATGTTCCCAACCATACAGGGGGTTTCTATAGGCCATTGCTCCTCATGCCTCTCTGAGGGGGGCCAGGTTCTTGCTCGTGGTCCCCGGTAGGCAAGAACTCCATGCACATTGAATGATGCCAAAAAGCTAATATATCCATATCAGCCTGGATAGCTCCTAGGAGCCTCCGGGTCTCACCCAGAAAAAGGCGTTTTGTTACATTCAACGCCGTTTATTTTTTTTTTTACATTATAATTTACTATTATATATTGCCTTAACTATGAACTAAATTATGGAAGGCACTGACTTGTAATTTCCCTTTTGAATGTGGTTTCCTACTCCATGTATTGTAGGTGGAAGTACTAATCTGGGAGGAGTGTAGGTGTGGCAGGAGTGTACACCGCACGATTTGTCTCATTCCACAGACGGGAGCTGTGAGTCACGCCAGCTGAATCATAATTCCTCGCAGGTGCTGCTCCCTCCTTTAGTTGCCACTTCTGACTGCACCTCCACCACGGCCACCTACCACTCCGCCTATGCCTGCACTCCACCACAGCCATTTACCACTACGCCTACGCCTGCACCTCAGCCTTAAAAGTTGCTTCCTAAACAGCCCAATTTTTCATTAATTTATTGCATTGTTTTACTACCAAAACCTTCCACTTTTCATAGCACAAGGTTTTATTAAGAAAGGAGTTATGTAGCATTTTCATCATTAGTTTTTCTAAATTTATCTTCCTGAATCTCTCCTTAATTGTGATAATAGTAAAATATGACTTTTATGGTCTAATTGCACACTATATCCAAGTTAGGAATTTGAAAATAAAATAAAAGATTTAGGTGAAATTTATTACCCAGTGTGTTAGGCATCACTAAATGCTGCATATTTAAGTACTGTAGTTTGTGCTTTTCCATAAGAATGTATTGTAGTCTTTGAAACCTTAATGAGATAATTTTTGGTTAAGACTCTTTACATATCTCGTAGTGATGCTCAAGGCTGCCTGTGTAGTTACTGCTTGGGAGTTTGTGTTTTGAAGGATATTTGAGAGCTCCAAGTCTGGTGAGGATTGTGAGAAAGAGACTTAAATTAAGGACAAGTGAATTTACAACATTGTTTGACTTGAGGTTATTTGTGAGATCATATTTAATTATATGTTATTTGTGAGATCATATTTAATTATATGATGTATATACTTACATATTACAATGTCAGTATATAATATAGTTGGCCTCTTAAATGGGATTGAAAGCAAATAATACTAAAATTGAGCTAAAAGTGTGTTAGTAAAAATTCAGAAGTTTAATCTTAGCAAGTTTTTCTTGCCAATTTTATTTATAGAGTTGTCCATTGCAATCATTTAAAGACAACTCTAAAAGATTAGTTATTGACCTGTTTATTCATCTTTTTCCCCCAAAAAATAAAGAATACTTTTCGTACTACTCGTTTTTACTTTGGTGCACCAGCAAATCGGCATGTACATGTATCGGTTTCAAACAAAATTATTTAATTTCCTTTATCAAAGAAGGAAGTGTGTGTGGGACAAGTTGTGTAAGCTTCACGAGTGTGTGGGATTGTTCTTTTGCCAAATCATTTTATGCAGTGTTTGGTTTTAAGTTTTCTGTACTCCATGCAGTCTATATATCCATGTGTAATAAGCAGATAAGTGGGGGGAAAATAGGAAAAAAGTTGCTGTAGTTACTAATACAGTACAAACATTTTTGTAATTGAAATGAATACCTATTTTGTTGTGTGTTATGGAGGCACTTTATTAACAGTTTTTAAATACTGTATATTTGATAATTATTAACTAAATATCGTGTGGAGATATGACCACAAATAAAAAAAATCCCTACATCCTCAAAGGTTTTGAGAAAGCCGAGGTTTAAATGTGCAATTTTTAAGGAAAATTGAAGTTTGATCCCAGTTTGATGAAGTTTGACACTGGAAGCTCTTTAAACTGCCAGAACTGAATTGTTTACATTGATGTGTAGCCCATAAAAGTTGGTTCAAGCTTATAAAATGTTGACCTGCATTTAAATTTCAGTGTTGATTGTACCGTATTTAGTTTGACATGCAAATACCTCGTCTTGTCACATAATTCGATCTCCCTTGTTTATATGTTTTGAGCATCTCAAAATGTGAAATAAATTTCCCATGCCTAAAGTAGCATATTCCGGTGAAATGTGGCATTATTGGGGCTTTTGTCGTTCTGTGCAAGAATTCTATACATACATTTACATTACAGACAGTTGTTGTTTCATTTACATTGCAGGCATTGTTGTTTTGTTTACATTGCAGGTATTGTTGTTTCATTTACATTACAGGCATTGTTGTTTCATTTACATTGCAAGCATTGTTGTTTCATTTACATTACCGGCATTATCATTTCATTCTGAGCATGTGGTCACTGTCTTAAATATGAACAAAACAAAAGTTGGCGTGAAAGAAGTGTTGTGAAGTGTGGTTTTTGTTATAGGTTATAGGGATGTACCTTTCTTTGTTTTGTTTTTGTTACTTTCTATATAAAACTAAAATTAGGCATCATTTTAAAATAGTCACTTTTAATTTTTTCACCCCTCTCCCCCCAACTAATTCTGTTTAATACCAGATATAATTGAGATAGTGCTTTCATATCGGGAACCTTGAGTTTGGCAATTAATATGATCAGCTTTAGATCTATATTGCTAGCTTCTGCTTGTAGCATAAACTACACAATCAGTTTGCACTTTGAAGACAACTTTATCCTCGACAAGTTGTGAGAGGGAAGTGTGAACATATGTATTCAGTTGTTGAACTCTTTGGCTGCCGCATCATTTTTTCTTCTTCTACTCGATACATAATCGAAAAGCATTAAAAAAAATATATGTTATTTCCTGCAGTGCAAAATCGTTAGAAAACATGGTCCGAGTAATGCAACCCAGTCTGTGGTCCCAAGTTGTATAATAATAATATAAATACAGTACTATACTGTACAACCATGTATACAATTTTGTGTGTGTGCTGATGGATGGTGAGGTGAGGGTACTTTGTTTCTGCTTTTTTCATTTTCATTACATGTATGATAAAATATGCTCTCTTCCTGTATACACTATGAAAAATCCAAAAATCCATATATTTTTTTTTTTTACCTAATTTGTCTTTGTTCGTCATTATGTAATGTACAAAAATGGTTTAACATAAATTCAGGCCATATATGTTCCAACTGTATAGAATATCTTAAGTACAATAAATAAGCATAATCGCTAAGGAATTCTGTTTGTTTTAATCAAAAAAATTTCTAATGCTGCAAGCCATCCTCCTGTTTAGATAGTAGGCTTTGTAACTATATGCACCATAGTACAAAGATTGACATACTAAGCAATTAGACAGTAGAATTTTGTTCTATTCACTTTATAGAGTCTGAAAAAAAAATGAATCTTAAAAAAAGTTAGTATTCCTTGGCCTAGTATAGTACACTCATGTACTATATTAGGCCAAGGAAGGTTAGCTCCGGTTAGTTTAGTTTGTCTTTGCAACATGAATAGAAAATCTTTTCCAGTTTGTCCAGGTCAATAGTACCGATTTCTACTTGATAATTGCGGTGTACGTCAGTTTATGTACTATGGTCCTCATCAGTACTGTAAGTACAGGACTACCAAATGGGGGGATGGGCTGAGTGCTGTAAAAACAATTATTTAGTTAATCACTACAAGACTCAAATTGGTGAACGAAAATATTTATTGTACGGTACATAAAAAAAAATCTAATCTCGTAAATAAACTTTAATGTACAGTACAGCACTTGAAAAATATAAATATATAGATTATAAATATTACAATGACATAACTTACCTTAATTATGTTAAAGTATAAGTGAATGTTAATATTCAAATCTTTCAGCCCTAGTGGCTTTTCTCAATCTAAATTATATTATTATAAAGTACTGCATTATGGTAAATGAGTAATATTTGGTAACAAATATTCTGCTATTAACACCGTGTAGGTTTAAATATATAATATACATAATTATTTGAGTGCAAATCTTTTGCAGTACTGTAATTCATTCTTTGGAAAAATAAACAGTTTGAGTAGCAGATTTATTTATAATATTTAATTTTATTAGTATAATATGTACTGTACTATAATTATTACTGTGCATACAAGTTTGTACACTTAAGAGAACATGCGTGTGTGTACTGCAGGTCACTATGAGGGTTGTGCAACACTGTATAGAAATGTTATCATTTATATATCCCATTTTTATCAACTCTTCTTATGAAAGTGCATGAAAGAAGTCTTTATCACAATGCTGTACTTTATAATAATATAATTTAGATTGAGAAAAATCCACTAGGACTGAGAGATTCGAATATTAACATTCGCTTAGACTTTAACATGACATAGTTTATTTCTTTGATATTTGACAAATTGTGGGGAAATGATGAATTAAGTTAGATTCACACAGGAGTATAACATAAGAATCAAGGAAACTGTAGAAGGCTTATTGGCCCATATGAGGCAGCTCCTCTGTACAGTTTGATAACTCTGTGTGTGTGTGTGTGTTATGTATATTTAATCGTGTAACATAACAGCTGTGTTGAAACTTGTCCACAAGACACTTCAATATCTGTACTGTTACAGAAAATGCTAACATTTATGAACTAGTGTACTTTTTCATTGATTTAGTGCACCTCTTAAGTTCTGCATATTATAAGGCTGTTGATGTAGGAGTTATGAACTGGAGCATATACCCAGTGGGTAACAGTATCCAAGAGTAACCTTGAATCTTTGTTAAATCAACGTTGAAAGCGTTGAATTAATGTTGCTGGTGGATATTGTGCCCTCTGGGTGGGATTATACTTGAATAATATAGAATTGGAGCTTTATACTATAACTCCTGATGTAATATACGTTGTGAATTGTATTGAATGTAAATTGAATTTTTTATAATAATTTATATAATTATCTGCTGCTTTTTTTTCTTTCTTTTTTTTCTTTCTTTTTTTTCTTTCTTTTACGTAGAAAAATTAGATCTTGTGTATCTTCTTTTTGGCCTTGCCTGGTCTCTTGACTGAACTGTTGTACGTGCAGTTGTTTTTAGCAGTGCTAATAGAATTCTTGCCAAGTATACATTGTAGAAGTATTTCTACTTTGATACCCAGAAGCCACAGTATAATGGACAGAAAACTGTCCAGCTGTGTAAAAAATGTGATTTTAGAGTTACTTTTGCTTGCTGAATCTTGTATTCAAAACTAGATTGCATTTTATGTAGGTGCTCATACATATCCAGTTTTAGTGACCATATGTTTCAATTTTATTTGTTGCCATTTGACTTTAAAAACAGTATTGTTAGGATACATCAGCTATTACAACTTGTACTACAAATTTGTTGACCATTTTCAAGTTATAATGTTGACAGGCAGGTGGTGATATCTCCTGACACAGCAAAGCCAGGTGGAATGTTATAATGCCCGGTTCAGAAAGAAGGCTAGGTGGAGTGAGCATTTTAATGCTTGGCTCACAAAGGAAGCCAGGTGGAGTGAACGTTCTAATATTTGGCTCACAAAGGAGGCCAGGTGGAGGAAATGTTCTAATATTTGGCTCACAAAGGAGGCCAGGTGGAGTCAATATTCTAATATTTGGCTCACAAAGGAGGCCAGGTGGAGTGAATATTCTAATATTTGGCTCACAAAGGAGGCCAGGTGGAGCGAATATTCTAATATTTGGCTCACAAAGGAGGCCAGGTGGAGTGAATATTCTAATATTTGGCTCACAAAGGAGGCCAGGTGGAGTGAATGTTCTAATCCTTGGCTCACAGAGGTGGTAAAATAAACTGACATGTCCTAACACACAGATTACAGTGAGATGTGGTAGGTTTTTGAGTTGCTATTTCTTTACCAAGTGACCCGAGTACAATAATTTGACTTCTCTGATGACTATAGTTAGTATTAGATTCGGTGAATACAAGGGATGTTTTTATTTCAACAGATAAACCTATATAGATTCTGCAGTCATAGCACTCATATGTAATTTATACAGTACAGTATTATGTTTTGGAAGAATTTTTGGAATCATATACATATGATTTACATACACAGAAATTTACTCAATACATTTATTATACCAAGAATGTGTGTTTAAACATTGCTAATTAGAACACTGATTACAAATCAAAATTCTCAATATTGACATGGAATTCCCAGTATTGTACTCATTGAAATGTAAAACTGCAATATTTAATTATAAAATGTGAATTTATTTTTATTTGTAATATAGAAACTACAAATTAAATAATTTTATTTAATAATTAATCTATCTCGTGTTCAAAAAATATGGGCATTCTGTATCGAGTATATTTTTGCAGTGTGAATGCCAATTAAGAGTTCTTTAATCTAGAACAAAATTTGAAATACATTTCTTGCCCCTATCTTTTTCATAATGAGGTACAGTATTGATTGTTTTTCTAGAAAATTCTACTTCACATTTCATGTGTGTGTGTGTGTAATGTACTCATGATGAGTTTATTTTTTATTATGTACGAGTCAGAAGAAATGTAACATTTCATTCTGATGTGGCTGTACATTGGACCAGTGATGAGGCATAATGGACAGTAGTACAAGAGAAAGGGCAAAGACAAGTCCATTACGGGTTCACCATAGCCCGTGCTACTGTACTTGGAAGTTTTGGTCCGAGTAGCTGAATTTAAAGGAGTTACAATTTAAAAATTTCAAGTAGGAGTGTAGAGTACACACATGTAACTGAAATTGACTTGTATTAAAGTGAACATAAGTGAAAGAATAAAATCTGGGTCCCATATGACTGTTAATGCCTAATTCTAAGATCGTTTGATGCACAGATGATGATGCTTTTTTTCCATAATTATTAATGCAGTACTGAATTGCTTCAGCATGAATAATTTAATACACAGATTTATAGTTCGTGGTCCAGACTGACATGAGAAACTACCAGGAAATTTAACAATTCTACGAAGCACATTTAATCTATTTTATCCCTTATATTTCTTATACAAAACTAATAGCATAATATCTTAGTCTATTTAATAAGGAAATTTTAGTGCATGTGCAATCTATTTTGTTAAATTGTAATTTATTTTCTGTGAAAATTGTATATTTTTCTTGTATACAGATTATTACTGTATCCTCCTGGAAAATTAGTCAAAGATTTTTAATACTATTATTATAAATCAACACTAATATTGCATTGATATACAATGCTCGAAATACTGTAATCCTTTTAAAAACAAATATCAGTGAGTACTGTCTTTGATGTATTTACTCTACATGTATTGAAATTATGCTGACATCTGGCTTCATGAAACTGGCCACAGCAGATGCCAAATAGAAAATTATATGAATTTTGCAACAAATGCTATTTTTTTGTTAGTATAAGTACTGTACAACTGGAGGAACCGCTCTTCCAAGTAAAGCAAAATGTGGCTGCAGCCGATGGATGCACGTTTTCTATATCAAATTTATTAATCCTGTTCAATGTGAACTTACATTTTTGGACATGCTTGCCAAATTGCACCAATTCAGTGATATTGATAATAAGGAATTGACCCAACCTCAGCATTAGAAGAAAGCATGAATAAACGATTTACAATGTACAGTATCACATGTAAAGGTAATCCAGAAAAAAAAAATGTGCCGATAGTTAAAAACTAAATTAAATTGGTTTAAATTTGTCTTATTGGGCCGTTTCATAATGTAAAAAAAAAAAAAACTACATAAAGTAGACAATATCTTGTGTACAGTACATGTATGTAAACTTTGGCAATTATAAACGTTGATCTAAAGTGAACCTTTAGTTTCCAATTCTTTTGATAATTACTTCAGTTTCTGATGCTGGGCCAGTTTGTGTATTTACAAAGGAATACTGTAATAGGATTGTTTTTAAAACTTGGGTTACATGAAATTGTCAATCTCTGTACTGCTTGTTAGTGAGATTATAACATTTTCACCTTAATAATGTATACTGGGAAAGTTTATTCACTTTTCCCCCCCCCCCCCAACATGTTTCATTTCTATCTGAAGAAAAATTAAATATGCTTATTATTATACTGTAACTTTTTTATCCTAACCAAAACACAATCTTTGATGCTAATTTAATATAATTTTCCAATTTGTCTACAGGAGAAAGCAGCAAGATATCACAACTTTATAGCACTTGGAAGGGGAATGGCAGGGGGGGGGGGGGAGGAATGGTGCCCAACCACTTGGACGGTTGGGATTTAACACCGACCTGCATGAAGCAAATATAATTCACAGTGTGAACTATAATTTGTTTTTCTCGTCTATAGGAGAGAACAAAAATTATAGTTCACACAGTGAATTATTTTGTTTGCCTATTACCATACAGTATATAATTTCATAGCATTGCAATTACAGAGTATTAAAAGAATAGTTAAAATTTTTGTAAGGCAGCTTGCATTTGAGTCCTTCCTTGTACTGTTTCAGGCTTTCCTCAGCAATATTATTCTTTCCACATTTTTGTTTTTCAGTGAAAGTAAGCTTGTGATAGTGAAAATGCTATTACTGTATCCCGCTTCCCCTCTTTGGATTGTCAGATTATCCAAACATAGAAATTTTCAGTTCTCCAGCGAGCCATCCACCCTCACGACATGTGTAACTGTTAAAAGTACTGTACAATATTGCCATGCTCTCTATAGGAGAGAGATCTAGAAGTTACAATGCATAAATTCTTGAGAGAGGTCAACAAATGTTAAGATTCTTATCTCTCTTTAACAGAATCTAACAAATTTATGTATGTATTGAAAGCCACAAAAATTAGCATTCAGCTCTGCAAAACCACATGTATGCTTCCCAATAGGCTACTAATGAGCAAAATATACTCGAGTGCCGTGAAATCAGTGTCATTAACGTTGACTCAATTTTACATCAAAGTCATGTTCCCAGATTTGCTTGGGGAATAATCAGTATACTGTAAATGGAAGTGACTATTTTGACCAGACCACACACTAGAAATTGAAGGGACGACGACGAAGTGACTATTACTGGCCACAGTCTTAATCCCAACAAGACCTCTAGATATGTCAGCCACCACGTAGAAACAGGTTAATAAAAACTTATAAAAGAAAATATTTTATACTGTGACTACTTAAACTTTACAGATTTCTCTTATTTGATAAGAGCCTCAAATATAATAGTATTACAAGTGACTATAACAGTATAAATATACATTACTGTATTCATTTTTTATTCAGGATAATGATACAATAAAAATTTATATTATTACTACATGAAAACACTTAATCAAAACAGACATTTATACTAAAATATTACTGTTAAGTCCACTGGAAAAATAAAACACGTTTGTGTTTGATAGTCAAATTTTGTATAGGAAAATATTGTAATATAAATGTCACCTCAAAGCTCACATTGACAGTGTTACTTAAAAATGTATTCACAAACTACAGTATTAAGCTATTATTAATTACAACCATGTATGTCATAAGTGCATTAACAAATACATCATCAAGTGCATTACAACCAATCAAAATGTATGACATCAGCAAAAATTTTAAGTTTCCAACAATATAAGCTCTTTATGTAACTACTTTCAATTCTGAACAAATTTTATGAAATTAATTTCTGGATTGTAATTCATAAAACATTTTGAAATAGCAAATGTTACTTGGCTCTGTAATACGTCTCGATATACCGAGTGAGCGACACTCTCGGAGCATGGAAACATCCTCTACCATTCTCTACCTTCGTTCTTCTCACACTTGCTATAGTAGTACCTGTAATGTAAACACAAATCTGGATTTATAACTTTCCTTTTCACTCAGTGGCATAGTAATCAAGAAATGTATCCCCATACTCAGCCCACAATTCCATTCCTGAGATGCTTAATTTGATTTATATTTTTGAACTTTTATATGGGCCTATCCATGATGGACAGCAAATCTATAATAAATTATATGAGTTGCTCAATCAATTTCGATCTGTTACAGTATTTTACAGAGTGTATGTGTGAGAGTATGTGAAAGTATGAGTGTGAGAGTATGTGAAAGTACGAGTGTGAAAGTTGTGCATTTTGCCGTAGTATTATAAGTCTCCGGCCATGCAATAAAACCAGCAAGGCTACCTTTACTTCCAAAAGAAACTTTTACACATCAACACTTGGTAAATATAGTCTTCTAGTTTAAATTCAGAACAGATAACTTGATTAAGTTGAATTCACTTACTTTTGGAACTTAAAAAGTTGTACTGACAAAGGGCATGAACTAAGAGCCTCTCAAAGCTGGTTAGTTCTTGGGTGATATAGACAGTCGAAGGATCAGCAGTGAATAATTCCACTACCTCCTCTTCTAAGTAGGAAAGCACACCCTGCAAGAAATATTTTAATCCAAGTTAGTAATAACTAATTACTGAATCATGTGGAGTACTACATTTGCAATCTGTACCACATTGCACCACCTAAAAAAAAAATTGCATACATAAATTCATTCATTCCTTTCTTATAAAAGGCTTCCATGAAGCCTTGTCCCTTACTACACCCCTATGCATTGTTCACACTTGCTCCCAGCTTCCTGACACTTGTACACTCGCCATGTCCACTCACCTCTTTTCCCGGCTGCTGCCTCCTACCCTCAAATTCGTTCCAATACACACCATCATCCATTCCTCCAACACAATGGTACCTCATCTTGATACACTTTCCTAACTTTTGCAGTTTATCAAATTTTGCACTTCACATCTATCCATGACATTCATTCCTTTCTCTACTCTCCTAACACCATACATGCTTGTCGGGTTTATTCATTTCTACTGCTTTAACTCATGATTTTTTCCCATTCAAATAATGCCACTGTCTTGCAAGGTAAGGTAATTATCAAAAGAAGGCACCAAACCAGGAAGGCTATGTACCACTGTCTTGCAACCATACACTTTACAGCATTTCATGCAGACCCCTGGCCACATCTATTCCTGTTTTTGTTGCACCAGCCACTTTCTTCTCTGGCTTATCATATTCTCAACTTCAATTGCCCAACACTTTTTCAACCACACATTACAAGTACTTAAATTGATGGTGGTCCAAAGTTCATTATTATGGTGGGCTAAAATCTGACTATAGCCTGTGTGTGTTGACAGTATCCGGGGTTAACTCGGGTTCAGGAAGCAAACAAAGAAAGGAGATGAGCAATTATTTAAATTGTTCAAACACTTCACTATTCATTACCTCTCTCTATTTCTCCTTAACTAATCTTTTCACATACTGTACTTTTAACCGATTCATACTATTCGTTCTTTTTTGCCTTTCATTTGATTGTTTCCATAAAATATGCTTTTTATAATCTTAAAACTCCTCTTGCAACATGTCATCAAAGTTCTGGAAAAAAGCATCTGTCTACAAGCTGAGCATTGAGTAAATAAAAAAAATCTAAGCAGGTCACAGTATATCACATAGGTAAAGCACAAAACTAACCAGTGGCATGTGCTTTTTCTTTAGGAGGGATTGTATTTGTGACTCCATCAGGCCAAACCGCTGCTCTTCATTGCAAGCGGGATGGACACAACGACAGTCAGTTACTGGTGACACAATCGTAAATCCTGAAAAGAATTGTGTGCAACAACTACAGTACCTGTTTTTGGTAAAATTAATTTAACTTTAAAATTTAATGACTAATGGAAAGTATAAAGTACAATCTAAAAGGTATAAGTGAAATGACTTGTTTTTACCAAGTTACCAGTTTTCTATACAAATATATATATAAATAACTTATATTTTCTAGGAAAATACACAGGAACAATGGGATTAATCTCTCAGAGGCCGCCTGGTATCAGCAAAACACCAAGAGCCCGCCCGGAAATCCTAATCCACTAAGGTCGGAGCAAAACCTTAAACATTTGTCCCTGGACTCCCCAGGCACTTGCACTACAGACATCGTGGTTCAGTCGGTGGTGTGTGCACCTGGAGAGTCAAGGGATGCTGGTTTGATCCCACTGTAGGACCTCAGTATTTCTTAAAAATTATTATTTAAATTAATATGTGCTAACTATGTGTGTTTCAAACTGAAAGCTGTAGAAATGATTTTTGGGCAAGTACAGTAGTACTGACCTGCTATTTGAAGTTCCTTATTCGCACCCAGCGAGTGGGTGATGGTAGAAGTTTCATTGTTGGTACTACAGTACGTACAGCATAGAAATGGATGTACACAAGTACAGTATATAAAATACAGAATCATAATACTACATACAAAATTAAAGTTCATGACTAACCTTCTGCGTCTGAAAGCTTCTCTTCATCAGGATTATCAACATTTACAGGCACTTGAGTAAAGGAGAAGCCACTTAAAGTCTTGGCATGATTTCTATTCTTAGGACGAATGGCTTCCAGGTACTCCTTCTGCTGGATCTCATCCTGCGTTATAAAGTACTGCCACACCTGCAACACTCATTTTCATGAGGAAGGCCATGCATGCCTATTCAAGTAAGTAATTATCAAAAGAAGGCACCAAGCTGGGAAACTTATGTAGCATCATCAAAGGTGTAGTATATTCAAAAGGCACTAAATATCACTAAGGAACAAGCCTATCCAAGCTGTACTCTCACACATACTGTACACGTTTTCTCACTCTCTTTCTTGTGGCCTTTGCATATTTCCAGCCTAAGTGCTCCGTTATCTCATTCAGTGTCTTCCCTCAAGGGAGACTCTCCCAATGGACTTCGTGTCTGAAAGGTCTTGTCCTGCCAGTGTTTGTCTATATCCTTGTATCCCTGACCCATTACCTAACCCGTTTTCCTTTATCAGGATGACTATGTAGTCGAATACTATGACGGTAATTACTGAGCACCAAATGATTTCTCATAATCTATCCTTTTAATATCTGCTTAATTTTGGGCGAGCACTAAGTCTAGGGTTGTTGACTCGTCTACTCCCTTATTGACTGCATAATGCCTCAAGAAGTAAGCATAACTAAATACCCCCTAATTGCATTATCCAATTAATGTCCTCCAACATATAGATCATCCATTACTCAAATCTTTAACCAAATTTTTTTTATATTGTATTCCATAAAATTGCAAAATATCAAAATCTTTCCATACAATGGAAACCACCTGGCCACTATAAAGGATCGGGTTGCAATCAACTGTAGTGAGATTGCTGTACAGTACTGACACTCACTTTACAAGTATGAACACACAATAAATCAATCAACATTTTTGGGTATTACTAGATGCACATACCTTATATATTACACTGAACATGGCTTTATTAAATGAGCTGGCATGAATACCATAACCTGTTATTTGTTGAGTTTTTTTTAACAAGATATGGTGTAAAATATTTCAAACACAGTAAATTTACCCTCATACTGTTGTAATCATTGAAAAGTTTGGTGAAAGCATTCTGGGTGTTGGGCTGGAGATCAGAAATACTTGGCTCACCAATTTCCTCCATCTCATCCTCCACAAGAGTCTGCAGGGCTTGGGCTATAAGTCAAAAGACCAGGTGAAAATTTGTTAAATTTCATAAAATTCCTTTGAAAGATTAATACAAATTATATACAATAACATCCTCCACAGGACTGCCATATCCAATCAAACATATTAATTAATTTTGGGTATAAGGCTTTGAATCAACATGAAAAGCACTACTGTGAACAGAGCCACCTCACTGTTCCCCCAAGGTAAACTGTGTCATAGACCAGATTCCTGAACTGTCAGTCAAGATGACAGGAGGATAGCTGGTTTAGCTATGCAATGAATTCCAGTTCACTGAATGCATGAACTAATTCTACCTGAGGACATCCATTATTTCTGGTGCATCTGAATATAATTATACTACCAAAATGCAATTCTACCATTTCTCCCGGCTATTGGTGCATCAATTTTCATTTTTGCAGAATCTAGTGCACCATATAGTACAACGGTATAAACAAATACTGTACAGTGCTTACATATCATTAACTATGGGGGATTGAAATCTAGCTTTGCAGTGCCTTCTAGCTTTTTATAGGCTCCTGGTGAGTTAATTATCTCACTTATGCTCAAGCTGTCACATTTTTCCTTTAGCTTTTGAAGAGAAGTGACTTTGAGAATTTGTTTCAATGTACTGTATTCAACTGGTCAACCACTTGTACAGGGTACAAGAATTTCCTTACAACTAAATTGTACAGTAGTTGTCATAGGCTACATTGCTCAATTTCGGTACCAGACACATTCGCATTCAGGCGAATCTTTAAGCACCCAAATTTAAAATCAATGCAATGAGACATTTTTAAGATATTGAATGGAAACCTTGAGGAAGAAAACATAAGAATGACAAGTCAAGATATCCCCTACCTGGATATACCTATTAATAAACTCAACAATTGAAGAATAAATTACAATTAAACAAGTCAACAGATTACCGTTTCTAAATAAAGTATCACAAATCACATGAATTTCTTAGGAATTTATTTTAGTTTAACTTCTAGTACTGAATCAAGAAAGATGGCCACAAGTATATCCAAGAATAACACGAGTATGAATCACAAAGACCCAAATTAAGGTAAATGTAATATGATGCTGCACTGAAACTCACTATTATTAGCCCTTCTAGTTTTTCGTGCCCCAGCATGCTGATTTCGACGGTGATTTTCCAAACGTTGAAAGAGTAAACCTGGGTCACGACGACGAGGCACAAATACTGGGGGCTCACTATCTACAGATTCGGGCTCCGATGGTGGTGTAGCTGGCTGGCTGATTCCCAATCTGTCAAAATTATTATATTTAATGAAATTTAAAATATTGCCTAGTGTGTAAACCTAACATTATTAAGACATTGTTAAAAGAAACCATTGCCAAAAATAAAAAGTAATACTGCAACGAATGTACAGGGAGTCTACCTGTGAGCAATATAGTAACCAACAGAATATGAAAACATGCAATCTGCAAATATATAAATGAGAAGCATTACCTTCCTGAAATAGAAAGTGAAACAGAAGGCTAAACTGTAAAAAGCTATAACAATTAGATATTTTTTATTTCTAGTGATTGAAGAAGGTATGTCCCGGTCACTAATGTCAAGTATATTTCACCATAGAGTACAAACAATTACATCCCATACCGAGAGAGGGGATTTTGGGAGTTCTACTCCCCGAGCCTGACCTGGGGCCAGGCTCATGTCTTAAATATAATGAATAATATGGTATTCATATTGAAAGAGAAAGGGAGAAAAAGTGTGGCAGAAAAAATTGAGAGGAGAGGGAGAGTGTTGCATTGGGTGGTTGATATGTGCAGCTTGGTGCTAAGAGACTGGGTAGGCAGGTAGGAAGTATAGGGTTTGGAGAGGTGAAAGATGTTCATGTGGGGTAGATAGAGGGTGGGCATTCATATGCTTAGGATAGAGATGTGGATGGATTAGGCAGGTGGTTAAGTAGAAGTTGTGGTTTGGGTGGGTAATGATGGAGTTGGATTTACATAAAGATGGGTAGGTGGGTGGTGTGTGGGTAATTGAGATATGTGGTGTGTATCAGGCAGTTTAGGTAGGCGGATGGTAATTGAGGACAGTGGGCATTGCTGGTTGTGACATTTGTCGGCCACGGTGGCCTGGCATGACGTTTGTCTTTTCCCCTCCAAGTGGTTGATCTTTTTCTGCTTCCCCCTTAGGGCTACTTTCACAGGGTTTTTGACCATTTTCAATTTTAGCCTTCCTTCAGACCTCATTTTGTTATGGTTCCCCTGGGGTTACTCAGCCATTCCTGGCTGATTTTCTTGTCCTCAACACACTTTAGTGATGCTTCTGTTGCACTTGGGAGGGTGCCACACCTCTTACTGTACTTCCCTACCACCGAGCCCAGACCAACTCTCCATTTGAAAAATTCACATTTGTACCTGGTGGTATACAAATGCAAATTTTGGGTGATGGTTGTTTACCATCAGCAAACTACCCTTCTCTTCAGGGCACCCTGCTCACTCTCCACACAGATTGTGTATGATACACGGCATCAAATAAAAACAAGCCACAGCATCCACTCTGAACATGGTCTACAGTTTATTAATATTGGTTGCAGATCTTATGCTACACTTTTTTTTCCCTTTTAACTATAAATCATTATGTCTTGTTTCTCTAACATAACTACAGTATCTCTGTATGTGAATATCAACAACATTTAAATATTTTGAATAAAACAACTAAAGTATTTATCATACTTGCATTCTGTAGGTTTGCTTCAACTCTTGTCCATGTGAAGTCACAAGCACAAATGATGTCACAGCCCTTCCTCCTAAGGTTTCCCCAATGTCAAGGAACTGCTATACTAAAGCGCCCTTATCCTAACCTACCAGAGAACCCAAAACATTGAACGGGACAGTATGTCAATTTCGCGAGATGCTAACATTTTCTGCTACGACAATTTTTGGCCTTGGGAAGAGTATACATCAAAATGCAACATTCTATTAGGAGGACGGGTTGGATGTCAGCCACGTGGTGTCAAGTATGAAGTGATAACATGCTGATCAAAATATATTAACACAGGGACCATCTTTTTGGAAAAGTAATACTGTACCTGTATAAGCTATAACTACAGTATTTATCTTTATGTTCTCAATAATTACCTCTTCCTATAAGCATAGATTTTAAGCAATAATTTAAGCTGAAAACCTTGCTAAACCACACATTTTCTACAGTGCAATTTGAGAAGACACCTGGAATTCAAGAAAGTTGTGGCTATAAGCCAATGAATTATTTGTGCAAACTCCAACAAATCTTCAGCTTGTCTTCCATGTAATTCGTTCCTTCTTTGATTAAAAAAAAATTATTCAAACACGCACATACCTTTCTGCAACTTCAATAATATCATCGACTAATCTGAAAAATCATAAATATTTAAAATACTAAAATCTTACCACAAACATGGCGGCAACACATCATGAAATCACCTACCCGTCATGTCTCAAGCCTGTCGTCTTCATTCGTACCTACAATCTGTAAACTATTTTGTCATTAACAGCAACAACAATTTCTGCATGATCAGCTTCATGTCCCTTTTGAACACACTGAAAGGAAGTGTATACATGCAGGGGGTAGAAATAGATTTGACCGAAGTTGAGATTCTGGTGCTGCTGCTCTCAGCTTAACTGATGACTGGATCACTGATGCAGGAATGAATGCCATGATGAATTCTTGGAGAACATCTATTCTGCAAAACAAAACAAAATGGTCAGTGATGTTACACAATCAATATTTATTCCAAAATAAGGGTACAGAGGTACTGTAAAGAGCATGACAGTTGTACTGAGCTTTGCATACATTATTGCTCACTGAAGAGCATTCATCGAAATAATATCAGCTTGAAAATTGGGCAAGAGCCATTTATTACGCCTTTGTAATGGGCTAAATGTTAACATGAAAGACTTTACGTATTATCTTGTAGAATACAATTTTGTTCTTTATACAGTACTGTATCTGCATAGTAGCCTTTATTATCCAAAACAGCTTTGCCTGAAGTTTCAGATTAACCTCAAGTAAACTGATTGGATAATAATCTTGAATATCTGAAGGAAATTGCAAATAATTGGGATTCAGATAATTTATACAAATTACCCAATGGTATTTCAACTACAGTATTCAGGGTTTTGTTTATAGATACAGTACAGGTATTCATGCCTGAAGAAAATATTAATTAATATTAATTAGAAATAACTTCAAAATATTAAACACAATAAATATTCTGTATACATATTTACCCGAATTTTCCCGAAAATGAGCTGTAACCAAACCACCCAACTCCGGACCTCCCCTGGAGGACTTAAAAGGGGACTTTAACCCCCTGTATAACTTTCGTACTAAATTACAGTACAGTACTCACTTTATGCCAAAAATGTCAAATTTTATATAGACTGCTGTACACCCGTTTAATCGAGCCATTATTGTAACAATCTGCACAAGTTGCTACGAATATAATTTCCGATTCTGAATTTGACAACTGTAATGATTTTTTAAAGTCACGGCTAAATGTTACTCCTATATCTAGAGAGTAGTGTTTATAATTAGTATAATAATAATAATAATAATAATAATATTTATTTAGGTAAAGGTACATACATAAAGAGATTTTACAAAGTTTGTTGGCTTTATAGATAGAGCTAGTACATACAATGCCTAAAGCCACTATTACGCAAAGCGTTTCGGGCAGGAAAAAACACTAATGACTAAAGCTTAAAACTAATGGGTAAAAAGAATAAAATGTGTTGAGTACAAATAAAAATAGAGGTAAAAGAGGGGGAACATTGTTGAAAAAGCAGCACAAATACAATTACAAATTATTACAGAAAATTACATTCAAACAGCATTGATTTGAAAAAAAAAAAAAAAAAAAACATACATAGGTTGACAACAGTTGTATATATTACACACTATGTTATTATTATCACCGTCTCTTGGATAAATAATTTACAGTAAATTTGTGTAACCTAACCCATTATTATGACTGTCTCTTAGACAAATAATTTAGAGTAAATTATTTACATGGTCCCCCCTGGTGGACCATGTCTCTGGTCCACCAGGGACACACCTAACACCTGTACTGTGACAACTGGTCCACCAGGGGACATGGCCCACCAGGGGACAGTGTCCACCAGGGGACATGGTCCACCAGGGGACATGGTCCACCAGGGAACATGGTCCACCAGGGAACATGGTCCACCAGGGGACATGGTCCACCAGGGAACATGGTCCCTGCTGCTAGTCCCAAATATTGATTTCCTTTAAACTAAATAACAATCCACAGACACACTACTATTACCCGAGTACAGTACAACTACCTAAAGGTAGTTGGTAGTTTAGGTAGTACAACTACCTAAAGGTAGTTGTAGTGGTAGCAGCCAACATATCCACAGCTAATTCAGTCATTAGGGAAGGAGGGACACAGGAGAGGAATGTCTTAGGAATGTCTTGGAGCAAGTGGCCAAGACTGTCTTAGGTGTATTAGGAGAGAGGAGATTCTTACGAGTTAATGGACTCCTCGCTGAAGGTGATGACGGCGGCGGTGTTGGCCAGCTTCCTGATGACGCCCATGATGGTGGTGATGAGTCCGGAGGGTGGTAGTGGTGGTGGTAGTGGTGGTTGTGGTGGTACTGGTGGTGGCTGGGGAGTGGCCTCGCCGCTGGGTGCTGCTGCCGCACGCCACCACACGCAATCCTCCTCACACACACACGATCTTTTTTGCTGTTAGATACTGTGATATTTGAGTCTATTGAAGGTGTTTAAAGGGTTTTAATGTGGCGATGATTGGGTGAAAGTGAGGGCTTGGTGTGTCATCTTTCCTGGCCTTTCTTCCCCCATCTGGGTGACCTTGTCTTCACCCCCCCACCTGGGTGACCTCGCCTCTCCCCCCCAACTGTGCTCCTGGGTGACCTTTCCTCCCCCACCTGTGCTCCTGGGTGACCTTTCCTCCCCCACCTGTGCTCCTGGGTGACCTTTCCTCCCCCACCTGTGCTCCTGGGTGACCTTTCCTCCCCCACCTGTGCTCCTGGGTGACCTTTCCTCCCCCACCTGTGCTCCTGGGTGACCTTTCCTCCCCCACCTGTGCTCCTGGGTGACCTTTCCTCCCCCACCTGTGCTCCTGGGTGACCTTTCCTCCCCCACCTGTGCTCCTGGGTGACCTCGCCTCCCCCACCTGTGCTCCTGGGTGACCTCGCCTCCCCCACCTGTGCTCCTGGGTGACCTTTCCTCCCCCACCTGGGTGACCTCGCCTCCCCCACCTGTGCTCCTGGGTGACCTTGAGAAGGTTAGAGAGGTCACCCAGGCGTGTCGCCGCCTCAGTGACTCATCTAGACATCTTGAGAGACACAGACAAGGTTTATTTTAGTTCTTATAATGTTTCGCATTTCTGGTCAACCAATTTCCAAGTTACATAATACAGGTGGGATCACTAGATTGTTTCAAGCGTAGGTTAGACGAATGGGTTTGGTTTTAATGTAAATAGGAACTGTCTCATATGGGCTTTAGTTCATGTATTATTATGCACCCTATACCCGTCCTGTGGGTGGTAGTGAAAAGGGTTACAGAGGCACATAATGGGCTCAGGGACTGGATCCCAAAATACATTTAGTTAAGCAAGTTACAGTCTTGAACTAGTTACAAAATTTATGTACGTCGATCGTTACACGAACAAAGGGTTCGAAACCGACCACAAGTACAGTCTCGGAAAAGGTTACAGAAGCACATAATGGGTACAGGAATTGAACCTCAAAATACATTTTGCAAGTAAGTTACAGTGTCACGATAAACTAGTTACATAGTTCAATGTAAATCAGTAAATATATATTTATAGCGCCACAAACGCTGAATTCCCTTCGTTATCTTAACTGAAACACGATTAAATGATAACTTCTCTCCCCTGCGTACCCTGACATGCCGAGGACCAAACCATTCAAAACTGCAGACTTAACCAAATAGGAGATAGAGCAATCAATGTTCAAATGACCTTACCTGTACCAAAGTCATCAAGTGAGATAACTATGGTGAACATATTATTTTGGTAGAATATAGTCTACAAAACCCCTCAAAATTATTGGAGCTGTCTGTACACTACCCAATACTAATATAACTGAATTTCCTAATAACCTCAGGAGCCTAATCAGAAGCAATTATTTTCTGAATATACTTACTCATTATAACCAACTGACCCAGATAAATTAATTAAATGTAAATTATTTTGCTGGCTACTGTCCTCTCATTATAATATATACATATTCTTCCTTGGATTATGTATCCATAATGCACACATTTAAACCCAAAATAGATTAGGGTTGCCATATCTGAACAGTCACTTCCACTAACAGCCCCGCCCTACACATACTTTGGCCCTTTGGCACTCTCTCTCTCTCTCTTATATATATATATATATATATATATATATATATATATATATATATATATATATATATATATATATATATATATATATATATATATTGAGAGAGAGAGAGAGGGGGGGGCGGGAGGGAGGGGGGGGGGGGAGAAGGTATGGGACAAGACTTTAAAGTCCAAAACCCGCCAAAAAAATCAAATCAAATTCTGCTACCTTTACATTCCAAATCCGCCAAAAATATTTTCAAATCCACCAACAAAATAATTCTAAATACGTCAAAAAAAACAAATCCACCAACAAAATAATTCTAAATACGTCAAAAAAAACAAATCCACCAACAAAATAATTCTAAATACGTCAAAAAAAACAAATCCGCCAAAAAAATGAAACTCAGCCAACAAAAAATCTAAATACGTCAATAACCAATTCCAAATCCGCCAATAAAAATATGCAATTCGGCCTTAGGCGGTTATCTTGAGATCTTGAGGTTATATCTTGAGATGATTTCGGGGCTTAGTGTCCCCGCGGCCCGGTCCTTGACCAGGCCTCCACCCCCAGGAAGCAGCCCGTGACAGCTGACTAACACCCAGGTACCTATTTACCGCTAGGTAACAGGGGCATCAGGGATGAAAGAAACTCTGCCCATTGTTTCTCACCGGCGCCTGAGATCGAACCCGGGACCACAGGATCACCCGTCCAGTGTTCTGTCCGCTCAGCCACCGGCTCCCTTCAGCGGTTAGTTCGACTGTTTCAACACAATCCACCATCTGGTCACCACTTGGTCCGGGAGACATCTCCCGTCACGCAGGGTGCAGTCGCACCTCCACAGATCTCCAGTATCAGCTCTTGATACTGGTAATGGCTTAAAAGGGCCACCACTTACGGGCTATTCATGCCTGTGCCACCTTTTGGGTGGCTTAATCTTCATCAATCAATCAATCGTTAGCAGTGTTCCACGGGAGGCATCTCCCGTCACGCAGGGTGCAGTCGCACCTCCACAGATCTCCAGTATCATCTATTGATACTGGTAATGGCTCAAAAGGGCCACCACTTACGGGCTATTCATGCCCGTGCCACCTCTTGGGTGGCTTAATCTTCGTCAATCAATCAATCAGTTCTATTCAGTTGTGTATTTGTGAACTAAAGTCTTTGAAAATGTAATAAGTTTTACGAAACGCGCCCGTGTCGCGTCAGACTAGAAATAAAAATGAATTTTGGAGAATTGATTTTTGATTTACCTCCAACAGTGAAGCGTAATGTACGAAAGATTGAGAAAATTCGTGTTAGAATTATTAATCTTACTTTTTCGGTCATATTTAATAATATATGTCTACAGGAAAGACTGCTACCAAAATATACTATATATATATATATATATATATATATATATATATATATATATATATATATATATATATATATATATATATATATATATATATATATATATATATATATATATATATATATATATATATATATATGTATATATATATATATGTATATATATATATATATATATATATATATATATATATATATATATATATATATATATATATATATGTGAATCTTTCCTGTAACCAAGGAGTCTTCCTTTCCATTCATTCTCACGCCTGCTAATAATTACAGCTATTTGCTCGGTCTTATCAGTGACCTATCGAAAAGGAAACTATAATTGAAGGAAAAATGAATTCAAAAACATATTTTTTTGTTTACTGAAGTGTTTAATTACAATTCTAAACACATGTGGATTTTACAGGCTACAGGTCCATTACAGCCCACTAATAAATGTATGGAAACAAACGTGGGTATCTGGAGCCTACAAATATTTTCTGTATATTTATTAAAGAACAAAATATATATGTAATTATTTTTAGTTTATACGAGAATGGGTTAATTCGTAAATTCTGTTGCGGCTCATTTCCCATGTGGGCTAATCTGCTCTTGCTGGAAACTTAGTCCATGAAAAGGGACTCTCATATTCCAACCATTAATTGAAGGCTGAAGAAAATATTTGATACTTAATACTGCTTTCTCTTTTCACTTGCCCCCCCCCACACACACACTCACACACACACTCACACACAAACTCACACCGTACTAGACCGTCTGCGTCACTGGAACGCGTCCATCAAGCAACCCGTCCTCGTCCTCATACATCCAGTGGTCGATCCCACAGACGCATTTATAAATTTGTATATGCTGTTCATTCAAAATAGGAATTTTCTCAAATATAATTAATATTGTTATATATTTGCATACTGTGTTTATTTAGGGATTGGTTAGGTTACGTGTTTAGGTTCTGTTGGCGATTATTTGCATTTGTAGTATGTGGGTGAAGCATTTACCGAGTTGAGGTTCGAACAAAAGTCGTCAGCGAAGCACGTGTTCGAGAAATGTTCAAACGTCATCAGTTGTGTGTTGTGTGTAAACTGTTTTCATTCATAAACGGGGGGTTTGGCGGGTGCATAGAATGGACTTTGTTTATGAGGATGGGCTGCATCGACAGCGTTATGGTTCGAACAAAAGTCTTCCGCGAAGCATTTGTTCGAGAAGTATTCGAACGTCATCAGTTGTGAGTCGTGTGTAAATCATTTTTCATTCACAAACGGGGTTTGGTGGGTGCATAGAATGTACTTTGGCTTTTGTTGATGAGGATGGGTCGCATTTATATAAACCAGGATCAATTGAAACTCGTTTATGCGATTCCTGAGTAATCAAACCAGGTGTATGCAACCCATCCTCTTACAAATTACGTCGCTTTTCGCTCATATATGCGCAGTCAGGATAAAATATAATGAAATTGGTTCAGAAAAGTGACGTACTGTCCCGTTTTCTGTTTTGGGTCCTCTGGCTTAGGCTGTTTGGTCGGAAGAAACTTTCAATTAACGGTTTTCATGACGTTTTGAAACCTTAGAACTTCTTGTCCTCCTAACCTACCAGACGACCCTTAACTTGCTGTTTTGGAAAAAAAAATCCAAAATTTAATTGGAAAATAAATTTCCGTTTTTAATTACGTTGATATTTAGCCGTAACGCATATGAGCGAAAAACTACGTAATTTGTAAGAGGACGGGTTCCGTCTGAGCAATGGAAAGGGTGTAAAGAACTCCCAAGCAGTATCTCCGCTCCTTTGCCAGGTAAGTCCACTACGGGCTCAACATAGTCTGTGCTACTTGCCCCGCTCCTGTGCCAGGTAAGTCCACTACGGGCTCACCATAACCCGTGCTACTTGCCCCGCTCCTGTGCCAGGTAAGTTACGGGCTCACCATAGCCCGTGCTTCTTGCCCCGCTCCTGTGCCAGGTAAGTTACGGGCTCACCATAGCCCGTGCTACTTGCCCCGCTCCTGTGCCAGGTAAGTCCACTACGGGCTCACCATAGCCCGT